TATATATATATGTATATATATATATATATATATATATATATATATATATATATAGGGAAGAAAAATGATACAGTTACCTCGTATTGAACAACCAGTCTACTCTTCTTGAAGAATCATCTGATTTCAATTATGATTATCTCTAATGGAGGTAAGCCATTTGGCCTAATCACAATAGAAATCATGCATTAATCATACTAATATACATATTATCATTTTGGGTAAAATTTAAGAGAGAGAAAAAATATTCTAGAAAGATCCTCCACGAACCCGCCAAGATGTGCCAGTTTTGGATACAGCGGAATACGAGTCCCCAACGTTGGCCACGAATAATGGATCTCTCTCATCAGCCATGTATTCACTACTGTTAGAGTTTGCTTGATTTACCTGTTCCACCTTTTCTAATTCTTTCGTCAAATCGTCCATGATCTTTTTCAGGGCGGCTTTGCCCATTTTCCCGGGTTCTCCCGTTGATACACCAACCATTGTAATCTTGGGTAGGAACGGAGATGATTGCGCCACCTGTCCTCTGTTCTGCGTTGTAGAATTTGGATGTCTGCATGGGAGAAAAAAGATATGAATATATACGAAGAGTATGAAAATAATACAGAAAAAATCATTTCTGACAAGAATGCCCATGGTAGAAACCTTGTTTCGGAGAGGTTTTGCTGATTTTCGGGTTGCTTCAACCAAGGATGACTAAGCCAATCTCCAAAAGGGAACTGGGAATTAATAAGATGCTTCTGTTCTTGTTTATCGTGAGTTTTTTCCTTTGGTTCCACATCTAAAGTGGTACGGTTATCGAGTTGAGCATCTTCACTGATTTCGGAGTTAGAAATTAAGTTGGATGTTTTAGCTCTCAGAAAAGAAGCTGCGGTCCTGCAATGGCAGATGTTGTAATGAATCTACAGATATAGGAATCATTAAGTCGATGACATACTGATCTTTCATATTAACACAAAAATATTTATTTTGAGAAATATTTGCAAATAGGTCTAAATTCCGTTAAAATAGGAAAGAAGTATGCAGAGCAGCCAAAAGGATGAATCACTCAAAATAATATTTCATATTAAAAAAAAAATTGAAGTTTAGGAAGTACTTTCTCTCAAATGAGTCGACCATATATGGGAATTTTGGTTGAATTCCAGTGGCTTTACGCAACCATCTATTCCCTAATATCACCCTGTCAACAGCATACAGAAGCTGAATCTCAGCAGCCTTTGATATGACACTCAGTGGTATACCTGGATGACCGATTTCATCTAGAACTTCCTGGACCTATCAAGTAGCAGCAATAAACAGAAGAATCCTTTAGAAAACGGTGCTCGCGTTTAAAAAATGAATAAAGGGTTTCTTTTGGCATTTTGAGTCAAAATTTATTTCAATATTGAATATTGATTTTGAAACATTTAAATACTACGTTGAGATTTCAGCTATATTGCATGGGTTTCAGCCTTGCTCCCTTCGTAAAAAAATAAGACATAAGAGAGTCTCTTCTAAGTTATATTTTCATCAAATTCAGTACCATCACTGGTTTCTGTGTAATAGTTCAGTAGCAAATATATGCAAGTGTATATGTATGTACCTCTGGAGGGTCCCACATGCTTTCTCCCATCTCTTCAATAGCTTCCGCTGGGAGACTGTCATCACCAATATCTCGCCGGCGGTGAGCATTCCGTGTTTCAATTAATGAGTGGAATTGTTGATCTACGGAATCTTCAAGAATGTTATCTAGCATGCTTTTGTCAAAAAAATAAGGAGTATACCTGATAAGAGTGCCAATAACACGAGTATCAGAAGGTGAGAAAGTGAATCACTACCAAGAGAAATGTGAAAAGACAGTGCACAAGTGTTAAACAAAACAAATAGCCCCGAGAATCGAGATCCTATATCACAGCATTTCACAAATGTACATAACTTACCACTTGATGCCATCCTTTTTTGCTATAGCAATATCCAAGTTTTGAGCGCTGAAAACAGGAACACCTTCAACTTTGTTTTTTCCATCACTGTGGGGAAAGCTCTTCAAAAGTTTGTTGGCTTCCTTGACCTGCAAACAGCAAACACTGGAAGTCAACGCTATTGCAGGACAAAACATCTCAACTTATGGTGCATATAAAAAATTTACATGTCTGGAGGACGAGCTCGTGGCTATATCTAACCTGTCTTTCGTTTGGAACAAACTGAAATGTATCAGGCTTCTCCTGCATGTGTAAGTTGAAGCTTTAGAAACAAAAACATGCAATTCAGGAGAAAAATGGATAAGTTCATGATAATAAACCCATCCTATGCTCAAATACTAAAGCATGGGGAAACGATTTCAGTATCCCTATAAAGAACAACTTGCAGGAAATATCACCATCATTTTTTACCATGCATTTTCTATCAAATTTTATAGTTTTCTTTGCAGCTTTGACTTAGCCAGGATGGACCGAATACTAGTAATATTTTTCACATGACATCAAAATGACGTAAGTAAAAAAAAAAAGGCTATAGAATGCATTAGGTAATCAAGACCAGCACAAAAACTGAGGAAGCTAGTACCTTAAAATGCTCATACGCAATGTCAAGACGGCATGCACCTACCACACCGCTGGGTATATTGAGCTGTTTTACATAAGAAACTGAAACATAAGGATTAGAAATTTCATCATCTTAAGCCTACATTTTATAAACCTAACAAGTTCCACCTAAAAAAGGGGTGAATCGCCAATCAAAGTAATGAAAATTAACTAAACACAAGCAGTGCCAAAAAATGGCTCAATTTCCCAATTGAACGTGAATCCAATAAATTGAATTTTAAGACACAACCAAAAATGGCCTTGTGGAAAAAGATCAAATGGCTTGTTATGTTCGAAGTCAATTCAATTCTTTCAAACTGCAGACATTACAGTAAATACACGGCCATCACAATGGATATGAGAGAAAACAAAGAAAATGAAGAGAAAGAGAAGGTGCTATTATGTCGTACCGGCATCACCCAAATCCATGAAGAAACGGAATACAGGACCATTCCTTTCACTCTTAGTGACTGCTGCATACATCTTCCTCAGCCACTCTGGTGTTCTGCAATTACATGATAAGCACAGAACAGTGAAGTAGACGACAAGAAGTAGATGACAATACACGAAATCAAAAAACAAAACAAGATAAGAGAATTGAATAGTGAAGTAGATAAACGAGGAGTGGACACTGGACACAAACACGGCGGTATCAGTCAGCCAGAGTTCAATGCCTCAAGCCTCTACTACGAAAACAAAGTAGAAGACAAAAGTATATCAAGATTCAACAGGCATTCTGATAAATATGCACCACTCTCAGTATGCGTCGAAGCAGAATCCAAACTCGAACAGCTTTTACACAATCCATAGGGTGGATAATATGTTGTACAGTTTCTCCAGATATACTAAAATTCCAGTGCATTACTATAGAATCAGTTCACTTTATTACAACCAAATATGTGTGACAGGGCCAATTCGCCCACACACTTCAGCGAAGTTGCTTCTATCCTTACCTTTCAGTTGCGCTATGTTTTAAATTATTTACTAAACAAACAAAATATTCCTTCGTCTAAGCCAATTCCAATGTAATTAAGACAAAAATTATTTATATCCATGCATTTCATTATCCTCCACCAAGCTGCTCTTGAACCACAAATAAATCCACTACAATTGTCTATCAAATTTCAGGAGATAGTCCGACAAATATACAATCGAAATATCCTAATTCAATAGGACACTAAACCTAAAACACAACTGTATGAAATTGAAGGGGGCAAATAGTTACTAGCAAGATCTCCACACGTTCACTCCTACAAAAACTAGATCGTAGCTTTAATTCATGTAAAAAAAATCATGAAAAAAGATGAAATCCGAGAAATCTGAAGTTCTGTGTACAGAAAATGAACTGAATACCTTTTAGACAGAAACGGAATGTCGAAATGAGTAGATACCGCCATCAATCCGGTGCCGGAGAGGTCACACATGCTGAAAACCTGGCCCACAAACGCCGGTCCGCCGCCTTTCCCGGTCGTAATCCGAACCGTGGGAGGGAACTTCGAAACGGAATCTGAAGAAGGCGTGCTCTTCATGGATGATGAGGAGGAGGAGGAAGATGGGGGAGATCTCGACGGCGCCGAAGGGGTCGAGTCGGGCTGAGCTGACTCGGAACGGGAAACGAGTGAGAGGAACGAGTCTGAATCCGCGAGGAGGAGAGGGAGGTGGATTTTGGACGAGGATGACGCCGGAGATGGTGATTTGAGAGTAAGGAAAGATGATAGGTTGGTTGAGGCTGTAGATATGAACCGGGAAAGATGGGGCGGGGGATGGTGCCGGCGGTGAGATTTGTCGGCGGCGGAGGCCATAGGGAAGAACGACCGGTGGTATTGTCGATGCAGTGGTAAAACTCTTTGTTTTATCTATTTCATCGTCAAACAGAAAATATAAAAACGTGTTTCTTCACTGAGCGATTTTCCTTCTAAAAACGCGACTTTCCTTTTCAATTTGGGCTGCACTGGAGAAAGAACTACTCGTCTTATATCATAATTATTTAGTTGGTATATTTTTACTATTTAGGGAGCTATCGGCCCATGTGTCATTTTCATGAAAGAAGGCCCATTAAGATACACAAGGCCCACAAACACACAGAAAGAAAAATAATAAATAAATAAATAGATAAAATAAGAGAACAATAATAAATATTTTTTGGATGTCCCTCCACCGTACACATTCCCATGGGCCATGACCCATCAATCCACTATCCTCATGATCCAGCCGTGTCTTTCTCTCTTTCTTTTTTTTTTCTTTTTTTATATATTATTATTATTAATATTAATTATTATTATTTTTTATTTTATTTTTATCTATTTTTTTTAATTTTTTTTCGTTTTTTAACTTTTTTTCTCTATAAATCGACTATGAAGCATATTAAATCGACTATGATGAACTATAGTCGATTAAGGAACCGACTACTAAAAATAACAAATCACAACTAAAAAAAATGCAAACTCAACTATATTTACAAAAACAAACAATATACAAACATTATAATTGATTTATACAATTAGAATCAATAAACAGAAAATCTAAAAAAAAATAAAAAATTGGAGTCAATGAAGCATATTAATCGACTATGATGTGAAGCATAGTCGGCTAAGAATCAACTAAAAATAACAAATCACAACTGCGAAAAAAATGCAAAATCAACTATATATTACAAAATAAAAAATATACAAACATTATAAATGATTTATGCAATTGGAATCAATAAACAAAAAATTCAAAAAAAATAAAAGAATTGGAGTTGATCAACCTTAATCGACTGCCAGAGTATAGTCGATTAGCTTAATCGACTATGAACATGTACATAGTCGATTAAGGTTGAATTCAGCCTACGCGAAATTCTCTACGGGCGCCGTCCTCCGTCCGATCCACAAAAAAACCATAAATCTGCCTCTCTATCGTCACCACACCGCCGCCACAACACACCATCACCACCTTACTTTGACATTATGACGGTTTTTTCAAACAAATAAATAAATAAAATCACAACTCGCACCACCAATCAAAGCAAAACCACCACCCATCAATATTCGATTCCGGCGACAAATCGACAACCTTAACTCTTTTCGCCGTCGATGTACCAATCCTAGCATTCGAATTCAGAATTGCTATCAAAATCATTTATAATGTTTGATGGGTGCTTCTTCTTCTTTCTTTCTCAATCTTCCGGCGGCGGCGACGAAGAAAATTGCCGGAGAAAACAGAGGGGAAAAAAAACAAATAAGACGAGAAAACAGAGAAGAAGAGAAAAGAGAGAAGAAGAGAAAAGTTGGAACGTGAAGCGGCGGATGAAAAATTAAAAATAAAATTAGTGTTTTGAAAGAGTATAATAGACAAATAAGGGTAGTTTTAGAACTATGAAAATATCACATGGGTGAATTATTAGATAAGAGAATTTTCTCTAATTATTTTTTAGAGGGGTGTTTCCTCAACTATATTTCTTAGGTGAGTAGATTTTCTCTAATTTTCCCTTTTTGGTATTATTAGGACTATATGGAAATTTTGCAATTTACAACCCCAAAATTTTAATTAAATACTAAAAACCAAAGATTAAATGCTTTAAAAAATTGAGAGACTTTTGAAATACAATACAACTTTCCCTTGCAAACATTTTGCACCCAACAACACAGATATTATGAAAATAGCGGGAAAGCCCATTAAAAAAAAAGCCCACATGGAGAAGCCCCTTTCATAAACCCTAGTGCGCCGTATATCATAATATCTTCACTCAGCCCCCACACTTCACCTCTCATTTACCCCGTCGAGAGAGAGAGAGAGAGAGAGAGAGAGGAAAAATGGTGTCGCTCAAGCTGCAGAAACGGCTCGCCGCCAGCGTACTGAAGTGCGGCAAGGGGAAGGTTTGGCTTGATCCTAATGAAGGCAGTGAAATCTCCATGGCCAACTCTCGTAAGCTCGATTCTCCACTATTTCCTCGCTTAATCATTTTCGAAATTTTAAGATCTCTCTCTCTTTTGGTTCGATTGACGATGCTTTTTATGCCGTGTTTATGTAAAAAAAGATTATTAGGTTTAGATTGAGATAATTGCTAATATTAGGCGTTTCCCACGAGTTCAGATTTATTATATGAGCGCCGCATAACTGATAATTGTATCGTAGTCTGTTAATTTCAGCTTCAGTGTTGTTTTTGAAATGAATTATCCTTAACTTGTTGTTTGGATTGATTGTAAAAAAAATAAAGCGTTGATAAGCATGTTGCCTTCTGAAATGATGTGATTATATTAATGAATGGACTACTCTGGTTCAAATGTTTACTCCATAGAGATAGGATTTTGATTCTTTTGGGAATGAGCTGTGTTGTAGTATATCAAAAAAACAAAGTCATCTTGTTCTGTTTACACAGATTAGTTTCATTTCATGATGATTCATTCTTAAAATAGTTGTAAATTGATTTAGTAACTTTGAAGGTACACAATCTCACCAACAATTGACAGTTTTATGCGCCTTGTTTAAATAGGCATACTCCAATAATCTGAATTGTGTTGATTTGAGATGATTATTTATATGCTATATATTATTTTTTTTTGGATACAGGACATAACATTAGGAGGTTGGTGAAGGATGGTTTCATCATCAGGAAGCCAACCAAGATTCACTCCCGCTCACGCGCCCGTCGGATGAAGGAGGCAAAGAGAAAGGGACGTCACTCTGGATATGGTATTGTTTTCCTAATTTTTGGACTGCTAAATGTGTTTGTTGTGTTGTTTTGTATTAGTGTGGCATGTGACTTACCTTTTGCTTGCATCCTGTTTTTTATGATGGCTGTAGTTTGTGGTTTTTTTTGTTTGTTTGGTTAAATTTGGTTCTAAACTCGCACAAAATAGATGGCATGATCATCCATGTCATTGTTTGATATTTTAATTTGAACTGTGATGGCTTTTTATCTATGGTCTGTTTGAGAATTACCATTTCCTATTGTGCAGATGACTAAATATCCAATGTTATTCTTTTATGAATCTATCTATGTTTTTCTTAAATTATATACTAGGATTGAGATTATTGTTATTGCTTGTATGCTAGTGTCTCGTGCTTTGAGTAAATTAGATGCTGAGTACCTGTTGGAAAAAAAAATGCTCATTTTCGAGTATTCTTTGTAAATGATTTCAGGTAAGAGAAAGGGAACCAGAGAGGCAAGATTGCCCACTAAAGTGCTCTGGATGAGGAGAATGAGGGTGCTCAGGCGTTTGCTCCGCAAGTATCGTGAGTCGAAGAAGATTGACAAGCACATGTACCATGACATGTACATGAAGGTTAAGGGTAATGTTTTCAAGAACAAGCGTGTGTTGATGGAGAGCATCCACAAGTCTAAGGCTGAGAAGGCTAGAGAAAAGACCTTGTCCGACCAGTTTGAGGCCAAGAGAGCAAAGAACAAGGCTAGCAGGGAAAGAAAGTTTGCAAGGAGAGAAGAAAGACTTGCTCAGGTAAATACTTCTCGTTTGTATCTTTAACCCATTTATGTTTATATTAATGTCCATTGACTTGTATGCCTTTTTCATATGTATTTTATGTTTATATGTTTGATTCATCGTACCATTGCAGGGACCTGGAGAAAAAGCAGCACCAACTCCAACTCCCGCACCTGCAACTCAGCCAGCTCAGTAAGTGACTTATTGTTCGTAGTAACTCGTTATTTCTGACTGAAGCTGAATAATCTCAGTATTGATGAAATTATTTCTGGTGCAGGGCCACCAAGAAGGCTAAGAAGTGATCTCTGAGTACCAGTTTCCCTCATTGGTTCTCTTGTGGTTTTGTTAGAATTGCCTTCTAGGTTTATTTATATTTTTCTTCTGTGTTGTCATTAGCATATAACTTTGTTTTTTAAATTGAAGTACCTTCTTGAATGACACCTCTTATGTTTTTTGGTTATAGTACTTGTTCGTTGCAAGTTGAATTTTGTATGTCTTCAAATTTGCCTTGACTATTTTCCTTGTGCGAAAGATATCCGTCTTTAATTTATTTGCGCGTAGAAGTTTACTTGTTCTATTCTACTGAATCATGGATTGTATATCACCTTTTTGTTCTTTTTGCTGTTTATTAAGATTTCTGTTTCATCCTTTTCTATTGCTCGGTTGGAAGGTAATGGCAGTTTATATAATGTTTTCTCTATTTCTTATTGCAGTCCGAAATAGAATCTGACAGGAATATTTTTGCCCAAAGTCTTGCATTATATTGCTGTATGCACTTTTACTGATTTCATAAAGTTCTTCAATGTCTGTTAGCTTATTGATTTTCATTCTGTTAATATGTTTTATGAGATTCGAAGGAAAAACGAAACCGCTCAACAATTTCTAAAATCTCTTGTACTGAACATGGTTTGACTGAGGAAGCAATCATTATTTGTTTACAAAATACGAAATTTTCTATCTTTCTGGACATTGTTAAGTGCTCGTTTCATTATATAAACAAACATTATTCTAATTTTTGAATTATTTTCTCTTAAAGTAATGAAAACAAGTCTTGAAATATTGATGTTAAACGAGGTAAATACTGTTACAATCTTCTTTTCCTACTCTGTAACCACTGATTTCTGTTTCCCGTCACTCATTCCTCTCAACTCTCCCATGAATTGTGAATGATATTTAACACAATCCCTTGAGATAATAACAATGTGGATAGTAAATGCGTTGGGCACACAGTGCCGGCTCAAGAGAAACGGGACTAGAATATTGCCTGCCAGGACTAGGATATTGCCTTTCTATCAACGCTCGACGTACCTATCTAGTCCTTGAGTATTTTTACCTAACCTTACTGGTGAAACCTTTGTCATGTCTCGACTCGTATGTGAACGCTGGTTATTGTCCATTATCTATACATCTATATATATATATATGTTTACATAAATAGTTACGAGTGAGAGGAACGAGTCTGGGTCCGCGAGTAGGAGAGGGAGGTGGATTTTGGACGAGGATGACGCCGGAGATGGTGATTTGAGAGTAAGGAAAGATGATAGATTGGTTGAGGCTGTGGATATGAACCGGGAAAGATGGGCCGGGGGATGGTGCCGGCGGTGAGAATCGTTGGCGGCGGAGGCCATAGGGAAGAACGACCGGTGGTATTGTCGATGCAGTGGTAAAACTCCTTGTTTTATCTATTTCATCGTCAAATAGAAAATATAAAAACGTGTTCTTCAGTGAGCGATTTTCCATCTAAAAACGCGACTTTCCTTTTCAATTTGGGCTGCACTGGAGAAAGAACTACTCGTCATATATCATAATTATTTAGTTGGTATATTTTTACTATTTAGGGAGCTATCGGCCCATGTGTCATTTTCATGAAAGAAGGCCCATTAAGATACACAAGGCCCACAAACACACAGAAAGAAAAATAATAAATAAATAAATAGATAAAATAAGAGAACAATAATAAATATTTTTTGGTATTATTAGGACTATATGGAAATTTTGCAATTTACAACACCCAAAAAAATAATTAAAAATTAAAAACCAAAACCAAAGATGAAATGCTTTAAAAAAATTGAGGGGCTTCTGAAATACAATACAATTTTCCTTGCAAACCTTTTGCAGCATGGGCTATTTATTAATGCCAATTAAATTGAAATTCATATTAATTCTCTACTACAAAGATATTTCTTTTTATTAAAAGATTTTCTTTCCTTTCAAATTAAAACATTTAATGAACTTCTTTCCTTATATTCTTTGAATTTAAATCAAATTTTATTTTGTATAAACTATTACATTCACATAATTTTATTTATTTATTTATAGAATGGCGACTAACAAATTCTATTTTATATATAAATATATATAAAATAAATTTTGATAATTCAATTGAGATTTTGCAATAAATTCCATTCAAATCTCTTGAGGTCAACTTTGATCCTTAATAATAATAATAATAATAATAATAATAATAATATAATAACAGACTCAATTTGGACAATATGTAACAAATTGCATTCATATTTCGTTAACGTTTCCACCCACGCGCGCGCGTCTTCACACACGCACACACAGACGAACAAACGACTGCAGAAAAAGAGTTGTTAAAACTCAGATGAATGGAAATACAAAAGGAAAATGAACAGATGCGCGAAGAACTGTAGCCTATAGGCTATAGCCCCATCTCGGTGGTATCGAATTCACGTTTGCTGCTGTCTAAAGAGTCAGATCTTTCAATTTGATTTCCAATTCTAGGTAATTTACATGTTTTGGCATTTACTGAGAATTTTTTTTTGATTAATCAACTGATGTTGCTTGTTGATTGATTTCATATGTAGGTTCTTTGTTTATTCGTGATTTTGATTTTAATTGGAAACTGGTCATCATCTCTCTGGGTTTTACAGAGGGTTTTGATAATTTAGCTTCGGTTTTTTTTAATGTGTGTGTGTGTGTGTGTGTTGTGATAGAGAGAGATAGTTCATCATTCATTCTGATTTCGACTCTGATTTGGAATTCTGGAGCTAAATCCAGTTTTTCCAGATTTTTTTCCCCTTCATCCTGTTTCTCGGATTTTGGTTATTTCATGTTTGTGATACAATTATGTTTCTAAAATGTGTTATCCTTTTTGTTTGAATTGAAGCTTTGTTTTCTATGGATTTTGGTTTCATTTTCTGATTAGATTAATAACAGAAGTCGCAGAATTTGATGAAATCTAATTTAGGTTTGCTTTTGAGGGATCTCGGTATGGGGGAAAAACACTATTTTGGGCTCAATTTGAATTAAGGATCTGTAACTAAGGGTTTCAAGTCCATAATATTCGATTTTTGTTTGGTTTTGTTGCTTGGAAATCTCCAAAAGTCGCATGCTGTGTTAATGACTTTTTTTCTTTGTAGCCATCTCCTTTCAGTTGACCATCACTCTAAAATTTTATTTTGCAGGTTTACTCTTTGTAGACAGCAAACGGATTAAGCGTTATCATGGCAGATTCAGAAGAAAATAATGCATTGTTTCCCATTTTTATTTTATCGATGATCGCCTTGCCTTTAGTCCCTTATACCATATTGAAGTTATTCCGTGCTGCTTCAAAAAAAGAAAAGAACATCCATTGTGCATGTTCCGATTGTGGTCAATCAGGAAAATATCGCAAATCAGTTTTTAAAAAGGTCTGTAACACACACACACACACACACACACACACACATATATATATATATATATATATTCAATCTTGTGATATTTTAAGTACTGCTGTTGTAGTTAGAAGTATATGTTTACAATCTTTCGTTTTCTCAGGTTGCAAACGTCTCAACATGTGGTAACTTCACTCTGGTGCTGCTATGGGTCATCACGGGATTTCTCGTTCACTATGTTAAGAACATGAGCCGAGAGGTAATCTGCGATTATTCTTATAATTATGCTTATATTTTATACATCTTTTATGCAATTTGTCCTTAGACACATTTTATTCCAAGACGAATACATTTTATTCCAATACTAATAATAAACGCCTTCTATACAGAATCAAGTCTTTGAGCCATTCAGTATTCTTGGAATAGAAGCTGGAGCATCAGATAACGAGATTAAGAAGGCATATAGGAGACTCTCTATCCAGTACCATCCTGATAAAAATCCCGATCCAGGTTATTATATTTTATTGGTTCCGATACACTATTTCAAGTTGAAAAGGCAAAGAAAATCGAAATTTGGTTTTTGACATTTGTTGTCTATAATCTCGGTAACTTCATATATATCAGCTGCTCACAAGTACTTTGTGGAGTCCATATCAAAAGCTTACCAAGCTCTAACGGATCCAATTTCCCGTGAGAATTTTGAAAAATATGGTCATCCTGATGGTAGACAGGTAATCCATTCAGCATGAGAAAAAAAGAATTGAATAGACATGTAAAATTGAATATAGTGGAAAGAGTAATAGAACCTAACACTATAATATATATATGATATAGGGGTTTCAAATGGGAATTGCTCTTCCTCAGTTTCTTCTTAATATTGATGGTGCTTCTAGTGGGATACTCTTAATGTGGATTGTTGGAATCTGCATATTGTTGCCACTCGTGATGGCAGCTATATATCTGTCAAGAGCTTCAAAGTACACTGGTAACAATGTCAAGAATGACACGTTAGCTGCCTACTATCATTTAATGAAACCTTCTTTGGCCCCCAGGTACAAATCTCTCTCCCTCTTTCTCTATACATATATGTATATCAGTTTTTATTTTGCTTATCCCGTGCACCTCGTGTATTAATTGGTTAAAGCATGGTACAACTCACAAGTATTGTAAAGCGATATTTTTGAGTTGTATATATGTAACTGATTATATATTTATTTTTTTCGTTATTGTGATGGTTGTAAATTGTAGCAAAGTCATGGAAGTCTTCACTAAGGCTGCTGAATTCCTGGAAATTCCAGTTCGAAGATCCGATGACGAACCCCTTCATAAACTCTTTACGACAGTAAGAAGCGAGTTGAACATAGACCTTAAAAATATAAAAAAGGAACAAGCAAAGTTTTGGAAACAGCACCCGGCACTTGTTAAGGTAAAGTTAAAAGTGTACAATTTTTATTTTTGAACTGTACAATTGACAATGAATTATTTGGTCTGACGACTATTTACATTATTTGCTCCTCAGGCAGAACTGTTGATTCAGGCACACTTAACTCGTGAAACTGCATCTTTGACCCCAGACTTGGAACGGGACTGTAAACGTGTGCTTGAATTTGCACCTCGTCTACTTGAGGAGTTGATGAAGGTTACTCCTCTATGATAGTGAACAAACTTTAGTCTCTATATTTTATATTTTGTCATTAGCTCTCTCAGAATTCACCACTAAGAGGTTTTGAGAAGGTCGTAAAATTTTCACATGAAAAAGGAGGATTTTTTCTCTGCCTTATAATTGCCTCTTGATAAATCACCGAGGAACTTCGTATGATGGGCTTGGATTTGCCTCTAACTGTTACAAATTCTTTGCACAGATGGCAATCATTCCACGCTCTTCTAAAGGGCATGGCTGGCTAAGGCCAGCAGTTGGGGTTGTTGAACTCTCACAGTGCATTGTTCAGGTATTAATCGGAAACATCATCTGCAAACATTTTTACGTTAAACCATCACATACATCATCTGCAAACATTTTTACGTTAAACCATCACAAACTAATCCACATACATTTAAATGTCCCGGAAGAGAAAGCCTTCTTATTTTTCAGCTTATTATCTTCGACAATGATGCAGGCTGTTCCTCTTAGTGCTAGGAAGTCAACTGCGGGGTCCACTGAGGGAATTGCTCCTTTTCTACAGCTCCCACACTTCAATGATGATATAGTAAAAAAAATAACCCGAAAGGTACAAAATAGAACATTTTCTCTGAAACAATAATTAGATATCTTTTTTCTCGGGTTTTTGACTTTTTCCTTGCACTTTATGCAGAAGGTGAGGACATTCCAAGATTTTCAAGACATGTCTATACAAGAAAGAGACGAACTTCTTTCTCAAGTAGCCGAATTATCTCCTCCACAAGTGGTGGATGTAGAGAAGGTAATGGAACTGATTCCCTCTCTAACAGTTGACGTCACTTGTGGAACCGAGGGAGAGGAAGGTGTACAAGAGGGAGACGTAGTCACAGTTCAGGCATGGATCAGTCTCAGCCGTCCAAACGGTTTGATCGGAGCCATTCCACACACACCCCGTTACCCATTCCACAAGGAAGAGAGTTTCTGGTTCTTGCTAGCGGACCCCACTTCGAACAACGTGTGGTTTTCTCAGAAGGTGAGTTTTATGGATGAAGTGGGAGCCATCAGTGCCGCCTCAGCAGCAATAGAGGAGAGAATGGAAGTAATTGGAGCAAGTCCGAAGGAGATGAGTGATGCTGTGAAGGAAGGGGTAGAGAGGGTTAAGAGTGGGTCCCGCCTTGCTATGGGGAAGTTCTTGGCTGCGGCGGAGGGACACTATAACTTGACTTGCTACGTGTTGTGTGATTCTTGGATTGGAGTTGATAAAAAGTCGAATTTGAAGATTAGGGTTTTGAAAAGGACTCGTGCTGGTACGCGTGGCGGTCAGGCGGTTGTGGAGGAGGGTGTTGAGGAGGACGAGGAGGAGATTGAAGAAGAGGAAGAGGAGGAAGATGTTGAGAGTGAGTACAGTGAGGATGATGAAGAAGAAGAGGAGAAAGTAAGTGCGAAGAAGAAAGGAGTTGCTAACGGTAAGAAAAATGGTCGGAAGGGAAGGCAATCTAGTTCAGATGAAAGTTCCGGTTCCGATGAGGACTGACATTTTACTGTTTTTTTTTCTTTCGGCCAACAGATTTTTTTTTTTTTTTTTTTTTTCTTTTAACAGAAGAAAACTACTATTTAAAAGCGGTTTGCGACTGATGATGAGATATTTTTCGGAAGTTCGGTTTAATTTGTGATGGAAATTTATGAGGACAATTTTGATTAGGCGTCTGTCTGGCTTCTTATTTTTCAACATTGTCTGTATTTTTTTGCTCATGTTTCAAAGAATTATTTGGGAAAATTACAGTTTTCACCCCTCAAATTTAACCCGATTTCATATTTGGTCCCCCATGTTCACAAAAAACATATTTGGTCCCTCATTTTTCAAAAATTCAATACTTTTAGTCATTTACATCAATTTTATGTTCAAACTAACGGAATCAAAGGTGTGCCAATCTCTAACGTAATTGACGGACTAAGGGTAAATTGGCGGAAATAACCAAAAGTGCCAAATTATTGAAACATGAGGGACCAAATGTGTTTTTTGTGAAATCATTGAAAACTTGAGGGGTGGAAACTGTAAATTTCTCGAATTATTTTGTTTCAGAATTATCAGACTCTGAGCATATGAAAATAATGTACGCAAAGATGAAGTAATTAATTCCAATCTAACTGAAAGCGCTATTGAATAGTAGCGACTTACAAATTACAATACGGATGCGAGTGTAGCCAATCCATTAATACAGAAAGTAGCAGAAAGAGGAAAAAGCAGCCGATAAAATTGAACCACACGTTCCAATTCCAGAAAAAGATTCCATATTCGATTCTCATTCTGCTCACAAAATGATGAACTCTAGCTGAGGAAACCATACCTTGTATTCGATTCATTCACCGATCTCAGCTAGCGAAGAAAAAAATTAAAAAATGCTGATGGTGGAAACTCACTCCGCCGCCTACGCCGCCCGATTGTGCGCAGCTAACTTCCACTCCTCTGCTCGCCTCCTCTCTCACTCAGCCGCCGCCGCCTTCATCCCGCGGTACTACTTGTCTACTTCTATTTTAGTTTAATTTCACTTTACTTGTACCTGTAAAATTTGAAGTTCATTGCTCGCGTTGCGAATTTTGTTTTTGTGGATTTGTGAATTTGTGAATTTGAATTTCGTCGGTTAAAATTTCAGGAATAAGTATCGGAGGTGCGCCGGCAGGGTGAGGAGTGGAAACGGAATCAGAGCGACGGCGAATGAGCAGCCAGGCTCGGATTCAGTTCCGTTGAAGCAAAATGCAAAGCCGCAGCGGTATCACCCGTTCGAGGAAATTGCTGAGTCAGGGTTTCTGGACAACGAGGAAGCTACACTCACGCCTGCCGAAACTTCTCGAACAATGATTGAGGTATGATTATGAAGTGGAGTGTGATTCTATCGCTCTAGAGATGAACTAATTACTTCTACAATCGGTTGCTCTGTTGCAATTCTTATTATTTGGGGCCAAACATGTGGATTTCTCTTTGCACAATTAAAGTTGGCAGTTAAATTAGGTCAGTGAAAATTTTAATTTTGTCTAAAGGTTTTGGTTTTAGGTGAATAGCAAGGCAACACTGATGTTTTCTGGTATGGTTAGTGACGAAGTACACGAGAACATTTTCTGGCCAGACTTACCTTATGTGACTGATGAACATGGAAGTAAGATAAATTTTTCTTGTGATCTGGTTTTACGTGTAGACATTTTTCAATTACTGGTTAGAAGTTGTATTGAATCACTATCGTGCTCCGTTTATTTATGGCCAGATATATACTTTCAAGTGAAGAATGACGAAGACATCCTGCAATCTATTACGTCTCAAGAAACCATCGTGGTAAGGTTAACCTTACTAAACTCATAATTGGAAAAATCAAAAAACATGTATCTTAAAATCGTCATCCAGCCCTCTGTGTACGGTATCTTTATATCTGAATGCTCTGCTATAAGATTAACTGTTCCTCGAGCCTTTATGCTTTCAGTGCTTTTTATGTAACATTTAACAAGGGAGAAAAAGATACTAATAATTCCTATTTTATCAGTTCATACTTCATACACTCATTTGCATGTTATGAATAATTTAGTGTCTGTCGTTGGGCTTATTTGATTTCAATGCAATGCAGCAAGTCATTATTGGACTGGATACTGCAGAAATGATTAGAGAAATGGAGGCACTAGGTCATTCAGAAATTGACTTCGGAATGGACGATTTGGACGATGAAGATAGTGATTTTGATGATGAAGAGGATGATGATGAGGAAGATGATGAAGACGACGAAGATGATGGTGAAGATGATGAAAATTATGATAAAGTGGGGATTTCTTCCACCCATTCTTGTAGCTCTCAAGTGTCGGGATTTTATTCTTTAGTTTCTAAACCTTTTATCATATTAATGTGCAGGACTGGGTTGCCATTCTTGATGAGGAAGACCAGGATGAGGAAAGTGATGAATCACTCGGAGACTGGGCTAAATTGGAAACCATGCGATCTTCTCATCCCATGTATTTCGCCAAAAAGTTAGCTGAGGTATAGCTCTTTTTGTCAACTTTTTTTTTTATGTTAAACGTGGTAGAAATTGATTCAGAAATTGAAATATGAATTCTGTTACTACGACTTCTCCACTTTCTTTATTATTATTTTTTTCTATGGCTGTTTTGGTTGTACAGGTTGTCTCAGATGATCCTGTAGATTGTATGGACCAGCCGTCAGTTGGCCTTGCTATTCATGGCCTTCTAAGACCTGCATTCATTGAAGAACACTCCGTCATCCAGAAGCAGATATCCGGTCCTGAGTCTAGTGATGTAGATACAGATCGTATTGCAGAAGAACAATCACAAGAAGGTGTTGTACGGATAAATGGTCACAAACATGAAAAGGAATCAGAAGAAGATGACCCAAGTTTGACAGAAGACTCGGATAAGGACGAAACCCTGGGAAATGGATCTGCATTTTACAAGATAGAGATGATCAAAATTCAGTTAGTTTCAGCTCAAGGAAATCCGGTAAACCATTTATATGTTTGTTTATTTTATTTTTCGCAAATATCAGCATTTATTAATAAGTCAAATAAGTTAACCTTGTGTTAATGATGCTGCAGAACGATGTCGAGATAGAAGATTTTAGGAGGGCTCGACCTGATGCAATAGCACATTCAGCTACAAAAATTATGTCCCGTCTCAAAGCTGGTGGAGAGAAGACCACGCAAGCTTTGAAATCTCTATGTTGGAGGTGCAAGGGTATTCAAGTGGAGGTAAAAAATTCTTGACTGCCGATACAAATAGAGAAATACTATTTTATAAGTTTCAGTGAACTCCTTGCGTACTCGGAAAACTGATTGAAAAGTAAGGTTATGTACCATACCACCTCTCATTCTATGCTATAAATTGATGGCATGGAAAAGGTGAAAAGGAATCAGAAGGTTATTTCTCCTCTCCCCTTTGGCTCTTCATAGACAAGGCCTTACGCATAAGTTTGTCTTTACTCGCCCAAAAATGGGCAACCTAAATTTCTCAACGAGTGTTTGCTTCTAAACCGTAACCCTAACTTTTGTTCACTGATTTTATGACAGGAGTGTGCTCTTATTGGATTAGACACCCTTGGCTTTGACCTGAGAGTTTGCTCGGGAACACAAGTTCAGACGTTGCGTTTCACATTTAAGAAACGGGTATGACTGCATTCTTTTGGCTGTATAATTTAACTTACGGGTTTTTGGGTTCCGTATTGGGGTATGTGAGCATATCCCTATAATTATCCTCATATGAAGCATATATCTATAGACAGCTTTCACTGAATTAAACTGTTTGTGTTTATATATATATATGTGCATGCAGGCCTCGTCAGAGTATAGTGCGGAAAGACAACTAAATGACTTGCTGTTTCCTAGAGCGCACAAATATCAACAAAAGAGAGAAGCTAACAAGACCGAGTCTTAGGTTCATGAATTCCATTACATTTATGTTTTTCTTCTTTCTTTTCTATTCGATGCATGTATTCCGAAAGTTGTACATAGAATGTAACAGTATCTTCCAATTCCTGCCTATTTATTCCTTGAATGCAAAAGTTCAAAAGCTGATTTTTTTCTTTTTCTTTTTCTTTTGTACTTCAATTTCCCAGTAATCACACGACTCGTATCAGAGTTTCGTGTAAATTATGCATTAGCTAATGAGCTGCCTCGCAATTTTTTTTTTTTTCTATATTATTATTTTTTTACTATTATCATAACTATAAATAGTATATATAATAATATAAGATATATATTACAACATATTATAATAAATATACACATAAATAAATTTTGGTTCATTATTTTATTATAATATAAATAATTTATAATAAAAAATAATATAATTATATAAATATAAACATGGAGCTCGAACTTAGAAAATAAAAACTCGATAAGGTCAAGCTCTCCAAATATGTTAGGCTCGTTTGAACCCCTAGGTTAAGCTATGAATGTACCATGTGAAATGAGCTTCGATCGGGTCTGCAGGTAAAAAACCAGTCCCAATCAACCCAGCAAGTGGTAACCAACCAAGCTTGGTCTAAATCACAGGATACTTACTGCAAGATAATTTACATTGTCAATATTTATGTACATACTACAAAGCAAGTGAAGTTGACAAGATGAGTGAAAGTCCGTCTGGACTTCGTAATCCATAGAAGAACAAACAATAAAATTAGATAAATAACATAGTTTACCAATTTCCGCAAATCGTCATTTGAACAGTTGCAATGGTTTAGTTAGCTCGTCAATCACCTCCGTCGGCGAGATTTTTTTCTTTAAGTTGTATATTCACAACTCAGCTGCTGATTGGATCTTTTGGTGAATGAGAAATGGGGAAATTTTCTGCAGCATAGCACGAGTTGCTAGACTTTTTGAAGATATGTTAGTTCAGTTTGCAATGCTGTGCTTTCCACAGCCATCCACCAATTTACATCTTCACACGTTTCATTTTCATCCTGTTTAATGTTGTAAAGGATGACTTCAACTTAGTATAGCATAGATAGTTTACTATTTTGTCATATAAATTTTAACAGGAAAGGCAATTTGGACTTTACGACATCATCTGTATAGGTAGATGAGAAAAATAAAAGAAATGTTAGAACTAGAAGGCAAAAGTAGAGATATTAGGCTAACCATCTGAGTAAGGTCCAGTGATTTCTGTATCCCTTCAACCTGCTCGGCGACTTTTATAGCTTCATGCCACCATTCTTTCTTGCAGCTGTCTGTGAAACTCTGGTCACTTAAATTAGTGTGCTTCTGACTATCGGTTTCTCCAGATTGATTGATGTGAAAAGTAGGGTAAGGAATAACATCATCAGGGACTGAACGTAGTGGAGATCGATAACCTGGTACATCCATCCAGCATAACAAAAATTAGTCGTAGCATATTGAGGGCGGTACTTAGAAAAATCAGTGTCTCCAATACAAATAATACTTCACCTCTGCAATCTGGATCATGGCACTTTTGATAATACACGGCCCGTCTAAGATCAACTACATAAATAACTGAAACAAACATCGACAGCGATTGTTAATGTGCATGAGTATGAACTTCGAATATTTGTGATAGTTGATGTCACGCTGAATCTTAAATATTTATGAGGAAAATGTAAAGAAAAACTATCAAAACAGAACCAGAATATACTATGATATGCATTCCTTGATGTTTTACTCCCGGAAATCTAAGAACCAACATATCCCACGTGCGAAAATGATACAGAAGGTCCAAACAATACCATGATTGCTTTTATGTTCTCTGCCAATTCTTTCACAATATCTACTTCTAGACATGCTGTAAACCATTAGTCCATATTCTGAGAACCAGTACCAGCTCCGAATTTTCCCTGTAAAGATCATGGGAGTGAGTGTGAAAGAACTCTTTAAGCAATACGAAATGTGGGAAGACAGAATCGCGGAAACAATCAAGACCGTCAAACCTTCAATACAATATCAATGAAACTAGAACTAACACAGATACCTTTCATTCTTCATGCTTAAGAAAATTTTAACCAAGTCTCACCTGAAACATTTCCTTTGGACGCAATGGCTTCAACAAATGCATCCAAAGCTGGGAGTGGTGATTTTCCCATCAAGTATGTCGTTGAAGAATCACTTGTCCAGGCATCCAGATCAAAGTTTTCAGGATAACCACCACGTGTCTGGATATTATTGGTTGTCTGTTATAGAGAGCAATTTTAGATTCTGTAAGTTATCTGAGTGAAAGCAGGAAGATGAATGGAAATAAATAAGAGACCGGCCCTAAGTGTGCAATTTTAGGCCACAAAGATAGGTGGCATTTTTGGGGAGGCTGAAAAAAATGGGCAAGTATTCCTCTATCATTGGTAGTCAAAAGAAATAAACTACATCTTCGATACAGAAAGGGAACCTCAGAAAGACTAAATTACCTCAGTTTCAAAGTGCAATGCCTTCACGCAGTCTAGATCCATTTTGCAAATCAGGAGTTTCTCAGAATCAGCATCCATGTTGCAAATCAAGGATGCCATAAATACTTCTTTTTCACCCTGCAGCATAAATTGCAAAACCCTATTTAGCTAAAATACGCAGGACTAAAATTGAAGTATCAGACATGAACTATAGATTGATCATTTATTGATTAGATTTGAACATTTTGATTTCGTGGTTCTAGAGCTCCACTGGTTGATCTACATCGCCTTACGTGCAGGTCCTGACTCAGATACCAGATTAAATTCTTGAATAACCCCAAGCTGAGGCACATGCAGTCTGCTTGCGTTGTATTTATTACGGACATGCAATCCATTTAATAAACAGAACTTCTAGATAACCATTCCCAACTTTGAAAATTAATAGTGCAAATGGAATAAATGCCAAGTTAAATTGCAGTTTCAAGGAAGTTCGCTCCTTACCATTTCCTTACATTTAAAACGCCCACTAGGAAGAAGAACAGAGCTCTTCCCCGCTTTTGATGAAAAGGGTAGCCGAAAGCAACGATTCCGAGTATAGACAGCAGTATCCACAAAAGTCTGGCAATGGCTATCAGCAGAATTTGAACCCTTGGATATTAATAGTTTTTCATAGTTTTCATCTCTTTCTCTGTAACTTTGAATGCGAGAACATATCTGACCACAAGACATAAGAAAGGGTAAAAGTAAAACTCTGTTGATATGAGGAAATATCAAATGATGAAGGTCTACTGAGGTTCCTATTCAAAAATATTTAGATGATATGCAGATCACAACTTCAAGGGTTGCAGGACGTACAATTTAATGGTAAAGAATATAAGTGGAAAATGTTGTAAATGCCCAAAGAAATGAAAAATAAGCACTTTGGATTTAGGTGTTAACAACATTAAATATGACTATCAGTTTATGTTGATTCCAAGAATATGCTGGGTTACAGTTACTGCCAGTGAACAGGATATTCCATTACCCGTATTTGTAACATACCTCGGCAACAAATGCACCAACATGTGAGTTGTCTTTGAATGCAGTCTTTGGTAAGCGGATGATTAAATGGCGAGAGAACTTTTCTGAGCACAAGGAAAGATATTAAGGAGTCTATCTGTTAATTACTTAATTTCACTTGTCATGTGAAAGATGAATACTTAAATCATCACTTACTCGCCCATTTTCTTTGCGTGTATGGCAATGGAAACATAGTTGAACATAAGGATGAACAGATTCAAACCATTTAATAAAATGAGAGTATGTTAAACTTCAGAAAAATCAGTGGAAAATACAGCAAACATACTACCTTCAGTAGATGAATCGAGTTCGACAATAAAATCTTCAGTTCCTTGGATAGAATACTTCTCCAGCAACGCATCAAAGATGACATTTATCAGGAGATCCACCATTTCATCTTCATTTTTACCAGCATTTTCTCTCTTGTTGAACTCTAAATCAAAATAGAGGTGGCATGGTAGTCCCTAAAAGTACGATGATAATCAGCAAGAAGAAAAGTTTTCATGTTTGCCTAATAATCAAACTCTTTTCTTAAAACAAAACTTCACCGTTTCAGGTTAGCGTCATCTATAACAGAGTACAATTACCTCTTGAATAACTTCGTAATGATGGCGAAATTTAGCGGTCATTTCTTTATACCTAAGCAAAACCAACAACCACAGACAGAATTGAGATGCCAAGGTAAGAAGCCATACATTTCCATCTACAAATACGAGGGGCTAAACTCACCTTCGCCAAAACTCCTCATATGTAGACACGAGAAACCTCCTCTGACCATTTATATGATCTTGATAACTAAAGACACGTGCATTTGTATGCTGTTTCAAAAACTTCAACGCTTCATCTTGCCTCGGAAATGTAGCCCAGACCTCCTCCCTAACAACAAGCACAAATTAATGCAAATACTCGATCTGCAAAAGCTACATTAATTCGCGACTAAACTCTGAAATTGCCAACCTCAATTTATTTTGTTCGGCGAGATCAACACGAATTTCGCGCAGCAACCTCAACAAACGAGCTGGCCTTTTCGGAGGAACTCCATGTGGCGAACCGTAGAAGATCATCGGGGAAAACTGTTTGGCATTTTTCGGATTTACACACTTGCTTTCAGAAATTGTGGATTTCTGTTGTTGCGGTGAATGCTCTTGCTTTAGTTTTCGTTTTTCTTTTCTCTTTTCTCTGATAGCAGATTCTGCGAAAATAGAACAATTTGGTAATTGACATGTCGATATTGTATCAGGAAATAACTGGAAATTACACACAGAGAGAGAGAGAGAGAGAGAGAGAGAGAGAGAGAGAGAGAGTACGCGGAGGAGAGATTCCACATTTGAAGCACTGGAACAATCGATCTACATCGTCCATGGAGATTTTTGATTTTCTGGCGAAGGATGATTTGAAGTGTTCAGATTTCACGTCGGTGTGGCGATGGCCGTACACGAATTTACGCTCCCGTCGCTGTAAAGTTGTACTCTAGGGCGGGAATTGATTTTCCGAAACGCCGCTAATTATATCTCCCTGTACGACGACGTTTTGAACAATTTCGCTGTTCCCAAATGAACGTACATTTTTTGATGCGTCTTGTACACCCTAATATAGATTTTTTTTATTTTATTTTTTCAAATTACGCTGCAATTCATTAGACAAACTTATTACAATATTTATAAATCCCGAAAAACATGAGAGCTTTTAGAATTTTTATCCTTGTCAATTTAATTTACTATAAATATATTATTAAAATACAGTAATTCATGTTAATAGTCTCTATTGAGTACAATTTTGAGTGAGCCAACAGCAGATTAATTTAGTAAACTGCTGAATAATTTTAAGAACAGTGATGTTTATACTAATTCTCACCACTTTTCACCAACTATAATAAATCAGTACTCATTTTAAACTTATAACTTTTTTTCGAAACCAAGAGTCAAATAAACGAAAGAATAAACTATAGGAAGAATAAAATAAAAGAAAGAGAGAAATAATAATACGGAATAGAAACCCCCATTGTTATGGGTTGATTACATGGAATATATATAGAGAAATATTGTAAGGTAATAGAGTTTGACTAGGTAACTAAATCCTAACTAATCTAGGTAACTCAATCATACTAGAATCATAATATTACAAGAGTTCTATAATATAATATTCTCTAACACGCCCCCGCAGTCGAAACGTGAAGACTGGACAATCACTTGCTAGCACGCTCCCGCAGTCGGAACGAATAAACTTCAAACGTGAAGACTGGGCAAAAAAAACCCGCAAAATCCAGCAGTAGTGAAATCCTTGGCGAAAATATCTGCCAAATTAATAGAAAAAAAAAATAATAATAATAACAATTGAGATATTTTATTTTTTTTATGTATGAATCGAGAGAGAGAGAGAGAGAGAGAGAGAGAGAGAGAGAGAGAGAGAGAGAGAGAGAGAGAGAGAGAGAGAGAGAGGGAGAAGATATGAGAGGGGTCGCCGGCCATGGAGAAGAAGAGAGGCAGCGACTAGGTTTTAGGCCATGGAGAAGAAGAAGAAGAAGAAAAAGATAGAGAAGATACACCACCGAGAGAGGGAGAAAATTCGGTTTGGTAGTCGCCGGCCATGGAGAAGAAGAAAAAAAAAAAAAAAGGATAGAGAAGATGCACCACCGGGGGAGGGAGAAAAAAATTCGGGTGGTGTTCATAGAAAGATAGAAAAAGAAAGATAGAGAAAAATATTAGAGTACCACCACCGGGGGAGGGAGAAAATTGGGTGGTCACCGCCATGAAGAAGAAAGGCGGCTAGGTTTTTCACCGCCATGGAGAAGAACCTAGAGCTCTGATACCATATAGGAAGAATAAAATAAAAGAAAGAGAGAAATAATAATACGGAATAGAAACCCCATTGTTATGGGTTGATTACATGGAATATATATAGAGAAATATTGTAAGGTAATAGAGTTTGACTAGGTAACTAAATCCTAACTAATCTAGGTAACTCAATCATACTAGAATCCTAATATTACAAGAGTTCTATAATATAATATTCTCTAACATAAACGACCTCAAAACCAACATCAAAAAGTACCTTCATGACATTATCAAAATATGTTCTCAGGTGGTACCGGCAAACCTGCACGAGCAACAAACAACACGACAATCACGTCAGAATCTCGTAACTAAGATTTCTTGTAATATAATGTGACACAATTAATACTAAAATTCTTTTGGTCGGTTCGGAATTATACTGATCAGGAATATAATGACTGTAGTTTAACTGCTCCCACTCGCGATTTGTTTACTTAATTCCTTTTATTTAATATCCAACAATCATCGTCATCTTCGTCATTCATAAAGCTTTTCAGGCAAAATACGGAAAAAAAAAATAAAAAAAAAAACAAAGTAAAACAAAGAGCAGAGTTGTATGTAACAGCATCACGATTTTGTCACATTTCCTAATTATAGCAATAGATTATTGTTTTAATTAGTTTAAAGTTTAATCCAACTAATGACCTTAGTTAACACATTGTGCGTATATCATCATTTCGCCATCACCACCACCATAATATTACTCGTAAAATCAACCACTCTTGGCTTTTGTGGTTTGCCATTAATCTAAAATATTCTTTATATATGGCATAACTATAGCTGATTAGCCTAATTAGTATTTAATATAAATATAGCATATTATTAATCATCAATATTAGGGGGATATTATTCATAATTATCGATCGGTGAATTAATTAAAAATGGCAGCAAACGATGTGCCGTGTTGCGAAACAATGTTTTGGGTGTATTTAGTGATATGTGTGTCGCTAGTTTGTTTTGCAGGTGTCATGTCTGGCCTTACTCTCGGCCTCATGTCACTCAGCCTTGTTGATCTCGAAGTCCTCATTACAGCTGGCAAGCCAGACGATCGAAAGAATGCCGGTCGGTTTTTCTTTTCTTTTCTTTTCTTTCTTTCTCCGAAGTGTCAATTTTTCTTTCCTTAATTTTTTTTTCCGGTGGCCAGAGAAGATTCTTCCTATAGTGAAGAATCAACATTTGCTACTATGCACACTCCTCATATGGAATGCACTTGCAATGGAGGTATATTCAGACACTATACTCTCTACGTGCAAAGTCTTTGTATTTTTCGATAAAAAACTCGAAATCCTAAAATTAAATTTTTTTCATGCAAGGCCCTTCCAATTTTCGTTGACGCTCTTCTCCCGGCATGGGGGGCCGTATTAATTTCGGTTACGCTAATACTTGTATTCGGAGAGGTACATATTTTTCTAACATGGCGTACCAATTAATTAGTTTGGAGAGGAAAAAAAATGTCGTGTACCTATTTTCTTGTGCAGATTATTCCGCAGGCTGTGTGCTCCAGATATGGTCTTAACGTTGGTGCGAAATTATCGGTAGTTGTTCGACTCCTAGTCATAATTGTTTTCCCTTTATCGTATCCCATCAGTAAGGTAAGTAGTACTAAGTAAAGTTTTTCCTTCAAAACCGACAACTTAATTAGCAGTTACTAAAAATTCTGTCTGTAAATTTCGACAAAAGCTTTTGGATTTGCTGCTCGGAAAGGGTCATTCAGCTCTACTGAGGCGCGCAGAGCTTAAGACGCTTGTCGGCATGCACGGAAACGAGGTTTAATTATATTTCTTCATCATTGTCGATTTTAAACTCATCTTCAAAATTAATAAAAATAAAGAAATAAATTTGTACTAATCAGGCAGGAAAAGGAGGCGAATTAACACACGACGAAACAACAATTATCTCGGGAGCACTAGACTTGAGTGAGAAAACTGCAAAAGATGCAATGACACCATTATCTAGTGTTTTTTCTCTTGATCTTAATGCTAAACTTGACAAGTATGCCCTTTTCCTTCTCCATATATTATTAAAAAAAAAAAAAATATCGGTTGCATGCCCGTTGTTATAAACAACTTTATTTTTTCCATTTTCAGTGATACGATGAGTCTGATAATAAGCAAAGGGCATAGTCGGGTGCCTATATATTCAGGAACTGCGTCTAACATTGTTGGCCTTGTTCTGGTAAATAGAAACCTTAAAAATTTCTCCTTAAATTTCACCTGCCAAAAACGAAGAAACGGAATATTCCGATTTACTCACAAACTCGTGATTTTAGGTCAAGAATTTGATTAAGTGCAGTCCACAAGATGAAACTCTAATCAGGAATCTTACCATAAGAAGAATACCTAGGTACAATATTTTTTCGCTCGTTTATTCTTATGCATGTATATTTTATCGATAGTACTCTCGAGTATATTTATATATTATTTTAAATATAATGGCAGGTTCAGTGAATGTTTGCCGTTGTACGATATATTGAACCAGTTTCAGAAAGGGCAAAGCCATATGGCTGTTGTGATCAAGAGCAATTCTCTTGTAAAGAATAACACGGATATAGAATCTGATGCATTGGAGATAAACGTCGATTCGAGCTCAACTAATAGACAAACAGACAGAAATAGTTCTATACATTATGATTCAGATGAAGAAGTTATCGGTATAATTACAATGGAAGATGTTCTCGAAGAACTAATACAGGTCACATATGTATATATTGCTAACTACAAGACAATATTCAATTATTCATCACTAATTAAAATTAATTACTCCTTTGTTTTCTGCTACTAAAGGGACAAATATTTGATGAAACCGACGAATATGTTGATATTCACAACAGGTAATTTAGGTGCCTCCTTTATACTAAAAAACGAAGCGTTTTTTTATTTTTTGAATTTTAATTAGCTGAGGATTTTTATGTGCAGAATCAAGATTAATCTGAGCCCTACATTGAAATTGTCATCAAAATCTCTTTCGCCGTATTCTTCAATTCACCAGACTCCGATTTCTTGCCATCAGACAGCTACGACACGATCGCCTCTTTCTCCGTACACTCAGTCACCGATTTTTAGACCAAGTCTTTCTAATTCCACTGGAAACTCTGCATCGGCTTCTCCAGTTGGGAATGTGGGTCCGATTTACGGCTCTCCCTCCAACTATCAGGTTCAATTTTGGAAAGAAGAAAAATATTAACTAAATTTCAATATTCAGACAATGGCGAAACGAACTACTTAATAAACTGCAAATAAATTTGTTTAGTTATGAATTGTGATGATTATATTCTTTTTGCTTGGAATAACTTCTTATAATAATGCTGATTATTCATGCAGATATCTCGGAAATCATATGAGAAACTAAGAAAGCCCGGAAATTCGTAATTTCTGGTTTAATTTATTGAAGATCACAATAAGCATATTTGCAGCCACATTGTAAATATGTAAACGAAGCCGATTCCGTGATTCTGAACGGCATTTTCTTGTTTAAATTCGAAACTTTCCGATATATATATTCGTCGTCTGTCAGCCGATAATTTGCCATGATTGTTCATGACATTCAAATGAGCTTGTAAGAAGATTACTGATTTCACATACTTCATATCAACATACACTGTAATCAAGAAAATTTGAATTTCACCACAGTAATTATTTTTTAAGGTTCAAAAGACAAAATATCTTAACTTCCTATTAAAGACAAAAAAATGCCACTTTTGGGAATTCACAACCGTTCATCTTACTGGATAAGATATTAATAATAATAAAATAAAATAAAATACATTTTTCTATACAATTAAAAAAAAAAATAGACGAAGAAATAGTGTAATAACAAATTAAAGCGATGAAAACGCTTACCATTGTACTACAAATTACACCTCCGCATATCACCACAAGATCAAATCAATGGCCAAGAACCAACGAAACCCTCCACCGCAGCCGCCGGGAAACGCCATTCCAGCCAGCGAGAAAGTGGCGGCTGCACGACGGAGCAAAGGGATTCACCGGAAGGCCAACAAATAAAGAGAGGGAATCCATAGCCAAATCAAAAAGCAACACGTCATCATCAAGAAAAGACAAAAAAAACAACATGGACGATGACGACAAGATACCGGACGTGGTGTGGGATAGGATGATATCTAGGATTCTGGTCTACGTGGGCGTGCCGTTAGCGGCGGGGTTTTTTATGCTGCAGGTGTTCAGTGTGCTGAAGGAGCAAGGTTCGGTTAACGTGCCGAAATGGGTGCCGTTTGTGACGACGTTTGTCACGTTCGGCGCGTCGGCGTTGGGAGTTGCGTACGGGAGCTTGTCGACGAGTTTGAGCGCCGACGAAGAGGGCTCGCTTCTTGGGTTTGAACAGGTGGAGAAGAATTGGGTTGAGATGTGGGAACAAGACGAAGAACAAGACGACTGAGTAAAAAAACTTGAAGCTCATGATATTTTTTTTTTTTTTGCTTTTGTTATTATTATTATTATTTTTTGGGGTAAATTACAACCGATCACTAAGATATGATTAAATTACAAAAAAACTCTTCATGTTTGGGTAATTATAATCATCCATTAACTATAAATCTTCTTACACGTTCACTCTTGCGGTTTCAAATTTAGTGGAATCTTCGAAATTATATGGAATATTATCATTTTTGTACCCGATTTATCCTATCCGAACTCCACATTTTGAAACAAGATGATCATAATATGTATTTTTCGGCTTGTATATATGTCATATTGTGGTGTATCAGAAACTGTATTTTTACATAAAACGAGTACAAATTAGAGAACATTCCACGAAATCTAAGAAAAAAGAGGGGTTTTTTTGTAAATTAACCATACCTCAGGGGGTTGGTTGTAATTTACCCTTATTTTTTTATAAATAAAACATGCATTAATTAAAAAAATTGCAAATTATGTATGCCTAAACTACGAAAAAACCCTTTTGTTTGGGTAATTACAGCCAACCTCCTCCTTTTAAATAGTTTTACATAAAATTTATGTAATTCGGTTAATCACCGAACCAAATCGTATATTTAGTTCAATAAACGGTATGAAATGTTAGTATTAAAAGCTCAAAGTGATGACTGGCATGGAGGGAGAAACCCTAATTGCCATGGAAGAAGTATTGAGCAGAGAGAGAGAAAAATATCTGAAAATGAAAATTGTATTCAATCTGTTCAATGAAGACGGTTACAATATAACGTATATATACAGGCACATTACAAGCATTAGCTGAGCATTTTAAATCTAACTAATTGAATCTAACTAATTAATAACAAGATGAAGTATGAGTTAACCGATCCACGTGTTGTGCCCACGTGGACAGCTGTAAATGGGCTGTATAATCTAATATCCCCCTTAAGCTGGACAAAAAATATTTTTGAGTGAAAGCTTGGCAATAAGATCGGTAAACGAACGAACAACAAGGGCCTTAGTAAATGGATCAACAAGCTGGTGAGCGGACTTGACATGCATGAGACGAAATAAACCACGAGTAACATACTGACGAACAAAGTGGAGATCAATTTCAAGGTGTTTAGTGCGTTCGTGAAAAATAGGGTTTGAAGCAATGTGGACCGCAGCCTTATTGTCGCAAAAGAGAAGGGATTGAGGGAGAGATTGATGAAGATCAAGAAGCAGTTGCTTCAACCAAATGAGTTCACTGGCAACCGAAGCAAGAGCACGATACTCGGCTTCAACTGATGATCGAGAAACGGTGGCCTGTTTCTTAGACTTCCAGGAGATGAGAGACGAGCCCAAAAAAACACAAAACCCAGTTGTAGAACGGCGAGTGTCCGGGCAGGAGGCCTAATCAGAGTCGGAGAAAGCCGTAAGGGAGAGAGATGATTGAGAAGAATAGTAAAGTCCAAGACCAGGAGCAACCTTGAGGTATTTGAGGAGATAATGAGCGGCATGAAGATGAGGGGAACGAGGAGCAGACACAAACTGACTCAATTTGTGGACCGCAAACGTGATATCTGGACGAGTGATGTTGAGATAAAGGAGACGACCAATGAGACGCCGGTATATAGAAGAGTCGGGTAAAAGAGAACCATCAAGGATAGATAGTTCAGAGTGGGGATCCATAGGTGTCGGTACATGGTGGCAATGAAGAAAACCAGTGTCTTCAAGTAATTTTAAAGTGTACTGCCGTTGAGAAACCACAATGCCAGTAGAAGAACGAGCTACTTCAAGGCCAAAAAAAATACTTAAGAGAGCCCAGGTCCTTGAGCTTAAACTGACTGTGAAGAAATTCCTTGACTTTAGCAATAGCAAGAATATTGGGCCCAGCTAGGATGAGATCATCCACATATACCAGAAGTATGACCAAAGAATCATGAGTGCCTTTAGTAAATAAAGTATAATCAGAGGTTGATTAAGTGAAACCATGAGAAAGAAGGGCAGCAGTGAGTTTACAATTCCATTGACGAGAAGCCTGCTTGAGGCCATAAAGACTTTTATTGAGTCTGCAAACCAAAGGGGAAGAATTGTCAGAGGAAGAGTGAGGAGTATAGCCTGAGGGAAGATGCATGTAAACCTCTTCAAACAAGTCGCCATGAAGAAAAGCATTACTAACATCCATTTGAAACAAACCCCAATTGTGAATTGCAGCAAGAGCAAGTAAAGCCTTCACAGTAACCATCTTAGCAACGGGTGAGAAGGTCTCAATGTAGTCGATCCCTTCTTGTTGATTAAATCCCTTGGCCACTAACCGAGCCTTGTACCTGTCCACGGAGCCATCAGAGTTCCTTTTAATCCGGTACACCCACTTACAACCAATAGAAGTCTTTCCAGAAGGCAAAAGAACCAGAGACCAAGTGTGATTAGCCTCAAGTGCTTGTATCTCTTCTGCCATGGCTTTGATCCAAAGAGGGTTATGAGCAGCTTGATGGTAGAATTGAGGCTCAAAATCGGAGTCTAAAGCATTAACATAGGCTTGGTATGAACGAGATATAGAAGAATAACCGAGGACAGCTGAGATGGGATAAAGAGTGGCAGAAGAGGTGCAAATGTAATCTTGAAGATGAGAGGGTGGTTTGGAAAATCTAGTAGAATGGCGGGAAGGAGCTGGAAAAGTGGAAGGAGCTGGAAAAGTTGAGGGAGCTGGATTAGAAGGGGGATCAAGAGGAGAAGGAGAGTAATCAGTGTAGGGAATATGAGAAGAATTGGGAACAACTAAGTTAGGAAAGGGATCAGGAATAGAGGACTGAGAGGGATTAAGAAAGGGAAATGTGGATTCATGGAAAACAACATCTCTAGAAATGAACACTTTAAGAGTTTGGAGGTCAAGTAGCTTATAGCCTTTCATACCGGGTGAATAACCAAGAAAAGCACATGCTCGAGCTCTAGGATCAAACTTAGTCCGAGAGGAAGCAAGAGTGGAAGCAAAAGGTAAGCAACCAAATACTTTGAGAAATGAATAATCAACCACAGTAGAATACAAAAGCCCAAAAGGAGATTTTTGCTTGAGTATTTTGGAAGGAAGCCTGTTTATGAGATAGGCAGCTGTAAGAACACAATCTGACCAGTAGGCAAGAGGGATTCTTGATTGAAAATATATAAGGCTCGAGCAACATTGAGCAAGTGTTGATGTTTACGTTCAACAACAGAATTTTGTTGAGGAGTTTGAACACACGAAAATTGATGAATAATGCCCAATTCTTGAAAGAGAGAAGAGAATTTTAGCTCAGGAGCATTGTCACTTCTAAACATTTTGACTTTAGCCCCAAACTGAGTATTGATCATGGTAAGAAACTTGGGAAATAGAGTTTGAATGTCAGACTTTTGAGGAGTAAACAAAGCCAAGTGAACCTATTGTGATCATCAATAATAGTGGCAAAATATTTAAAATTATCATAAGAAGATTGATGAAATGGACCCCAAATGTCACAGTGAATGAGATCAAAAGGATGAGGAGCAAAATTATTATGAGAAATAAAAGGTAGTTTTCTTTGCTTAGCTAAGGGACATATATGACAATCAGAACAAGATTTGAAATCAATGAGTAATCTATCTTTGAGAGAAGACAAACGTTTTGAAGGAAAATGGCTAACTTTTGGTGCCAAACAGGGGCAGGTATTATAGCATTACAAAGAGAAACAGTGGTAATACCAACAGAGGAAGGAGGAGATAGGGGTGGGATAAAAGCTTGATCCAGGAGAAAGAGACCATGAAGTTGACTACCCTTGCCAATCTTGTGATGGTTGGAATCCTGAATGGAAAAACCAGAATGAGAGAAGCTCACAGTGATGTTGGTACCATGCACAAGAGAGCTGACAGAAAGTAAGTTGAAGTGGAATTGAGGAACATAAAAGACATTGGTGAGGGTAAGAGAAGGGGAAAGCTTGACATCACCAGTATAAAGAACAGGAATGGTGCTTTGATTTGGGAGAAGCACAGAGGTGTGAGAGACAGGGGAATAAGAAGTGAATAATGAAAGGTTATTGCAAATGTGTTTCGTAGCACCAGAGTCAATGACCCATTGATTAACAAAAAAAGATTGAAGTGCAGAAACAATACCTGTAACACAGGAAACTTGGGCAGAATTAGGGTTAGGATCAGTGGAAGAGGTGGAGAGGTGAGTAGATAAAAGTTGGATGAGCTGTTGACAATGAGCAGGCGAGAAAGTTTGGGTGGGATCAGAGCCAGTAGCAGTGGGAGATTCAGTGACACATTGAGCACTAGCCAGACGAGGTTTGGTGCGATAACCAGGTGGAAAATCGTGTAACTTGTAGCAACGTTCAACGGTATGGCCTGCAAGACCACAATGAGTGCATTGAGGACGATCACGCCGCTTGATCGGCGGGGGACGACGATCGGTGGTAGCAAAAGTCATCGGTGGCAGCACATGATCAGTGGATGAGGAATTGGTGATGAAACGATGACGTTCTTCTTGGTGAATCAAAGAGAAGACTCTGCCCATAGGAGGAAGGGGGTCAGTGAGAAGAATCTGACAACGGGAGGACTGATAAGAGTCATTCAAACCCATGAGGAACGTCATGATGTATTCATGTTCAAAATGAGATTCCAGCCGCGTAACACCACCGCAAGTGCAACGAGGACGAAAAGAAGAAACCTCATCCCATAGAGCCTTCAAACGAGTGAAGTATGTGTTCACGGAATCGGATTGCTGCCGGAGATCAGAAATATCACGACCGAGCTGAAAAATACGAGGACCATTCGTTTGACGAAAACGACCGGAGAGATCATCCCAAATAGCTTTGGCGTAATCGGAATAGAGAATATTGGACTGAATTTCCTTAGAAACGACATTGAGAATCCAGGAGATAACCACTTTGTTGTTGTGCGACCATGCCGGAAACAGAAGGAGATCATCGCGAGGAGGCGGCGAGATAGATCCATCGACAAAACCGATTTTATTCTTCACCTCAAGAGCGAGAAGCATCGCGCGAGACCAGGTGGAATAATTGTCGTTCTGAAGCAACTGAGAGACGAGAACCAGACCAGGGCCATCGGAAGGATGAAGAAAGTAAGGACTGTCCGGATCTTCCACCGGAGATCGAATTCGAGCAGCCATAATGAAGATCGGAGTGAGAATCAAAGAGCGGAAGAGAGACAAACTTCTGATACCATATTAAAAGCTCAAAGTGATGACTGCCATGGAGGGAGAAACCCTAATTGCCATGAAAGAAGTATTGAGCAGAGAGAGAGAAAATTATCTGAAAATGAAAATTGTATTCAATATGTTCAATGAAGACGGTTACAATATGACGTATATATACACGCACATTACAAGCATTAGCTGGGCATTTTAAATCTAACTAATTGAATCTAACTAATTAATAACAAGATAAAGTATGAGTTAACTGATCCACATGTTGTGCCCACGTGGACAGTACCGAAATTTCGGTTCAATTTTACCGAATTAACATTCATAAATTTACCTTTGGAGGGATCTTTTCGTAAGATAATACATAGTTGAGGAGTGACTGTAATTACCCAAACAAAATGGGGATTTTCGTAATTTGACCATAACTCAAGAAAGCCTTAGTTTGCCCTTAAAACAATTAAAAGGACAAGAGTCAAACGGATCATGTTATGCTTCGAAATAGGCTCGTATTTAAAATAATTAATTGAAATTGTTATTTAGTTCTAATCAAGATTAATACTATTATATATTAACCCAAAAAAAATTGTTGTAACGATAACGGCATTTTGTTTTATTTGCATGTCACTACTATTATATGTATCATAGTGATAGATTAGGACCATTATAAATGATAATCTAGACCACACAAAAGTTAGGAGTTGATTTCAAAATGGCCGGCGGCTTTAACCAAAATTGTACGATTCTAATTCATTCAATTTCTCAAATTAATATATATATATATATATAATGCTTGAGTAGAGGTATTTTTGTCATATTTTAGACTTGTAAATGGATTCATAACCTTTTGAGCACAACCAATAGCTATTCGAACTCCTTTTACCTGTAGCAGTGCATCTTGGATCTGTCGATTATGTTATGGCCGAAGTCCTACTTACGGCGACCTGGTTGAATTGGGAGAAGCTGTAGGTATTATTGCAGGGCAATCGAAGGTCGAAACCCTTAACAATTTAAACATGTTATTTTTTTTGTAATAGTTTTTAAGATTTACGCCAAACTATTTAGAAATTAAAATGAATGGTCAAGCGTAAAATCTTAAATTGAATCCAACGTGAATAATATCAATGATAAATGTCAAGAGTACTCAAAATCAATACGATTTAACCATAAATTCATTAAAAAAAGTAAATAAATTGAAAGCTTTATAAGACAAGATTTAAAATAAAAATAAATAATTATAAACAAAACGATACGATATCGTCGTTATAGATATAATGTTGACATGTAAGATATACTTTATTCATGTATTTATTTCACATTGTTTTTGTCTATACTGTTTTTTTATTTTATTTTTAATATATTAACAAACTTCAAAGTTCAATCCAATAATCCTATTTTCATATGTAAAAAATATTATTAATTAAAACTTGTAAAATAATATCTTTTAATATGATTGTATGGATGTATGACGCACATTCCTCAAATGAGCCCACTAACCTTTGAAAATTAATCTAACCTTTTCAAATTGATGACGACACATTCCTTAACCAACCAATGACCTTTGAGAATTAATCAAAATTGAAAAGCCACTTAAAACAGGGGATTAAGAAACAACCAAAAACCGGTTATTTGATACTATATAGTACATAATACATCGAGTGGTTAATAACAGTTATTCTGACTCACTGGGTGGCTATTTGATTGTTAATCTGACTCAGTGGGCGGCTATTTAATGGAATTATTATTAATTAATAAATGAAGCAATAACGTTTAATATCGATATTTACAAATTACATAAAACCAATAGTTAAAAGCCCTCTTCGCGAATACAGACTTACTACTCTCGCTAATCAACCAAAAAAGAAAAAAACAAGAAAAATCAACGGCTAATTAACCATTTTTTAAAAAATAAACAATAACTTGTGAATATTTTATTTTTCTTCATATTTATGTATTTTTTCAACAAATAACACAACCATTGGGATCCTCCTCCACGCCTCTACTATAGTACGGCGGCGGCACCACCGCCGGAGGTTGCTGATAAGGCTGGTAATAATAGGGCTGTTGATAGTATGCTTGATATGCCTTGACCAAATGGGCCGGATCCTCTTTCGGGCCGTCTTTTTTCTTATCGTCTGCTTTTTTGGGCTCTTCTTTCTTGGGCTCCTCCTTTTTGGGCTCCTCTTTTTTCTTTTCGGGCTCTTTTGCGGGGCCCACGGAGACAATCTCCGTGTAGCAAATCTTCCTTAACCGGGCAACCACAGCCACAGGATCTATATCCCCTGTTACGGTCAACTTCTTGTCCTTTGGATCAAGTGCAATCGACTCCAGCCCTGTAGAAAAGGTAAGGATCAGATAAGGTAATTGCTAAAAGTTTGTGGGCTTTCTTTTGAATATTGAAAAGATCAGGGGTTAACTTGAAAATATCAGTGTTATTTCTAAAAAATGGTACCTGAGATACCGGAGACTTTCTTCATGGCTTTTTGCTTGATTTTCTCATCGGCGAAATCTAATTTCAGCACAACTTTCTGCAAATAGATAAGAATTAAAATTAATAGTTAAAAATCCAGTAATTTTAAGAAAATGAAAAAAAAAGAGACAAGATTCCTCGTACACAAACAAAATCAAGAATTAATAAAAAGCACTGACCTTCATTTTTTCTGTTGATGAAATTTCGAGATCTGAGTAAGTAGTGGAAGGAAGAAAGAAAGAAAGAAAAGAGAGATGAAGAAAATGAAATAGATGAGTTTGATGAACTCTACTCGAGCTAATTCGTTTATATAGTACAAAGTACTAACTAATAAATAAAACAAGGGTAAATTCCACTTTACCCCCTCGTACTCTGCCTGAGAGTCACTTTACCCCCTCGTACTCTCAATTTTATCGATTTACCCCCTTGTACTTGTACAATTTCCCAGTACAGCCCTTTTCTTCAATTTTTGTCAATTTTGACTCTAACGCCATTTGGTCAACTCTGTAAATTACAAAATTATCACTGCCTATAACGCGTCGTTTCTCCTCCGTCAATATTGTCATTTCTTCTTCTCCCACCAGTTCCCCTTCCAAGATATCCCCAAATTGAACCCCTAACTTAGTAAAAATCAAGACCCAAAAATTGATCGATTCCACCCAGTGCAAAGAAAAAAATATATGAATGTGTGAAACTTTCTCTTTTCTAATCTCGAGAGTCAAAATCGAAAAAAATCAATATTTACGTCAATATTTTGACTCTTGACCAAATGGCGTCAGAGTCAAAATCGAAAAAAGTTGATGAAGAGGGTTGTATTGGGAAATTGTACAAGTACAAGGGGGTATATCGACGAAATTAAGAGTACGAGGGGGTAAAGTGGTTCTTGGGCAGAGTACAAGGGGGTAAAGTGGAATTTACCCATAAAACAAATGGAGGGGAACGTAACTGAGTCAACCGAGTCAAAATCGTCTAGTCCCGAAGTCAAGATTTTTCCTAAGCCGACGTTATAGACGATTTCAAATGCCCTTTTGGGAAGTTTCGTGGAGAGCAATCATGTACGTATATATCATATATCATATATGTGTGGTTTTAATATTATTTGATAAAACTACAGTTTTAACCCCTCAAATTTACACCTATTGTATATTTGGTCCCCACGTTCATAAAAAATACATTTGATCCCTCATGTTTTAATAATTTAATATTTTTGGTTTTTTCCCTCAATTCACAGTTAGTCCGTCGGCTAATATAGCGATAGGAACACGCTTCATCCCATTAGTACTAACGGAAAATTGACAAAAATGACTAAAAATATAGAATTTCTAAAATATGAGGGACTAAATGTGTTTTCAGTGAACATGGGGGACCAAATATAAAATTGATGCAAACTTGAGGGGTGAAAACCAATATTATTTGCATTTAATGAGTCGAGTATTTGGTCAATGTTTGAATCAGAATTTGCTTTGTAGTAGGGAAAACTAAGATTATTTATGAACCAATCATTAATGGAAGCACTTATTGAAACTATGTCTACAACTTGAAGATTCTCTAAGGACTTGTTAATGAAGTTCCATGTGACGTATTGACATTACAGAGCATACCTAGCTAAGCTTCTCCATGTATTGTTTAATTATTTTTAGATACATAGAAAATATTTCACCCTTATAAAATTAATTAGGATAATTAATTATTTATCTTGTCTAACTGTCAATGTTTATGCGGGAACTACATCAAAATTGGTTTATTGTATATTTGTATGTCACATTTGGCAAATATAATATACCATATTTTATTGTGTATTAATTTTTAAAAAACTTATTAATTAAGAAAAAATATTGCTTGAAGTTCTTGGATGAACCGCCAAATAAAGATTTTAGGTGGTGATGGGCCCACGACCAAAGGCGACAAGCCATAGAGGCACACAAATCAAGCTCAAGTTGACTAAGGGTCAAACTGGTCATGATCTAAATAGTTAGGTCTAAGTTAAGTGGCTAAGGCCCATGAGAATACATGCCTTCGTATAAATACCCAAAAACCTCATAATCAAAGTCACACAATTTATAACTCCCGAGCAGTCTCTTGAATTCTCTGAATTCTTCTATCATACAAAACTGACTTCGAGTGTCGGAGGGCTTTCGTCGGGACCAATTCCGGCGCTCTAGTGAATTTTTGTGATGCAGGTGGTGCCCACGAGAGGGATCAAGAAGTGCGAGGGAGGAATTGCAAAACAGTGAATTTTTGTGATGCAAGTGGTGCCCACGAGAGGGATCAAGAAGTGCGAGGGAGGAATTGCAAAACAGTAAATTTTTGTGATACAGGTGGTGCCCACGAGAGGGATCAAGAAATGCGAGGGAGGAATTGCAAAACAGTGAATTTTTGTGATGCAGGTGGTGCCCACGAGAGGGATCAAGAAGTGCGAGTAGGGGTGTAAACGAGCCGAGCTCGAGCCGAGCTCGCCTCTTTTGGCTGGCTCGAGCTCGAGCTCGAGTTTATTTTGTCGAGCTCGAGCTCGAGCTCGAGCTCGCGAGCTCCTCTTTTTTTGGCTCGAGCTCGAGCTCGTGTCAGTTGTGTCGAGCTCGAGCTCGAGCCCATTGTCTTTTTTTTTTTTTTTTTTAATATTTTTTTAATTATTATTTTATTATTAAAAATTATTTAAAAAAATAAAAAATAAAAACTAAATTGTAATTATATATATATTTTAATATTTGTATTTATTTCTATAATATTTTACATTATTATACATTATTTAAATAAAAATAACATATAAAAAATAAAAAAAAATAATAAAAAAATAATAATAAATCCGGCTCGCGAGCCGGCTCGCGAGCTCATGAACAACTGAAAACCGGCTCGAGCTCGGCTCATCAGAAAGCTCGAGCTCGCGAGCTCGAGCTCGAGCTCGAAAATCTCGAGTTCGAGTTCGAGCTTTTTACGAGCCGGCTCTTCGAGCTCACGAGTCGGCTCGGCTTGTTTACACCCATAAGTGCGAGGGAGGAATTGCAAGACGGGACGTGAAATCGTACCACATCATATCGCGTGGCGTGGAATCGTACCACATCAGGTGGGCTTTGTTCGTTTCTATTATTTGGAAAAACAATAAAATGGGCTATAGACTATTTTTAGAAATGATGCCCATTCTATCAAATCAATGGGCCTCAGTCCAGAAAACTCGATGTCCAATTTGTCAAGCAATTGTTTTGGGCTAGATTTATTTGTGACATATGGCTGCATAATTATGTTGGAGTGGGGCTATTGTTTCCACATTTGGATTAAAGTATTTAAATAACATAATTAAGTGAAGTTGACGTCACCCACAAAGGGAATTCAACTTCGAAAAGACAGCTGTATAATATTTCCATATAAAAAAAAAGAATATAAAATGAAATTTAAGAAAAAAATATCTAGCGGTAACCCCACCCAACCATCTTTTACACAAACCAGAAACCCAGAAATACACGCACTGAAGGTGAAACCACGCGCACACAGACACACACTCACACACCGCATGGTGTCAGAGAACACAAAGCCAGCGGAAGGCTTCTTCTTGGATCCTACAGGCATGGCTTTGCCGAACGTCGGCTTGTTTTCCTCTCCCGCAACCGGTGACACGCCGTCGCCGTTGGAAGACCCGAGCAAGAAGATCAGAAAGCCATACACCATTAGCAAGTCGCGCGAGAGCTGGTCCGAACCAGAGCACGACAAGTTTCTCGAAGCACTCCAGCTGTAAGTTCGATGATTTTGTGATTTCGAGTTTCTGAATTTGTCGTCACGTGTAGAGTTAATTAGGGTTTTGGTGTCGGAGTTGAATTACAGTGGTGGAAGTGGAGCTCTACCTGAATTAAATTGGAATTTGTTTTCAATAAATTTGTGTCTATTTGATATATGTAATTTCTGGATGTCCTTATTTTTGCTGCTTATGATGTAGTTTCAAGTTTAGAAGATTATTTACATTCTCTTTATGCAGATTCGATCGAGATTGGAAGAAAATCGAAGCATTTATTGGATCGAAGACAGTTATTCAGGTAATTGTCTGTACTTGACCTACTACTTTACTAGAGTAGAGTGATATTATTGTTTTCTTAAGCAATTTGCCTGCGCACAAAGGCACAAATGGATTGTGAGAAATCCGCTGTGAATTTATCTTGCACACAAAATATAAGTTTACTCAACCAAGTAAAACGTAGTTGCTTTAACTTTGAAGTCTGTTATGCTTGAATGCTCTTTGAATTTGTTTTGGCAAAGGCTTGTATTCGTAGAGTTCTCAAGCCTGGTCTTCGTCGCTCGGTTGCAGAATTGTCACATTAAGTTATTTTTTCATAAGTTTGGTGTTTTTGTGTAAGGTTTCAGCTAATTGGTATTTGACAGTCCCTTTTTTTTTCTCTCTAAACTGTTTTTCGTAGATGAAAATGCTTCTTTGTTGCTAGTGATGTGAGGTAAAATTATTTCTCTGTCGCTGGTGCTATGGGAGAAGTTAAATTTTCTTGCTAATAATGTGAGATAAAATTCATCTCTGTAGATACGTAGCCATGCACAGAAGTATTTTCTTAAAGTTCAAAAGAGTGGAACCAATGAACATCTACCTCCACCTCGACCGAAAAGGAAGTCTGCTCATCCTTATCCACAAAAAGCTTCTAAAGCCGGTAAGATTGCATTATATGTAGTCCTTTTGGCGGCAGCAATATCGCAAAATTCAACCTATTTTATTTCTGATCTAGTCTTAACTTTAACCTGACTTATTTCCGATTTCTCTGAAGCTCCGGTGGTTTCACCAGAGGTATCATCGTTCCAAGCGTCACCTTCTTCAGCATTCAGACATCCTGATGCTGCTGTGCCAATACCTGTCTTGACAGATAAACCTGTGCAGAATAATACTTTTCCACATGCTGAAGGTTCACTTATTTTCTTTTTCTATTGGAAGATTCAGAGTATTTTATTCTATCAATGTAGACCCATAGGGCTTTTGCGGAGTCTGTATAGAACTTTCAATTTTGTCGTGTTGCAGGTAATACCAGATCTGCTGGACAGCCTCTGGCCAATATTTACCCTTGCAGTAGCAACGAAAGCGCACCAAGAAATAGGAATACAGGTGAGATACTCAACCAAATGAATCTTGGACTTGTGAATAACAGCTAATAATATGTTTGATCAAGGTATTGTGCTCTTTTAAAAGTACGGATGAAAGAAGAGGAAGGAAGAAATTCGATGTTCTTGGTTTTTCTATTCTGTTTGAAGAACTAGTTCAACATCACTGTCTCATTTCTTTTTTCAAATTGGGTGATATTAGAACCTTGTCGCGCGGGCGATTTTTGGTGGCGGTGTGGAAATTATCCAAACAGCCCCTGTCTCTCATTTTTTTTTGCTTTGGTCATGCAATTGAATATTCTGTCTTTGTCTATGCTTTCTGCAGTTCTGCTGTAAATGGTTTAAGTTTATATTGCCCTATTATTTCTGATCTATTACTATCACTAGTTATTATTGATCTCTATTCCTCCTGCATGCAGTTCTTCCGGATTTTTCTCAAGTATATGGGTTCATAGGCAGCGTCTTTGATCCAAATGTGACTGGCCATTTGCAGAACCTGAAGAAGATGGATCCAATTGATATTGAGACAGTATGTTCTAATTTTGAATCTTTCGATCCTCTAGTTACTTTAATATCACATAGTCAGAATTATCCCGTCGTGTGTGATCAATGAAAGCAAGAAAACCAGAATAATACGGATTTTCAGGATTGTCTAAATGCAGGTTTTGTAGACTAATATTTAGTAGGCCCTTGGTCTTATGGACATGTCCATGTTATACCTTGTGAATTGAAAGATTCTTTAGCTCTCTGCATTACCGATCACCAGTGCAAAAAACATTTTCCGAGATGGAGTTTTTCCTTTAATTTCCACTATTTTCTGGCACTAATACAACATCAAGAGAGGCTTTTGAATCTACGACACAATTTTTTCTATCAGATATTTTAGTTACAGTTCTTTTCAATTTATTTTGTGATACGACACAGAGAAGAGGGTATTAGCATTGCACCTGCATCCACACATGCTAAATGCTATTAGTATTCTAAATGCTAGCTGTCCCCCCTTGCTTCTCACACATGCTTTTTATAACAAATATAATATGTTTATTCTTCATTGGCCTGTAAGACAATTGACTCTCTTAACTACCATATAATGTTTTAACTGTATGTTTGAGCATCTTATAACCTTTCTATTTTCTTCATATGAACGCTTGAACAGGTGTTATTGTTGATGAGAAATCTGTCTATCAATTTGGCTAGTCCCGATTTTGAGGATCATGTAAGTGTGAATTTTTTACGAGTATCAAAGTGTTGGTTCAGTGTGTAGTCTCAACTTGCATTTAATCTGATCGATCTGATTTACTACTAATACAGAGAAGGCTACTTTCATCATACGAGATTGACACTGAGAAGGATAATGATTTCGATGTAACGGATTCCATCCTTGACAGTGAATCTGAGGACGCTACCTAATTTTGGTAAAGCATTGGAGTGTTTAAATTCCTTTTGATATTCGAGGAGTACCGTTTATGAATCAATATATTATTACATGAACAATGCTCATTTGTCTGAATGAGATTTGCTGGTTTAGTGGCAGGACGTGAGGACTTTTAGCCATGTCCTATAGAAAGTTGACAAATCCTAGAGTTGTAAGTATATTTTTTTTTTTTGAAAACTTATGCTTATGTACGACTAATGTGCCTTGTACATATTGAGTAGACAAAATAAAATGAGATAAATATGTATTGCGGGAATGTAAATTATGAAACTGATGTGTAAATGCAAGTTTTGATTCACTTGTGCAGTTTTGATCATCTTGCAGTTTGTCTAAAAAAAAATTGAGTTTTGCTTCTTGAATAACTTATACGAAGGAAGCTGCAAGATGTACTACATAATCCAATTTTAATTTTATGCGTCTCTCTATTCCCTGTTTGTCATTCTGGTAATATTTTCACATTATTTATTATATATATTGAGTGTGAGCTTACTTTTATCTATGGAGTTGATCAGAGTGCAATGTTTTGATACAGCTGTGCCACGATATGGTTGTCCATATGTTCAAATAATAGCTGTTAATATATTTTCTTGATATTTTTGTGAATAGCCAAACAGAGCTTGCCCGAATGACAAATTTACCAAAATAGCATCTACATAATCGCTTCGGTTGAATTCTCTCTCTAGCGAATTTTGCCTACCTGAGTTATATGTTTGCCGAACGGTCAAGTCTGTCGCTTTACAACTTGATAGATGATCGTTTCAGAATTATACGCAATTGATGTAATAAGCGTTTCTACTATTTAAGTGAAACAACGGCAATAGGGAACATTAGAAATTAGAATGTCACACACTGTATTTGTATTTTATAGAGCTATGGACACCTCTAAATCTTTATATTACATACAGATCTTTTTTAACGTGCCTTCTGATAAGCGATATCTATGGCTACGCTGACCTATAGCGTCATTTAGTTGTGCAACTTGTGAAAATTTGATTATGTAATTGGATTAAGGAGTTTCAGTACATAATTTTCTAATAAAAACATGTTTAGAGCTTATTTTTCATAACCCAACTCTAAAAGTTTTTGGTGTAATTGAAAACCATGTAAAATCAAATTATTTAATTAATCGTAGTTAATTTTGTCAATGAAAAAAGGCCCATGTATAATCCAACCATAAATCCCAAAATCTATGCGGATACCCGAAGCAAGGAGTTTGTGTTTTCACCCCAGATTTTTGTATTTTCAAATGACGATTTTAAAGAAACACTCACTTTCGGGTAGCAAATCCGCACGTAGAACGTTAAGGATCTAGACATGCTGCAAAACAAGTCCGAAGGATTGCTGTACAGAGAATTACAGTCGTTTTGCACGAGCTCCAGTTATTGTTATAGTTTCGATTTACTGTCACTGTTCATACTAGCTATTATGCATAAAGGAGTCAACATGTATCTATTCGAATGGGTTGAAAATTACCACACTGCCATCAAATTGATCGTTGACCTAGTAACCATACGATGTGCCAAACAGGTGCCTCAGAGTTGAGCTCTCCATACAATGGCAAGTTCCAGGGCAACTGCACAAAAGTATGAGTTAGCACTTGTTCTTAAGATCTCTATCTAGCATGATGAACAATACGGGTTAACAAAGTCGAACAAAAAAATGAATTATGATTGGCACACACACCAAATATTTACGATACAAAAATTTGCATCAGAATGATTCGTGTAGCAGATAGTAGAATACCTGCAGTTTAATTTCCAAAGCCATGATAGATTGCTCGTTGTGGAGGCCAGCTCGAGAACTGCTTTGTGTTCATTTCAGGTTTTGGTTGATGTAACAGTGAATACTGAACAAAGGGATCATTAGCTTTTGTGTTGGTGAAATTATTTTCCTGGAAAGATTGGAAAGGAAAATTAGGATAACCGTAGCGATTATGATTGGATGTGAAAGGGAAGGTACTGCGAAGCATGGACTTTGGACGGAAATTCTTCGGTAGACAGGGTAAGGGCATCTCTGGTCCAAACATTTCAGTAAATCTCCGAGAGTAAGATTGCTGAGGATATGGTTTCCCTTGAGTTGCCGAGGCTGAGAAGTTATGAAGCGATTGAGCATTACAACCGTGTGAGGTAGATTTATCTCCAGACTTGGTAAAATTTGGAGATACTGAATTCTTTCCCATGTTAACTGCCTTATTTGATGTCACCTTATCAGTAGAGATCAGAATTAAGCTATCTTCATCCGGCCAAATGATTTCAGTTTCAGAACTGGTATTGTTCGAAGAATCCAAATTCAGACTTGCAGGTAATGTCGAGTGGTCTAATGGAATCGAACTATCCTCATCAGAAAACAACTTTTTAACTTCTGAATCAGGCTTGTTTTCAGGGGTGGGTGACGGCAAGCGCTCTGGCTCTAGCTGCAGTTCGATAATATCTAAAATTTCGTCCCAATATTTGTCATATATAAATTCATCATTCTCAAGGATTCCCAGCACAAGCTCATTGTTGCAATCAACTGTTCCCCTTCCGTCACTGTCCACCCAAGTGGCCTCAAATTCACCAAACAATGTTTTCGCCGAGTAATCTACTCCTGCAAGAGGAAAACCATACCCAGATTTGTCATTTTCTGTAATGCTATCAACTGAACCGCTTTGGTTTGACTCGATTGGTGAAAAAGAGGAACCCTCCGAAGATCTTGCTCCATGTTCAGAAGAAGGGTCCAAAATTTCCTGCATTTTCACTGAGTCGTCTATTCCTGCAAGGGTAAACCCAGTCCCAGATTTTTCATTGTCTGTAGTGCTAATAGCTGGAGCTCTATGGTTAGACTCATTTGGCAAAGAGGAGGAATCCTCCGAGGATTCTGCTCCGAGTTCAGAAGAAGTATCCAAAGTTTCCTGCATTTTCAGCGAGTCATCTACTCTTGCAAAAGGAAACCTATACCCAGATTTGTCACTTTCTGTAATGCTATCATTTGGTGAGGAGGAATCTTCCGAGGATTGTGCTCCAAGTTCAGAAGAAGTATCCAAAGTTTCCTGCATTTTCAGCGAGTCATCTACTCTTGCAAGAGGAAACCTATACCCAGATTTGTCACTTTCTGTAATGCTATCATTTGGTGAGGAGGAATATTCCGAGGATTCTGACCCAAGTTCAGAAGAAGTATCCAATGTTTTCTGCATCTTCTGCATTTGAGTTTAAATTTGGTTAGGTTAATCATAACCATGAGAGCATTTTCTGAAACCAATAATAACATGCAGCTGATGGGATTTTTTTTCTCTGCTCAATCTTCTTAGTCCATACATCCTTATCCATCTATTTCAGAGAGAGCAACAAACTTAGTACCATATATACCCAACAATAAAAGAAATGAAATCAGTAGTATCAAAACTTAGAACTATAGGCTTGGAAAATAAACAATTCAACTGTTTTCTTCATCTGTGAGCACCGAAGAGAACAGTTTCTTATATGTTTTCTGTCCTTATAATGATGCCACCATTAGCAGAGATATCATACCATAAGGGCATAATCTTACAACTGATCATGCCTTTAAATGTCTAGACCACTGGTTAAACTTCTCTTTGTCAGAATAAGGAAGTTGCATCGAGGAACAGATATCTAAGGAAACTCCAGAATTTTACCTTATTAAGATGGGGAGGAAGATAAGGGTTTTCACTCTTTTTAAGTTGATTCAGATCATCTTTTTGGATCGGTTGACTCAAAATCTCAGCAAAATATCTAGATCTCGGAGGTACTTGCTGACACACGGCATCACTCATCGCTGCAATACAATTTAAACATGTTAAGAAGAAATCAAATTGTAATTATGGATCGAGCTTTTGAAGATATGTATTCCTTTGTTGAGCTATTAATAAAAATATAACAAGCTTGAAGCTTCAAATAATGCACAACAAACTACAACTGCAGAACAATCCAAATAAATAACTCATTGAGTGATTCAACAAGAACAAATATGTTTGTAAGACTAACATTTCACAAAACATTAGAACAATTGTGACATAAAAACTTACCGTAGCCACATAAATATACTGATAATCTCATATTTAATAGCTCAGTTAGCAATTCGACTAAATGCCATTTTTATTTTGTTAATCACTATATAGCAAAGTTCTCTACCCAGAGCAACTGTCTACGACATTGATAACTTTGAATCTATTCTTGTATGCAACATAAAACCTCAAATGTTAAATGCTACTGTTCGGTCTTTCCTAAATTCGCCTCAGAGCAGAACAAGGGAGGTAGACAAACAACTGCTTTGCATACCACTAGTTTTGACACATACCTGAACTACAATCTCCAAGCCAGTGACTCCGTTTACTCTGGTTGTCCTCCATTTTTTCACTAGGGAAACCCAACCACGATCTGGTAGATGGTAACGGATCACAAGGAGATGGTTTACCAGACAGCCTTCCGTGTTCCATCGCATCATCAGATTCTCCACCAAGATCACTGTTTCGAAATAGAAATTCAACTTTAAATTTATAGAACAACACAGTAATTTATTTACATTCGCAATTCCAGCAACTAGAAATCCAAGTACAAAATCTCAATAGCGGTTAACCAGTCAGTCAGAACAATGTAGTGAAATCAATAAACTATAAAAAAAGTACACCGAATGATAGTAAAACTAACAAAATTTGGCCGAAGTCTACTGCAAACCTAAGTTCTTAGTATAACATTCGAAAGTCGATACTATCTACAGAGGTTTCTGAATTCGACGCGTCAACACGCATATATTAGGCAGCTGGCTCCGAGCAACAGAAAATCGATAATGATTATAATAATGTTGCACAATTCACAAAGCTATCCAGAACAAAATTAGCATAGAGGAGAAAAAAAATTCTTACCTCAGAATTAACGGGTCAAAATCTCTAGGTAATTTGCGGCAAACTTCGACTTCAATAAATTTCAAAAGCAAATCTCTTACATACTTAATTTTCAACTTTCCGCCTCTGCAAAATGAAAAAATGCAAAATCTGAGTACAGATTCGCTAAAACAATCACCAACGCTTGATTTTCCATGAATAATATGAATCACAATTTTGCAATTGAACACAGCGAAGAATAATACGGAATGAAAATTAGAAAAGCGTCGTGAGATTAATTACTTGGAAAACTCATCTTCGGTTCCTTCCAACCCTAACGGCTCAACCAAGCTTCGATCTTCACCTTCGCTGGTCATGCTTCTCCTTTCATCTACCTGTTGATTCGGAAAATTGAAATACGCGAATGTTAAACCCTAGCAACTGCAAAATGAAGTTAACTGTAGAGGCAGAGCACAGTACTTTGTATTTGAGCAACGGAGAGAAAAAAATCGAAGAAAAATGACCGCCAATATGGAAAATTGATAGTTCGCTGACTGCTGAGGAAGAAATAGGAAGGAAAAACCCTCGAGGTACACACATGCACGTTATGTTTGATAACAGAGTTCTGTTATATGGCTTTGTGAGTTACTTAAATTTATTAATCATGACAAACATAGAAAATTTGAAGAATTTAATTAGGGTTTAATTATATGCCATACCTGATTATTTATATTCGGTGAATTTAATCGTAGATCTACACATCCATTTATTTGCTTAGTAAGTGATTAATTATTCAAATTTAGGGATGAAATTCATCCAACTTAAATAATCAGGTGTAACATCTAATTTCCCGTTAGACACACTAGTATCTATGACCCGTGCGTTGCACGGGACAATAAAATAGTTACCATGATGTAAATTAAGATAGTCTTCTTTTGAAGGAAATATTTTAATTTTAATTAGTATTTGTTTAGGCTGAATTATTTAAAGAAAATCTAAAAACTTTTAATTGGAAGTTGACTAATAATAATTTTGGGACCTTTTGAACAAAATAATTTCACTCTAGTATAAACATTTAAAATTATGCGTTGATAATGTTATATAATTATAATAAAGTTAATAATTGATGGAACTTTGGAAAACGATCATTACCTCTTATATAATGGACGGTAATGGACGGTTGAGGGATAAAAATCAACTCAGTCCCAACCCTAGGCAGAAATATGAGTTTGACAAACCTGCAAGAAAACCATTTACTTAAATAGAGCAAAAATATGGTCCCTGCAAAGCATATTAATAATGGAATTCTTCATATCCAAATATGGTGCAATGTGTGTGAAATCTTAGTTAATCCGTTAGTCCGTGGCCAACACTCATATAAACGATCTGAGATACACTCTCATATATGATTGCAAATCGATTCGTTCGAATGAGAACATCCAAAATAAACTACTACTGTGACATATCAATTGCTAAAAAAAAAAGAGCGGATGAAGAATGTTGTTATTCTACATATGTTCATAAACATGGAAAATGACAGAAAAGATGTGCCGAGTCAACAGGAACATGGAACCTGGAAAGGAATGCTACTATGCTAAATTTGTTTCGCAAAAATAATTCTAAATGAATTGATTTCTTTTCAAATAGAAAAAACATAAATTTAATATTAAATGATAAATGCTATAAATATAAGGAACCGTTCATTACCTCTCACTGATTAAAACATCTCAATTATATAAACTCGTTGATAGCTTTCGAAAGTCAAAATTGTTTTCGTGAAAACCTTTTTCATGAAGAAGAGATACCTCAAAATTTTTGCTTGATTGCCTGCATCGACAAAAATCCAAAGTTCAAAATTAGGTGACAATCAAAAGCGAAATTACACATAAAACATAAAACATGAAGAGGTAAAATGAATACATATTCTGAATCAACTATCCACCTTCAATAAAACATTAAAGTTAATAAGATAAAACTTTAAAATTGCAGTAATCAAACAAAAGAATGAAACAACTACATGGATTGTTTCTCTCCTGCACCAAACCCCTAAATAAAAATCAAATAATAAAATATTTAATTTACCAATATAATCAACCGGATTTCCTCAACTTGTTCCGGTGAGCCATTGAGCATCAAACCCACTGCGTAAACAACGTTTGAAGACAAAACGAAGTTTTGATATTTTTTGAGCGAAAAAAGTGGCCGGCATAATAAAGGAACGGAGAATCGGAAACTGACCAAGGTTACGTTAAATCGATAATTGAAAAGAGATTTCATGGATGTCCATGCGTATCCGCCATGCGTCGACCGTCGATGTAAAGAAGAAAATGAAGAAATGATTTTTTTAACAGTTCATTTTCTCAGTGTGTTTGTGTGAGGAAAATTATATGGGAAATGAGAAGTTATTTGGAGGTTAATAAATAATCTCCTTTTTTTTTAACTGAAATGCTATTCATAGAACAATTTTTACCGGCTTGCAGTGCGACTTTATTTCATTTGTAATTTTTCTTAAGAAAATTCAAAATTCTCTCAAACCCTATCCAAGGTTCTTCGAGTTCTTGCGGATTAAACGAGCAATTCAACAACGATTAAGGTAAAATTCGAACTCGAAATCATTGACCCAATGTTTTTATAATAGTATATTAACAAATTTCGTCGAAAATCTATACGTTTTGACTATTTTGATTATGTTCGAAAGTTTTCGGAAATAAACTTACATTTCGTGTAGAAACTCACGAAATGAAGGGGCTAATTTCGTGAGTTTGTACACGAAATAGACGTATTTGTTTGTTTTTCTTACGTTTTTTTCAAGATTTATTTTATTTATTATTATTATTTAGACTGATGTTAATAGTGTTTTATTTAACAGATGTCAGGCAAAGGGAAATCAAGTGCAATTATGCGAGCAGTTCGTGAAGAGGCTGAACATCAAGAGCGCGAGCGCGAGCGCATGACTATGTCTACACGACGTAGGCGAGAGGCTGAGAGAGCTGGTGAAGCCAGATCATCAGTTCCACATCCCGATGTTGGGTCTTCTCGTGCTATGGAGGAGGAGGAATATGTGGCCCCCGTTCACGAGACTGAGGTTGTAGGTCGTGGAGGTCGTAGAGGTCGTGGAGGCCGAGGACGGGGCCGTGGAGGTCGACCTTATACTCGAGTCAATCCGGATGTGCTAGATGGTCCATTTCCCGGTGGCCCGCGGGATCCGTCTTTGATACCGAGTTTCAAGTCGCACGTAGCGGCATATATTTGGAGGGGAGAAGTAAGTTAATTACTTGTTTTAATTTTAATATTATAATTTTTGTATCTTCTATTAAAATATTTTTATAGTTGATTAATTAATATGTTTTCTAAATAAATGATTGCAGGAACGTCCGGTTGGACGAGTGGAGTCCCGTATCAACTCCCTGAACCAATTCAACTACGAGAAGATAGCAGATGCCCTAGAAGACGTAGATGTATCCGTAGACAAGCATTTTCTGCGGATGACCGGTTTGTATCCCCTAGCCCGATGTTATTTACAGGGCCTAGATATTCCGCTGTTGTTTGCATTCGTGGAGCGGTGGCAGCCGGAGACGAACAGCTTCCATATGCCGTGGGGAGAGATGACTATCACTCTCCACGATGTCCAGATGATTCTAGGTGCCAATGTGGAGGGACGGGTGGTCGCGCCTAGGTACGACGATGCCACCGAGCGGACAAACTGCGTGTATTTGCTGTCCGAGGCCTTAAACCTCGAGTTTGAGGAGATTGACGAGTCGTGGAAGCATGGGGGCCCCACATGGAGGATGTTACAGGGACAGTTGTTGATGCCCGACACGCCCATGAGACGCCGAGTTCAGATATACCTGGTGTTTCTCCGTCGGATGAGAGCGAGCGCTACCGCGAGTTTCAGCCTCGATGTAAGAGGTGGAACGCGCCACCAAAAGCGGGCACGCTCGAGCATATTCGAGGTTTACTCGATAATATGACAGCGGATGATGTAAGTCTTTTATATTTATGTATTTATATTTTTTGAAATATGAATTTTTCGATATGAATTTTAATTATGAATTTTTTGATTTAAATATGTCTTGTAGTTTGTTTAAATATGAATTTTTTGATTTATGTATTTATATTGTTTTCTGTTTAGGTCGAGTGGCTACCGTATGGTCGGGATATACACGAGAGTATCCCTCGTACGTTGTATCATGGCACGATCCAGTACATGTGGGTCGTAGAGCCGTATATGCCTGATCGTTGCGTCCGACAGTTTGGATGGGTTCAGGATATACCACGCGGCTTGATTCCGTCGATGGAGCCATGTTCACGCGGTCCCAAAGGAGGTACATCGTACAAAGTCAACTACCCATTTCCGGGTGGGATGTGGGACATGGTCCAGGCTCATTCCATTCATGCCCGCGCATACAAGACGGCACGACAACGGGGGGAAGTCGACGAGCACTACATGGAGTGGTACACCGATCGGACTCATCCGAAGATCAACAACCCCGACGTAGGCCCGGCTCCAGTGCATCGAGAGAATGTGAGGCCACCAGATCAGCCGGCTTTTTACCAGGTAGTACGTGCCCTGTACCCGATCACCAGGAGCACTGGACAGGACTGGATGCAGCAGTTTGCCGATCTACGTGCCGATCTTGGAGATATTATGCAGCCCGCCGCCCAATATCTTGGCATCGACCGTGACAACGACGACGACGATGACGACGACGACGATCATGAGGTGCAGCCGCCGAGGAGAGCGAGGCGGTAGTTTATCGGTTTTTTTTGCCAGTTATATATTTTTATGAACTATTTAATTTTAAAGTTTATTTTTATTATTATTAGGACTATGCATTTTTATTATTGTTAGGAACTATTTAATTTAATAATTTATTTTAATTTTTAATTAGGAACTAATTATTTTACTAATTTTGTTTATTATTATTACGAACTATTTAATTTACTAGTTTGTTGTTTTGTATTTTAATTCACTAGTTTTATTATTTGAATTTAGAAACTACGTACAACTGAAGCAATTAAAGTACATATTTAAACAACCTTACAAACAATCTTACAAATTTAATACATTCCAAAAACATAGATTAAACATATAAAATGCAAAACACAACGCTACAAATTTAAATATTCCAAAACATAAGTTTGAATGCAAAATTAAAACAAATATAAATTTAAACATAAGTTAAACTTTCAAATACCCGGCAGATGGTTATGATTACCATTACTCACACTCAATCGCCATAATCCATCCTCCGTTGATTTTTTGCCAATTAACCTGAACGGACAAGAACGTTTCTTCAATAGTCCGTGTCGTCCAGATTGATATCTTGCACACGTTAAAACATGATATTTTTCTGATTTACAATGATTAATCAGTCGATGATTATGACTAATTGCTGTGTCTTTTGCCCACATAATTAACGCTTCTCTACTATCACACACAATACCACGTTCAAAGAAGTGACTATGATCGTGAGATTGTTCTCTTAGTTCCTGCATAAATATTTAAAATTAAAAGACAATATTTAAGGGATTTCGTAGAAAAACCTACGAAATGTAGCCTACATTTCGTGTAAACACACACGAAATAATAGCTTCCATTTCGTAGGTTTTACCACGAAATGTAAGCTTCCATTTCGTGTGATTGTATACGAAACAAACAACTAACGATTTTAAGACATATTTCGTATAGTATTACACGAAATGAAAGCATATATTTCGTGTGTTATGACACGAAATCGCTAAAAACGTTGGAAACGAACAAAAAACGTGTATTTTCACCTCAAAATCGAAGCCGTTGTCATCCATGTCGATAATACTTGTGCTCTAACTGATATTGGTCGAAAAAATACTAAAATTGATAAATTTTAAGAATAAAAGGTTGAGAGTGTTTGAGAGGGTATTTGGATAAGATTTGGAAAAGAAAAAAAAATGAATTATTTTGCACTGCGAGTGGTAAAAATCGCACTGATAATAGCAAGCCCCTTTTTTAATCAACTGCTGCTGCAGTTATTGAATAATGCTAAATGTTTGTGAAAAAAATCGGATCGTTTATTATGGGTTTTAAAGAGTATACAATTAATTGTTATTGAATAATGATAAATATTTGTGAAAAAATCAGAACGTGCGCTCATTTCTTTTTATATATAAGATTTTGTCAGTTAAATTACATTTAAAAGTGTTGGAATTTTGGTTAATTTTTTTAAAATTGAATGTATTGGGCCTAATGGCCCATCTGACCGGTTGAATTAGGGCCTAGACTATTGTTCAGGCCCGTTGATAACAAGAAAACCAAAACCGTGATTTGGGCTGAATGATGAATCCATATTTTTATACTACTGTGGATAATTAATTAAATGTATATTTACAATATATTTATTTAAAAAAATTAAAAAATGAAATAATAAAATTATAATTGAATTTAGTTGAACCAATCCCCTGTATTTTTTATTTTCTTTGATGAATCGTACTTGTTAGAAATTTCTGTGTATTTATACTTATGGGCTTGAGTTTTGTTTATTTTATTGGGCCTGCACGTTTTTTCTTTGCACATAAAACCCATATAAAAAAACCCTAATTCCTTTATCTAGGGTTTCCTTTCATTCAGTAGCTGCTGCATCTTCTTCATTCGGTTCTATCCTTCAAGCAAATCTCTTAGCAGCCATGGTCGAGCTTTCTTCTGTCATTAAACTTTTCATACATTTTTCTACTCGAATTACGGCGTAATTTACCTGTTTCCTTGTTGTAATTTTTGTTGCAGATCATTTCGGAGAAGAATCGGAGAGAGATCTCCAAATACCTCTTCCAGGGTAACACTGAATTGTATTAATTTTTATTTTTTTAATTCTCGGCCGCTTAATTTACATGGATAATGGTTATTGAAGGATGTTTTTTTTTGTGTGTACGCGCAGAGGGTGTGTGCTTCGCAAAGAAGGATTTCAATTTGGCCAAGCACCCAGACATTGATGTACCGAATCTGCAGGTGATTAAGCTTATGCAGAGCTTCAAATCGAAGGAGTATGTTCGTGAGACCTTCGCATGGATGCATTACTACTGGTATCTCACCAACGATGGAATTGAGTTCCTCCGCACATACCTCAACCTTCCATCGGAAATCGTCCCCGCCACGCTGAAGAAGTCTGCCAAGCCCCTCGGCCGCCCCATGGGTGGACCCCCTGGCGATCGCCCTCGGTATAATTTTTTTTTATCAATTAATGTTCTTATCGTCCTTAATTTATCGATATTGTATGTTCGTGATGTTGCAATTACTGAATTGAATGATTGTAATGCTGTTGTATTATTGGTCATGAAAATGAAACTATGAATATCGGCTATCGTATATAATTCTGTAGTTAGGATGTGTTAGTGTGCTCTCTGATTCGTAGACACATTAACTGAAAATCTGCTTATGTTATGTTGTGTTATTGAGTTCTGGTTTGGCGTGTGCTAAGAGGGATTTATCATTTGTTCGGTTTATTAGCGAATTCACATTTATTATTGTAGTGTTTCAATGGATGTTTCTAATGTAATTTGTTTATTGTGACAGTGGTCCTCCTAGATTTGAGGGTGATAGACCAAGATTTGGTGACCGAGAGGGTTACCGTGGTGGGCCAAGAGGAGGGCCTCCAGGTGAATTCGGTGGTGAGAAAAGTGGAGCTCCTGCTGATTACCAGCCTGCCTTCAGGGTAATTATACTTTTCTTGTTGTGTTTATAGTAATCAGTTTTTAACTGTTTATTTTCTGTTCAATTGATTGTCTGTGATGTCTGTGTTCTTTAATTCTTGTTCAAAAGCCTGATTTTACTTTGTGGCGCTTTTTTATTTTTTTATAGCACACGTATGTTCGTTCTTCTTTGCATATATAGCTGTAACTTTTCTAATATTGCCAAGAACATTATGTTGGTTCTCGTGCTTTTGAATCTTTATCTTGTTACTATAGTTTCAGTTTTGCAAGATTAACCTGCTGGAGAGTCATTATGCAGCTATCCTACATTTAGATTATTATGATTCATTATCTATACCAACCAACCTTCTTTTTTTTTTTGTTCATGATACGAGGGTTTGATAAGTTTCTTGTTTAGAACTCCGCACTCACTAGGATATTGAAATTTGTCTGCGATTACCACTTTTTGCTTATCAAACACTGATATTGTATAATCACGTGGCAATGGAAACTTGGTCTTGTGATTGCATCACATGTGTAAAATTAACTTTTTATTGAATGTGTAGGGTGCTGGTGGACGCCCAGGTTTTGGACGGGGCTCAGGTGGCTTTGGTGGAGGTGCACCTTCTAGTTAAATTCACAATGTGATCATTTCCTTGTAGTTTTTGTTAGGATTCCATGTGATGGAATTATGTGGACCATTAACTTATATTTTGCACCGGAATATTGAACTGTACTTCCATGTTCGTCTACAATTTTGTTTTTGCTGAATGAACAACACTTTCTTTAGGCCTCTGCTTTTGCCTACTATGATATTTCTGATTTTTTTACAAAATTGTGTCTGGTATTTCTCTGTTACATAGTGCGAACTTTCTATATTTTGATAGTTTTTAGATTTTGATACTTGAAAATGATAATTTTTAGAAATTTTATTCTGCTTTGATAATCTATAATTACAATTTCCAAAATTTTCAAGTTTTTTTTTTGCCAAGATTTTTTTTTTTTTTTTTTGAGTAAATTCTAGTCCATTACAAGGGGGGAAGTAGGGGAGGGGAGGATTCGAACCTTATACCGTTACCCTATTGGTAAAGGCTATGTACCAACTCTCCTAATGAGGGTTGGTGCCAAGAGTATTATTAAATCTTTTTTTCAGAAAGAAAAAAAGAATTTCTTTCAGAAACAAGGTTTTGAACATGAATTGCAGTAAAGCAACCAACCAAGATACATCACCATCAAATTTAAGTAATACGAAAAGGAAAAAGACAACAGAAACTTGACAATCTTTTTTTTTTTTTTTTTTTTTTTGAGTGAGAATCTTTTTCAACCTCTCTGAAAACAAAACTAAAACTCAGAAAACTGTTCAGAAAATCTATATCCAATTGCCATTCTATTTTCACCATTTAATCAACCTCCTCCATCTTGCTCTCCTCATTACCCTCTTCCTCCAAACCAGGCATCTCCACATCCTCACCTGATTCCTCCTCCACCTCATCAATACTCAGACCAAGCTTCAACATCCGATGAATCCTCGAAGCAAACGTATTCGGATCATCCAAACTAAAACCAGAAGTCAACAAAGCAGTCTCAAACAGCAGCATCACAAGATCCTTAACCGATTTATCGTTCTTATCCGCCTCAGCTCTCTTCCTCAACTCTTCCATAATGCCATTATCAGGATTAATCTCCATCGTCTTCTTGCTCGACATGTAAGAGCCCATGCTACTGTCCCTCAAAGCCTGAGCCTTCATTATCCTCTCCATGTTCGCAGTCCAACCGTACTCCCCTGTCACCAGACAGCAAGGCGAATCGACAATCCTGTCTGAAACAACAACTTTTTCGACCCTGTCTCCGAGAATGTCTTTAATAACCTTGCAGAGGCTCTCGAATGCCTTCTTCTTCTCCTCCTTTTTCTTTTTTTCCTCCTCGGTTTCATCTTCTAGCTTCAATCCTTCTTTAGTGGCGGAAACCAGCTTCTTGCCGTCGTACTCTTTGAGCTGCCCCACAGCATACTCGTCTATTGCATCCACCATGTATAGAACCTCGTAGCCTTTCTTCTTGAGCCGCTCTAAGAAGGGAGAATTCTCAACGGCTTTCTTGCTTTCGCCCGTTATGTAGTAAATGTCCTTTTGACCCTCTTTCATTCTTGTCACATAGTCCTTCAAGCTAGTTAACTCGTCTCCACTCTTGGTCGAGTGATATCTGAGCAGGTCAGCCAACTTAGCCCTGTTTTGGCTGTCTTCGTGGATGCCCAGCTTCAAATTCTTGGCAAACGCCTCGTAGAACTTGTTGTAATCCTCCTTGTTCTCAGAAATCTCGTTGAACATTTCAATGCACTTCTTCACAAGATTCTTTCTGATAACCTTCAAAATCTTGTTCTGCTGCAGAGTCTCACGGGAGATGTTGAGCGGCAAGTCGTCAGAATCCACCACACCTTTGACAAATCCGAGGTAGTCTGGGATGAGCTCCTCGCAGTTATCCATGATGAACACTCTCCTAACGTAGAGTTTGATGTTGTTCATCTTCTTGCGGGTGTCGAAGAGATCAAACGGGGCCCGCTTCGGGACAAAAAGAACGGCTTTGAATTCAAGCTGACCCTCGACAGAGAAGTGTTTGACAGCAAGATGGTCCTCCCAATCATTTGTCAGGCTCTTGTAGAAGGAGGCGTATTCGTCTTTTGTTATCTCCTCCGGCTTTCGGAGCCAAATGGGCTTCTGCTTGTTGATGAGCTCCCATTCATGGGAAACCTCCTTGATCTTCTTCTTCTTCCCCTTGTCTTTCTCTTTCTCCTCATCTACCTCCTCAATATCGCCTTCATCTTCCTTCTTTGGTTCGTCATCTTCGTCATCGCTAATCTCCTTTTCAGTTGTTTTCTCAGTCCATAGGTAGATGGGGTAGCTAATGAATTCAGAGTGCTTCTTCACAAGATCCTTGATCCTCCTCTCCTCAAGGTATTCCAACTGCATACACACAGTAAACACAATCACCACCATCAATTTAGAATGCCGAATCAACACATCTACACAAATACAAATGCTCAATCATCTTGATATTTTATTAATTTCAATCACATGAGTAATATTCAACAGGTCTGGATTTGTTTATTTACCTGATCTTCCTTCAAGAAGAGAGTGATCTTAGTTCCCCTGCCAAGCTGCTCACCATCAACATCCCTTGTAATAGTGAATGAACCACCAGCTTGCGATTCCCAAATGTACTGTTCGTCGTCATTGTGCTTGGTGGTGACAATCACCTTCTCTGCAACAAGGTAAGCAGAGTAGAAACCAACACCAAACTGCCCGATCATGCTCACGTCAGCACCAGCTTGCAAAGCTTCCATAAACTCCTTTGTACCCGACCTCGCAATTGTCCCCAAATTGTTCACCAGATCTGCAAAATTTCACACCAACAACATAATCAGCAACTAAAATTCGCATTCCCCTATTTTTTAAAATATTCCCAAATTGTTCACCAGATCTGCAAAATTTCACAACAACAACATAATCAGCAACTAAAATTCACATTCCCCTCTTTTTTACCCCCTTCAGAATTCTATACATCTAGTATGATCTAGGTATACTGAACGAATTTCAATTTCAGTTACTTAGCCCTAACAAAACACAAGCCGTAAACCTAATATCAATGTGGCAAAATAAAATGCAAATGAATTACCTGCTTTAGTCATGCCGATTCCACTGTCGATAATCGAAAGAGTCTTGTTAACCTTATCGGGCACGAGACGAATGAACAACTCCGGCTGAGAATCGAGCTTGCTCTTGTCGGTCAAACCCTCGAATCGGATCTTGTCCAAGGCATCGGAGGCGTTGCTGATCAATTCACGGAGGAAAATCTCCTTGTTGCTGTAGAATGTGTTGATGATCAAGCTCAATAGCTGGTTGATCTCAGCCTGGAAAGCGAATGTTTCTCCGTCCGCCATCTGAATTAAACCCCCAATTTACTTTCACCAGAAAATAACTATGAAATTTGAAAGATTGTCGTGAGCGCGATACTGAACGCTGGAGCAGATTATTCGTGATTTTTTTTTTCTTACTGGGGAAAATTTGAAACGAAAAGGAGGATTATATAGCTGGGCGGAAGAATTCTAGGAGGTTCCATTGGTGAAGATGGGAGAGAAGCGAAGAGATGAACATTCTGGAACCTACCGCCATAGCCTCGAATGTTGATCCATCTCCGATTCTTTTCCCGCGTTTATTCTATAAACACGCTTTTAGTATTTGAACTGAAATCGCGTTTAGACTCGTAAATCTCAATTCAAGTTTTAATTAAAAAGCTCTGAACAAAAATAAATAAATAAATATAAAATTTAGCTCTGGAATAATGATATAAAAATAAAATAAAATAATAATAATAATGTTAGGGAATTTGGACTTTCTTTTTACGGAAAGCCCGTGTAAATGGATCAGGAATGGAATTCAGCTTCATGGGCTAATAAATAGTCCATGGGCTTCTAAATAGTATTTTAATGCATCATTGATTAATAAGATTAATTAAATAATTACGTTATATTAAAAATTTCAACTTTAGCTTCTATAATTGTGGAAATTAAACCCTCGAGTTGATTTATTAGAAAACTGAATGATAAATATAACGCGCCTAATCAAATTACACGATTAAAATATTCGCAAAATTGCATGGTTATTATTATTATTATTAGAAATAAAAGAAGGATTATTATGCAAATTAATAATGACATTAAATTTATATCCGAGTCAACTACTGTATTAAATAGGAAATTAGATTTAGCCAATTTTAACGAGTTGCACTTGCTCCTAAAGGTTGGCATTGACTAGTACTAGCTAGACTCAAGATTTATGAATACTATTAATTAGAGAATATAATTGATTTTAAACATACAACGCCCGCCCATTATTTATATTTAAGATTTTGGTATTTATTTTTTATTTTATAAGAATCTCTATAATTATTATTTGTTAGTGTTACCAAATCACCAATCATGAAAAACAAATATTTATGTAATTTGATTACAATGTAATAATAAATGTGAACACGTTATTTTTTTTCAAGAAAATCTTTGCGTGATATAATTTAACTAATTTCCAAATAATGTGGATTTCCTCAATTGTTGTAATCTTAATTAAAAATATATTACTATATATATATATATATATATATATATATAATTACAATTAATTAGCATAATCGAAATTAAGTGGGCAGCAAAGCGTAAACGCCTCTTTGTTCTCGAGTCAAAACCAGTGACACTGGTTGACCGAGAAAGCTCAAAAGCCACCACCACCGCCACCGCTACCGCCGCCCCGTTGCCACCGCGGCGCCGTTCGATGTGTGCTATTTTCTTCTTCCCATGACAACACCATCGCTGAGGAGAAAAAATAACAGGCGATCAACAAACTCAAACCCCAACAACTCCCAGAAAAATCAGATGGCGCCTTATGCGTCGTCGTTTTACTCGAAATTCAGAATGTCCCCTTTTCTGATTTCAGCTGTTTTATTTATGTCAGTTTTGATTCTTCTAAGCGTTTCATTGAACATGCGCAGCGCGCTTGGTTCGAATCCAAACGTCAGTGGAATTTATAGTGTCGACGCTGTGAATCAGTATCCCCACGATCCATCTGCTTTCACCCAGGTTAGCTTCAATTTCATAAATTGGTAATTTTTTTTGTTGTAATTTTTAGAAATTACCGATTGAAAGAAACCTATCTTTCTGTAAAGGTTAAATGATCAATTTTACTATATTTTGATGCACGATCATTTTTGTTTTCTGGATTTGTTATTCCTCTCTATTTTTAGCTTGTCGATTGATATTTTATTTGTGTTAGCCTAAATCCTGTAAAATTCAGAACATGATGCTAATTCATCATGTGAAATTGTTTATAAAAATAAATTAGGTAGAATGGATAATTGAGGTATAGAAAAGAACCTTTGCTTCAGTTTTGTTGGTTGCCGTTTTTTGGTTAGCGGTACCTGATGTAGATGATTGGTATTGTTTCGAACCATATTTGTCTACTTATGCATTTATTATACGTAATTTTTTTAATGCGGTTATTGAGGTCATATATGTAAGAGGTGAATGGTGTAATATTTTTCTCTTTGATGGAGATTCGGAATATTGGTTTCGCCTTTTCAGGGTCTTCTGTATGCAGGAAATGATACTCTTTTCGAATCAACTGGGCTTAATGGACATGTGAGTTTTCTTCCCATTTCGTTGTATATCTTTTCTCTTAATTTTATTTTTGTTAAATAAATACAGCTTCTATATTTGAGGTTTTCGTGGCATATCGGGATATTGTCTTCAAAACCGAACGGTTAAAAACATTTTCATATCAGAGATAATTGAAAGAGTCCCATGATTTACATTGTTCGTGGATCAGTAACATTGGCTTTGCGACTAATCCTCTACGATTCCGTCAACAATGATATCATGATTATTAGTCTTACATTATGCAATTTCTTCAGAAAGCATAATCAAAACTTAAAAAAAAAAATGTAAATTGCTTACTCCGATAGGCACTTCCATATTTTTGTTGGTGGTTTTACATAGGTCAATGCTGTATTCATTTTACTTTTCGACTAATGGCTTACGCATAAAATTATTCTTTTGTTTCTTATCTTCTATTGCAGTCATCTGTTCGAAGAGTTGCTCTTGCCACAGGAAAGGTAAAAAAGAATATCTATCAAGCTATAGTTGTAGAGTTTCAATTTTTTCTGTGTGTATGCTTGAAACTAACTCACTATTATATCTCTGTGATTTTTGTGGGAGAAGGAAAAAAATTATTTGTGAATTGATAAGCATTAGCAAACATCTGGATAAACTAGGTAGAGTTACATATATCTGATTAACTTGTGTTTCCCGTTTATAGGTTGAGGCTATTCACAGCATGCACAGATCTTACTTCGGGGAGGGCTTGACTCTTTTTGGCGAAAGGTTTGTGTTCAAAGTATATTCTTTTCTCTGTTCTGTATAAAGATCTTAATTTAAATTAAGCCCATGTTATTTCTAACTGCTAGAAAGTTCATCTTTTAGCTGTTAGTAGTGCGTCGAAAGTTCTAATATATTAATCCAATGTACTTTTGTAGGTTGATTCAAGTTGCTTGGTTGACGAAAACTGGTTTCATATATGATCGAAATAACTTAAGCAATGTTTGTGCTTCCACCCTTTTCATCCTTTTTCCGAATCATTTTTATCATGCATGTTCATTATTGGTTAGTATTTTCTGCAGATTAAGACATTCACTAATCCAATGCAAGATGGTTGGGGATTAACAACTGATGAAAAAATTCTATTCGGGAGCGATGGAACTTCAACCTTGTATCAGATTGACCCTCACACATTGAAAGGTATTAAAACATCACTAATTCCGGTTCTTGTATCACATATCTAATTCAGTAAGCCGTAAAATTTGAATTTTGGAGTGGAATAAAATACAAGTCCAATAAGGGCCCGTAATTTAGATGGAAAATATGGCAGATGGTTCTTTGAACTCGATATTGAAATTTCAGTTTTACCTATTAAATCGTCCCCACTGATTTGATTTATTTTTGTATTACGTAACGCAGTTGTTGAAAAGCATACGGTCAAGTACAAAGGAAATGAAGTACACAACCTAAACGAACTGGAGTATGTGAACGGTGAAGTATGGGCAAATGTTTGGCAGGTTTGTCACATAATCTCTACTATTCCTTGTTTTATTTATTTATTCATTTATTTATATATGTATATCTTTTTCTCACTCTGCTAGACGGACTGCATTGCGAGAATATCGGGTAAAGACGGTGTTGTATTGGGATGGATCTACCTTCCACAACTAAGGTTCTGTCTTCGTTTTCATATTTAAAATATTCTTTCATCGGATAAATCGTTTCCCCCATTATTCGATTTTCTCGGTTAATTGTTAATTGTATGACAGGGAAAGACTGGTAGCCACTGGACACGAGGTAATACATTTCACATGATTAAAGTAGCTAGTCGAATACGTTTACGTACCAGCATACCCTTTCGATACAAATATAATAATTTAAAATTCGACTTAAAATTTTCAGAACGTTGATGTTTTGAACGGCATTGCGTGGGACCCAAAACAGAACCGTATTTTCGGTAAGCTCCACAATTTATGTTCGTGTCATCTCTCTTTCCTTTCCGTATATAATTGATTTTTTTTTTTTAAAATAACAGTGACTGGAAAGTTATGGCCGAAGCTATACGAGATAAAGGTGAACGCAATGAAGAAACCATTCAGCGGTGATATCGAGAGTCTGTGTATGCTGCCTCCAACTCATTTCTGATAACCATACGACGAAAAAACATTCTTATTTGGAATTTTCTTTTAACCATTTCTGGAAAAGAATATACTTTTCTTGTAAATTTAGTGGTAATGTATACCTGTATTTAGTGGAGATCTATTGCTTGTATTAGAAACACTGAATATTGGTCTTAATAATATGCTCACTAAGAAATAAAGCTGCTGTAGTAATTCTTTGATTAGGTCGATTTTGATTCGAAAGTTTTGATCTTGCAGTAGTGTTTTTCATTCCAAATGTTGAGGTTCTGATTTACGATCCAATTTTAATTTCTGATTTTTTTTTCATTGAAAACTACACTTATAATAATATATATATTAGGGCAAATTACGGCGACTTCTTGAGTTATGGTCAAATTATGAAAATTCACCTCCTGTTTGGGTAATTACAGCCACCCCTCAACTACGTAATATCTTACGAAAAAATCCATCCAGAGGTAAATTGGTGAAACCGAACTAAAATTTCGATACGCCAATATTTCATACCGTTTACCGAACTGAATATACGATTTGGTTCGGTAAATAATCGAATTACATAAATTTTATGTAAAAATATTTAAAAGGAGGGGTGGCTGTAATTACCCAAACAAAAGGGATTTTTTTTGTAGTTTGACCATACCTCAGGGTGGTCGTAATAATTATTGGAATTTCTATATTTTATTCTCTTTTATTTTTTTAATAAAGTTTTTTTTATTCCAATTTTGAAATTATCTAAAACAAGTCAAAATAGCCCGTTTGTTAAGAACGATAAGGTTCCCCTCTCATCTGTAACACGCTTTTACAATGAAATAAAAATCATGAAAACTCGACTTAAATCAAAATTCTTTCCCACCAATTGATCATATCGTCTGTACTTAGTTATCTCCCGGCCGTTTGAATTTGAAAAAAAAAAAAAAAAAAAAAAAAAAAAAAGAGTTTCACTGAATCTAAACTACTGTAATAGGGTTTGTTACAATCTCTCTCATCTCATCTCTCTCTCCTCTGAACAAATCAAACATGGCGGCATTCGATGCATCATCAATCAAGCACATCCTCTTGAAGCAAACATCATTTTTCGGACTCAAACTATGGGTTGCAATAACCACGTGCACCGTCTTAGCACTCGTACTTCTTCTCGTCCTCACTTTCGTTTACATCTCTTGTCGATTCCGAACACACGGTAAAAAATCATCGAAAAAACATGCCCCGACACCATTGCCAAACAACAATTTCGCCATGGAGCGGCGTCAATCATCGTCCCGAACCAAACCGGATATAGAGACGGGCGGCGCCGTCGAAACCACCGGAAAAAAACACGTCATGTACTACGACCACTGGCCTAGTGACGACGATAATATTAATAGTAGTAATAATAATAATAATAGTAGTAAAAATAACGTGGGGCAATTTGACGGGGCGCCCGAGTACGTATACAAGTTGAGGGAGATCGAAGAAGCTACAAACGGATTGGCGTATGATAATATTATCGGGACCGGAGAATACGGAGTTGTTTTTCATGGTTGGTTGAGGGATAGCAACACTACTCAAGTTGCTGTCAAGAAGTTGTTTAATAACAGGTTGAATTTGTTTATATGTATATATGTTGTTGTAATTAATAATAACCTTTTTTTTTGTTTTGTTTAAATTGTGAGGTTTATTGCTAATAAAAATTGACAGGGGAAGAGGAGGAAGGAAAGCCTTTGCGAGAGAAGTCGAGGCGTTGTTGTCGATTCGCCACCGGAATTTGGTGAAATTGCTCGGATATTGTGCTGAAGGAACAAACAGGTTCTTGGTTTCTTCACAACTTAGTTTCATTGCTAGAAAGTAATAATAATAATTTTTTTGTTGTTGTTTTGAAATTAGGGTGTTTGTGAATGAATATGTGGACAATGGGAATCTTGATCGGTGGCTGCATCGATGCACGGGGGAAGTTAAGCCGTTAACTTGGAACGTTCGAATGTCGATCATCATAGGAATTGCCAAAGGGTTGCGCGCTCTTAACTCGATTTTTTTCATCTGTCTTGTTTTCTACTATTTATGTTTTTTTTTTTTTAAATTGAGTTTGTGTGATTGTTTCTTCAGTTTAGCTTACCTCCACGAAGATACCGAGCCACCACTTGTCCACGGCAACTTAAAATCGAGCAATGTACTCCTCGATCAACAATGGAATCCCAAGATTTCTGATTTTGGAATCACCAAATTCTTAGGCCATGAGTGGAAAAATACCTCAGCTCCTCCAAAAGGAATGTCAGGGTAAATATGAAAACAAAAAAAATCAATTAATAGATTTAATCGATTTTTCGGTTGTCCTATTACTAACATATCGTGTTGGATACGTGCAGCTATATCGCTCCGGAATACGATTCTATTCGCTATTTAAATGAGAAGAGTGACATTTACAGCTATGGGGTACTTATAATGGAGATAGTTTCCGGCAAATCCGCCATAGAATCGACCGTCAACGAAATCGAGGTGGCTCTCGTATTATCTCTATATATATATGATAAAATATTATGCATTTTTTTTGTAAGTATATGCAAGTGAATTTTGTTATTAATTGTGTAGGAATACTTGGTTGATTGGATGAAATCCAATGTAGCAGACGAAAACTTCGATCTTATAATCGACCCAAAATTGCCGGAACTGCCCTCGATAAAGGAACTCAAACGAGTCCTGCTCGTAGCTCTTCGTTGTGTGGATTTCGAAATCGAAAAGAGGCCTAAAATCGGAGAAATTTTATGTATGCTTCAACCTCGTGATTTACTACTTACCAATCTTGTTTAGTTTACCTAACAGTTATTTAATTTGTAGTAGTGGAAATTTTGGAACAATACTTTTCATTCCGAACGTTTCAATTTCCGGTTTTTTTTTGGAACTTAATTGGAAGATATATTAGATTTAGATTCTGACTTACGATCCGATTTCATTTCTGAAAATATTTCCCAAAATTCCATTTTTTACGAAATTATCCTTATAATATCAATATTATTATATATATGCTGCATGTAACTAAAAATTTTGAAATTACGAATTCCGTCGATTTCGATCCGAATTTTTCTTTTCCGGCATCAAGTGGAGCAGGTCTTGAAATGAATCCAGTCGATCTGCATCATTTGCCATATCGGAGGGTAAAAGCACTCCTCTCGTTTCTCCGGCAACAAATCGCACGCCTTAGGGCTAACTCCACTCGAAATCCCGCTAACATCGCTACAATTCCACGGCAACTTCTTCTCCGCCGCCATCTCAACCGTCACATTCGAGATACAAATCCCGATGAACGGATCCCCAGCAATCCCGGCGAGATTCCCAACCATTGAGACATTCTTTCCAACCACGTTCATCAAAGTTATGTTTTTAACTTCGGGGAGGGCTTTCCGATCGAAGCCCTCGTCCGGGTGGGGCCCGTTGGATGCCGTCAACCAGAACGCGTACTTGACGGCGTCCAACGTCACGTTCCTGAAGTATACCTCCTTCACGTATCCCCCGCGGCCGGGGGCGGTTTCGATTCTGACCGCCGCCTTGCAATTGACGGCGTGGACGCCGTCGGCGCGTACGTCCTGGATCCCGCCGGACATCTCGCTGCCGAGGGCAATTGCGGCATTATTGGGGGAAGTACACGTCAGCCTACGAATGGCTAGGGATTCTGTGGGCTTATCGTATTTGATTCCGTACTGGTCCAACCCGCTCTTCACTGCAACGCAGTCGTCTCCCGATACAATGTAGCATCTTACTATGCGCGTGTCTTCACACGAATCTAATTATATATACATACAAGAAAAATCTAAACTAATTAGATAATCAGCAACGCATAAATTCAGGTATATTATAGAAATAATTAACAGTTATAATATGGAACCTGGATTGATGCCAACTGTGTTTGGAGAATCAGTTGGGGCAATAATAGTTAGGCTTTCAATTATGACACCGCTACAAATTTATCGAAAACGGTAAAAAAAACGCGTATCGGGAAAAAAATAAAATAAATAACCATCTAAAACGAGGGGCATACTTGGAGTACGTAGGGTGGACGTGCGACGACGGAGAGTTGATCATCGTAAGATTAGTAATCTGGACGATAGTCGAGTTCATGATTTCGATCAATGCAGGTCTTGTGTTTTTAAGCTTATGACTCTTGAATTTCTTCCACCATATTTCGCCTTGCCCGTCGATTGTTCCGTTTCCTCCTGAAAACAAGATTATCGCCAAACAGTGCCTTATGGTTCTTGAATTAAAAAAAAGGGACTTAAATTGTAGTAATTAAGTACCTGTAACGACGACATTTTCAAGGTTTGTTCCGAAAATAAGACCGGCAAACCTTTTCCCAGCAGCATTTCCATACGAGGGCAATGGATCGATTAGTGGATATTCCGATTCGTCCTACAATTATTCCATACATATAAATCATATCAATTCTATGTTATTTTATTTTTAATTTTTAGGTAATAAGAGTGTATGCATGGAGGCTAGAAGAGAATACAACCTGAGATGCAAGAAGAACAGCATCCTTGTGAATGTAGAGTGTGAAATAGCTGGTAAGATTAAACGATCCGGTGAGCCATTTGCCAGGTGGCACGATGAGCTGAGCGCCACCGTCGGATGCAAGCTTGCTGAGGTTAGCAATTGCTGCCTTGAATGCAGCTGTGTTTGACGTCACACCATCTCCTTTCCCTCCAAAATCCGTCAATACCGCACTGTGCTTTCTGCATTCGAACGCCTTATATTCGACTTTTTCAGCTCCACTCACACACACCAATCCTAGTACCAAACAAATCACAAATCCCTCCAAAATCTGTAATAACATCACATATCATACACAATTTAAAAAAAAAAATCGAATAAAATGAATCTAAAGGAAGATACTTACAAGATTATTCTTGTAATAAGAACACATTTTGATGATCGATAATTCAAAAGGGAGAAAGCATCGGTTTATATAGCAACATTTTATCTATGATCATTTCCACATAATTAATCTAGTCTTTCTTTGGATAAAGTAAGGAAAAAAGTCCTTCCTAGTATCTCGCCTTTCGTTTGTTCTTCGTAAAATATAAGCAAATGTAATTAACGTTCGTTTTTCCATTCCCTTTTGGTGGAATATTAATTGTTTTGCTTTTCGTTATTCATTTGAAAGTAAAAAGATGTTATTACTTAATTCGAATTCGAAAAGTTTCGATTGCCCCATAATCTAGAAACTTAAATTGTTAGTAATGTGAATTATCTAATATTTATTATTTGTGATGAGAAACTGCAATTCTTCTTATTATCTCAAACACACTGTCTATTTCAAGTAAATAGTTTATAGAACTCATATAATTAATTTAAGTTCATATCAAAATAAAATAAAACAAACATAAGCATAAACCCTAAACAAAATACTTTGGATTTAATTTATTATTACATCATCATCAAGTGGAGCAAGTCTTCAACACAACCTTATCGATAGGCAGGATATCGGTAGGGTAAGCGCAATCAACTTTTTTCTCCGGCAACAAATCACACGCCTTAGGCGTAACTTGGCTCGACACCCCACTAATATCGGTACAATTCCACGGCAGCTTCTTCTTCTCCGACGAAAAAATCGGGTGAATATTCTTCTTCTTCTTCTTGACCGCCAGCTCAGCAGTTATGTTCGAGAGACAAAGACCGGTGAACGGGTGGCCTTCGATCCCGGCAAGGTTGCCAACCATAGAGACATTCTTCCCAACCATGTCTTTGAAATTAATGTTGTTGACCACAGGCAGGGCTTTCGGGTCGTAGCCATCGTCAGGGTGTGAGCCGTACGCGCCGGTCATCCAGAACACGTACTGCATGGTCTCCATTCTCAGGTTTCGGACGAATATGTCCTTCACGTAGGCCCCACGCCCCGGGGCGGTTTTGATCCTGACACCGGCCTGCGAGTTGATGGCGTGGACGTCCTCGGCGCGTACGTCTTGGATGCCGCCGGACATCTCGCTGCCGAGGGCGATCACGGCGCTGTCGGGGGAGATGCACGTGAACCGCTTGATGCTGAGGTGCTGAGTTGGCATGCCGAACTTGATTCCGTACTGGTCCCACCCGCTCTTCACCGCTATGCAGTCGTCGCCCGATACGACGTAGCTGTCTCTTATACGTGTGTTTATGCACGAGTCTGTATTAAGTGAAATGACAAATATACCCTTTCAGCAGTCGTCACCCAAAATGACGATTATACCCTTTCAATAAATGCAATAAGATCTATTTACGAACCTGGATTGATGCCGTCTGTGTTTGGAGAATCAATTGGGGCTAGAATAGTCAGACTTTCAATTATTACATCCCTACAAGAGAATGATGGAAAAGAAAAAAACACAGATTAGTTACAAAAAAAATAATAAAAATAAATAGAAATTGAAATTGAAATTTATCAATGACATTTATGGACATATATATATGTGTAAAAGTTGTACCTGCAATAAGTAGGATGAACATGCCACGAGGGAGAATTGATGAGGGTAAGATGGGAAATCTGGACATTTCTAGAGTATAAGATCTCGATCAAATAAGGTCTCGTGTTTTTCAATTTACCGCTCTTGAAATCCTTCCACCAGCTTTCACCTTGCCCATCAATTGTCCCATTCCCTCCTATAAAACCAAAATTTAAAAAATGTTTATTAATGCCAAACAGGGCCTTGTGGTTCTTGAAATAAAACCATTAAAAAAAGGGCAAAATCGTAATTAGTACCTGTAACGACAACGTCAGTTAGATTGGTTCCGAAAATAAGACTGATAAACCTTTTCCCTCCGTCTCTTCCAACTCCGTACGACGGCAACGGATCAATCAGAGGATATTCCGTTTCATCCTGAGATGCAAGGAGCACGGCATCCTTTGAAATGTAGAGTGTGAAATGGCTGGTCAGATTAAACGATCCGGTCAGCCATTTGCCAGGTGGCACGATGAGCTGGGCCCCACCGTCGGATGCAACTTTGCTGAGGTTAGCAATTGCTGCCTTGAATGCAGCCGTGTTTGATGTCACACCATCCCCTTTCCCTCCAAAATCTGTTAATAATGCACTGTGCTTCCTGCAGTTTATCGCCGAGTATTCGACTTTTTCGTGGAGACAGTTCAAATCTCTGGATTCCGCTACGTTCACACACAATGATCCTAGTACCAAACAAACCAAAACCTGCCCGAAACCAGAAATTAAACAAAAATAAAATAAATAAATAAATAATAATAAGATCAATACTTACAAGGGAATTCATGTAAGAGCACATTTTTTATGATGTAGTGAGATTAGTTTGATTGTGACAAAGGGAGAGGGCATTGGTTTATATAGTGAAGATTGTGGCAAATTTTCATCCAAGAAAATCTTTGAATTTTGTGTATTTAAGGTATGTAAATAATGTTACATATGAGATTGCAATGATTTGGTTACACGGTGCCGTTTTGGGAAAATTGCGTTCAAGGGGAATATTATGATAATTTGTTAAATCAACCATGATTTGTTCGTTTTATGGGAAGTTGACTGAACTTTTACTTTACTGAAACCTAAAATTGGGAGATTATTGTTTATCTAATTCTGGATTTTTCTTTAATGATGGAGTAATTGATTTTGTTAATATTGGACTCCTTTAGAAAATCTACTATTTCTTTGGATTTTTTTTTCCTCTCGTAGAAAAGTAGTAAAGAAGGGTAATTATTGTACTTTTTTTCTTTTTCCATTTTCGTTTGGTAATTAATTACTTAACCAATTTAATTTTTTCCCTAAAAATATGAATTAAAATATTCATTTGAATAATAGATATAATAAAATACATATTAATGATTAAAAAATGTTTTTTTGTGTGTTATATCAACATTTTGGTTGATGTGTGTAGTTACTAATGAACCCTATGTATATTATCATACCAACAAAAAAAAATTATTTAACCTTAATTATAAGACCTTTAAAATAAAATAATGATAATATATTAGAAAACAACACCACATGTTATATGTTCATCATAATCATTACACGTGATTATTTAAATTTCTTTTTTGCTGAAAATAAGAAGGAAACGATTAGTGCAAACGTGCACGAAATCATAACAGTCTAACTACATGTGAAGTGTTCTGTTTAAGAGATGACCCGTTATAATTAAATATACTTAAATTAAAGTAGCGATTAAAATAATAAATCATTTTATTCTGCTTTATTAATTAAATAAATAATAAAAAAAATGAGAGTAAACTTCATGGGCTTGAGCCCACTACAAGCATGGGTTGTAGAATATGGGCTGGTTGAACTCGAACTAGGTTTCATATGTCACTTTTTTTTAATTATTGTTAGTCATATATTGTTTATTATGATGAAACTACCATCTAGTAATAGAGTATATACAAATAGTAAAGAGAGAGAGAGAATTCAAGACATTTTTTAAGAAAACACTTCCTATTACAGAATTTCTTGATTCGTGCAAGATTTGATTATGATTATCGCGTGAAATCGTGCTCGTTCCTTTAGTTATTTATGGAGAAGATCCCCAATCCAAGTCTCCCAACGGTCTTCAGATCAACTAGCCACCTATCGCGCCTCATTTCTCCTTATCTAATTGAGGCATATTGGCGAACTCTTCTTACTTTTTGCATTTGAGACCTATATTATTGAACTCTAGCCATACGAGCTCCAAACGTGTAGAACAGGCTCTTGACTTTTCTTAATTCTTTGTGATTCGTTGGGTTTTGGGCCCAATGACTCTAACTAACTAATGAGGGTACAACCAATAGTGATCTGATGAACTGTCCTTCGTCAGCTCATTCACCTTTTTCCGCGATCCACTAGACTGTTGGCCCTCTAACTTAGTATGGGGAGTTCGGTCCAATAGTGCCGTACCGGCTCTATCCAATGCTTCCATCCAGCAGAAACAAAAATATCTACGAAGGTGATGAGTTACGCGTTTGGTTTGTTTAATAAATTAAAATTTTACATGGTACAAATCCCCACGTGACGAACCTCATTCTCTCAGCATTTTGACCAAAAAATAAAAAAATAAAAGAGATTAAAAAAATAAACCGCCCAAAATCAAAGGTGCAGATTGGGGCTTCGAAATGGGCCGTAGTGTCCAAGTACAGCGTCACATTTGCATTTATCTAATAATTTAACAGATTATTTAATTTCGAAAAAACTTTTTGTGTAGCTTTGACCCATAAGTGTTTGATAGGTCATCTCTTACGTCCAATATTTGTTACCCGGATTTGAGGAAGACTTTTATCATTAATTAGTTGCAATTTTATCTAAACATTTTTTTAATTTTTAATTTTTTTATAATTAGAGAACTATTTATTGCTCACGTAATGTTTGTTTTTGTAAAATATATTATCTATTAATTTCATTACATCTATTAAGTTCAATTAGAGCCCGATTTATGGCCGAAGCCCAAAATATTGTATGACCTGAATTTAAGTCTATAATTACAAAATCAGATAATATGTGAGTTTGAGCCTCTAATTTTAAGATCCGACGATATTCGAGTTTCAGCCTAGTTAAGCTCCGCTCACATGCCCCAATCGCCACCCCTAACAATTACCACATCGAAATTACATATAATAATACTGTATTTTATATTTTAATTATACTATGACGGTTCAAATTAATATCTAATTCGGTGCAACGAAATAACCTAATATTTATAGGCAAAATTAAACATTAGGAGTGTGGGCTTCTCCTAATCTATAGGCAAAATCCAATAAGAGGACCAACAAAGACTTGATAATTGGGCCGAATAATTAATCAAATTTCTAAAAATGGAAAATTGTCCGGAAACAATAAACATCACTAAAAAGGCAGTGTCTTTTATTACTAAAACTAATAAAAAGATTTTACACCATAACTTCAACACACTAAAAGCGAAGAGCATACGTGGCCGCCTTCAACACGCGGAAAATTCAGAGTCCACGGCGGAGGATGACGTCAGCCACCGCAAGTGGGGAGATACGGTGTCTGCTCCTCCGCAATCCGACGGTGGGCCGTCCACCTCACATTACTCAGCTGCCAACTCAATCTGCATGAGACGTGTCATCGTACTACTGTCCATTATCACTTTACCCACCTCTCCCCACCAATGGACAATTGCCCACATTTACCCACCTTATTACAAATATGCCACTAATAGTAATAATAATTACCTATTTTATTTTGTTTATAACTATTCTTTTTATTTTCAACTATTTTTTTGTTTTTTTAATAAAATGAAATGTTCCTATCAACAAAAAAAGATAAAAGAAAAAATAAATTCCATTCCAGCACAAACAGTTAATTACCAGTTTACCACTTACCAGTCTTCTTTATATATATATAATAGGAAACAAACCCCCAAATCTCACATGTGGCGCGTCTATTCAAGGTTGTTAAATTAACTCTCTCGAAACGTACAAAAAGCTTCAACCCCACCTCTCTCTCTCTCTCTCTCTCTAGGAAATCCTCCGTCGCTCCAGAGCAACCGTCGATGGCGGCCAGCTTTGCCGGCGCCGCCACCACCACCACCACCACCACCTCTAATACCGTCGTCAAGCACATACCATATTTTGGTCCCAAGCCGACCTCACTAGTCACACCGTCGTTACTTCTTTCCCCCTCCGTCCTGAAATTCCATCGAATTTTGACATTGAAGAAGAAGAAACCTAAATTGGCGATTTGTTTTGTGCTGGAGGATAAAACTAAAACGTTGAGCACCAGCACCAGCAGCAGCGGCGGCGGCGGGACGCAATTGGAGTTTCCCGATTCAAGCGGCGAACAGAGCGTCGACCAAATCTCCGCCGCGGCGGCGCGGGTGGCGGAGAAATTGGCGCGTAAGAAGTCGGAGAGGTCAACCTATCTGATTGCGGCCGTTATGTCGAGTCTAGGAATCACTTCCATGGCAATCGTAGCTGTCTATTACAGATTTGCTTGGCAAATGGAGGTAAATCTCCAATCCCTGCTACTTTCTGCAACTGCTTTTTGCCGGTTAATTTCGTAATTAAAATTTTTATATAAATTTATTTATTGAAGCATTTGACTTGTTTTTTATATATATAAATTAAAAAAATTATGTATATTGCGGTGCAGGGTGGAGAGATACCATATGCAGAAATGTTTGGTACATTCCTACTCGCCGTCGGTGCTGCCGTAAGCTCTCTCTCTCTCTCTCTCTCTCTCTCTCTCTCTCTCTCTCTCTCTCTCTCTCTCTCTCTCTCTCTCTCTCTCTCTCTCTCTACTAATTTAATTTAACAATTTTTGAATTCAAACTTAATTAAAATCATCTTCGAATTTTCGCATTTTCCTTTTATTTATTTATTTATTTAAAATTTGTCATTTTGGTTGATATTGGTAATTCAGGTGGGAATGGAGATGTGGGCAAGATGGGCACACGAAGCCCTGTGGCACGCCTCGTTGTGGCACATGCACGAGGTTTGTATGCCAATGCTTACTAGGAAAATTTAATTCAACAATAATTAAATTTTTAATGATTGTTTTCGAATTATATGCGAATTAATTAATTGGACAAAATGTTTATAAAATTGGTCAACCAACAATTAAGTTTTGTTTATGTAAGTGCAGTCACACCATAAACCAAGAGAAGGAGCTTTTGAACTAAACGATGTTTTTGCGATAACTAATGCTGTTCCCGCAATTGCCCTCCTCTACTACGGTTTTTACACTAAAGGCCTCATTCCCGGCCTCTGTTTTGGTGCTGTAAGTAATTTACTTTTAAAAAACTGCCGCAAAGGGTATTATTGTCATTGAGAGAAATAAAATTTGAATTATTGGGCCTTTTGTTTGGTTATATAGGGCCTTGGGATAACGGTTTTTGGAATGGCCTATATGTTCGTCCACGATGGTCTCGTCCACAGGAGATTCCCGGTGGGGCCCATTGCTAATGTACCCTATTTTAGAAGAGTCGCCGCTGCTCATCAGGTATTCTATAGTAATAAATTTAATTTGATTTTTAGAGGGAAAAAAACAACAGAAAAAGAGTACCCTTTCGACTAGTCCTCTTCTTAGCGAGAGTAAAGTATTGTAAAACGACAGTTAATATGAATGATTTTTAATACTGAATGGACAATCGATTTGAAAGGGACGGTTAATTGTCGACAATGTTATACTTAACGTTAATTAGCTCATCTAGTTCACATTTTCAAGATTATCTTGTTGCATATGGTATTGTATTCTTCTTCTTTTCATTGTTATAATCTGATCGCTATTATTTTTGTTCGACTTTTGTGATCCTCAGCTTCATCACTCGGAGAAGTTCAACGGGGTCCCATACGGATTATTTTTAGGACCTAAGGTAGTTCTTTTTTTTTTTAAATGCGATTTTGGATATTATCAAATAAAATTATCAAAATATTTGAATAATGTAATATTTTGAATTGAATGCTTAATTAATCTTCGCGTTATGTGCAACGAACGGTGCAGGAACTTGAAGAAGTAGGAGGGTTGGAAGAGCTGGATAGGGAAGTTAGCAGAAGAATTAAAATGTCCAAGAATTTATGATAGTTTTTTTAACCTAATTGGGAATTGTTTTTCAGTATATATAGAGAAAAAATAGATATACCAAAATGATTGATTACTGGTGTATTCCAGTGCTTGTGGTGAAAAGCTACTATGTTAAATAAAAATTTGGGGCTGTTAATTAAATGTAAATTTTGTGCCCTGTTTGTGATGCTATAAAAATTTGGAAAATGGAAACTTACAAATGTTGAAAATTGAAATCAACTAAAATAATTGATTAAATTTCAAATTAAAAAAGCCATTTTTCGAAGTATAAATATCTATATGTGTTATTGTGATGGTGGTCAAGTATACCTAGCTACCAATTTGCTCTACCAAAAAATAAAATTAAACATAGATTCTTAAAATTGTAGAGCCGATGCCCTTCCCTCCAAAAGTTTTGACCTGGAATTTCTAGAAATACTATGCAACTTGTTTCTTCACATTTTGCTGGTAACCATTTAATGACCTCCAATATTCAATCTTTATTTATTTAAATACCTTTTTCTTTTGCTCTTGGTTGTCTATTTTAAGGTTATTTAAAAATATATATATATATAGAAAAGGAGGAAATGGAAGAAGAGGTGGAATTAGATTACTTGGGATAGTTTTGCACTCAACTTTTCAAATAATATGTATATCTATATATTATTAACGTATGAAATAAGAATTGTTAATATTCCTAGATTCCCTGGAAAAGGATGTTCCAATAAATTATATGAAATCCTTATGTTTAGTTATTAATCCAAAAGATCTTTAAGCTCAGCCAAACATCTCACCAATTCTCTCTCTCTCTCTCTCTCTCACACACACACACACACAAACTATTCATCAAACAAAAAAACACACATTATTGTAAAAAGTCAATACCGTTTGCAATAACATTTAAAAATAAATAAAAAAATCCAATAGCATTCATACGTGTCCATACCAATTGAATTAATTATCTTCTTCCTTAAAGAAAGAAATGAAAGCAACTCCCACTTTGTGTTGGTCTCTCATAATTCACCTATACGTGTTCAATTTTAATGAGACCACATAGGCACATACCAATTACAAAAAATAAAATAAAAATGTTTTATATCTTAATCAGTCAAGTAAAGTGGATGATCCACTATACATACATTTATATTTGTTTGGGATAAAATAAAGTACCATGCAATAGTTTATGAGTGTGAAAAGGACATTTTCGAATTTACATGAGCCTTTCCACTAGGTCAAATCAGCTCACTTGCGACGTTTTTTTTGGCGGCGATTCTGGAATCGTTGCTAGTTTGCGATCATTTTGACTAAAAAACGTCGCAAGATTTCGGAAAATAAGATTTCGATTGAATATCTCGCGACGATAAACGTAATCGTCGCGAGTATGCGACTAATGCTAATAAACCGTCGCAAAGGGAAAAAAATAATAATAAAGCACTCTCGTAGCGACGTTTTTAGATAACCGACGCATGAAAAATATTTTTTGCAATTTATTTTTTTTACCTTCGCGACGAATATGACGTATACGTCGCTAGTGCAATTGTGAAAAAAAAAATTATCGGGTTGGCGACGAATAAGGATAAACGTAGCGTAATAAAGAGGAAATATTAAATTATATATATTCGTAGCGACGAAAATAGTGTCTTCGTCGCAAATAAAATACTTTGTTAAAAGAATTACAACTATTATTTGCGACGATAGTGTATTAATCGTCGCCAAAATAATTATAGAAAAAATCTCGCTTTTCTATAGCGACGTTTCTTACAGAAACGTCGCATGTTTTTTTTTTTTTGGCGACGAAAGATCTTAAAACGTCGCTATGAGATTCGTTTTAATCTGACTTGGCGACGATTTTTGTTAGGAATCGTCGCAACAAATTGAATTAGAAGTCAGACCCTAATCCCTTTTCCCCATTTTCTCCGATTTTCTTCCCCTCTGCCGATTCTCTTCTCTCTCTCTTTCAATCTTCCCCTCCGACGGCGCCCCTCCTCCGCCGGGTCCTCCCCCTCCGCCTCCGCCACCGCAGTCTGCCGCTGCTGCTCCTCTGCGCCGTCCGCCGTCCGCCGTCCGCCACTGCTCTCCTCCGCCCATCTCTCCGCCGCTGTTCGATCTCCTCCTCCCATTTGCGGCCCAGCGCCGCCGTGTCCAGCGTCAGAGGAATCTCAACCAAGGAAATTAACGAACGCACACGTTGTTACGCCACCGCCGCTACTGCGGAGAACTGTGAAAAGGAAAAGAATTACGATCAATAGCTGACCCTGCCTCCGTTTAACCCAAAGTATATTTTGATGGAATCCATGCACACCTAACTAAATTTTGACCTTACTAAATGTCAATTCCATTATTTTTTATACTCCTATCATTTTAATACAACCATAATTCTAGTATTGAAATGTGCTCAGAAAAAATGTTGTCCAGTTGACTCAATTTGATTGGCCCCGCCAAATATTTGTCCGTCTTCGACACCACCTGGTAGTTTCATAGCTTATCATATCGATTGACCCAAATTTGAATTTCCTTAGTCGAATTTTAGATCTAAAGTAAGATTGTGGATTCCTTTTATCACTCAAACCCCTTAAACCACCCAGATTATCAGTAAGACCACGAAGAAGATGCACTCAGCTTCTTACCCACTCACCACAGACCCAACTCACAGAAGAAGAAGGCAAGGTGTTTGAATTTAGGGTTTCAATCTAGGTCTTACCCTCTGCCACACATCTCTCCGCATTAAATAGGGACTCCAGTCAAAAGGAGCCGTTGAAAAGACAACCACTGGGACAAGCACGGCCAAGGACGGCGGCGAATGGCCCATGGTTGCTGGAGCAAAAGAAGAAAGAAGCAGAGGGGGACCAAAGGGGAGAGCAGACATTGTCTAGGGCACAAAACGGGAAAGGGGGTACAAGGGAGAGGAAAGGTCAGCTATAATGAACGGCTGAGATCACACCAGAACCAACGGTTCAGATCTAAGCCTTCTAGCACATTCCCACTAATGGGCTGGAATTAGTCTGGATGGGCCTTTCCGAATAGACAAGTGTGTGTGTGGTGGAAATTGGGCTATAGGCCCAAGACACATTTGGGCCACAACCACAACACACTAAATATTTTGTCCTCGTTTATATACAATATAGCAACAAATATGGATATCGACCCATGGTCCCATTACCTCTTAAAAACCTAGTATTTTATATAATGTTTCTTTTCTTTTTTTCAATTTTCCAAGTAATTTTGTTTTGTCGACTCTCTAGATTTTTTTTTCAATTTTTTTTTAAATCTAAATTTGGCCATATAAAGACAAAATTGCAGTTTTGCCACTGCAGCTAGTTAACCATGGTTACAGTTAGAAACCAAACTAATTTTATTTTTTTAATCTGGCCCAAAATTGTTGCAGCCCATAGTTTGGTATCTCCAATTTTGAATACATTGGGCCTTAGCTTAATTCTGAGTAGATCGGGCCTGAATTTGGTATCTCACAGAGGAAGCCCGATAAAATCGGAGTTTCAAATACCTTGTCAATTTCGGCTCCAAAACCCAGCTTCTAGCTTTGAAATTCGATCATGCAAATGGAGCTGCCGGCGTCGAATTCTCCGGCAATCCGTCGTTGTTACTCGAAATCGCTGCCTCCGGTGAATTCACATTCCAGATGCGGAATGCAGTGTCGGAAAGTGGTTGATATATCCCCTCCATCTCTCTCCAGAATTCGGAAACCCTCTCGCAGAATCTCGGCCTCTGCTAATTTTGCCTGCGATGAACATTTGGAACCGCAGAATTTTGGAAAGAAGAAATGGTTTCACTTCGTCGGCGTCGGAGGAAGCGGATTATCTGCTCTTGCTATGCTTGCGCTTAAGCAGGTATGTATTACTCGTATATTCAAAGTTCATTATTCACATTGTTTTGTGTGCTCTATATAACCTAAATAGTGAAGCTACAATGAAAATGTCGATAGGGTCAAGTGGTTAGCGGTTCGGATATAGCGTGGAGTGGCTATATGGATGCATTAAAAGAAGCCGGCGCGTCAATTTATATAGGTCACTCGGAAACGAATTTGCAGGGAAACGGGGATGTATCGAGTTTACCTGATGCAGTTGTTGTCTCGAGTGCTGTTCCGCCGGGGAATGTGGAGATTTCGATTGCCAAATCTTGTGGAGTACCTGTGTGAGTTATGGATGCTTGAATTTGTTCAATTTTATCTTCACTTTTTGTTGTGCATTTGTTCTTAGTGAATGGAAATTTCGTGTTTTAGGTATAAGCGAGGTGCATGGTTGGGGAAGATAACCGAGGATTATAATTTGATTGCTGTCAGTGGCAGCCATGGTAATCTCATTCTCTGACATGCAGGGATGAATAGGAAATTTGATAGAGGCTAAGATTCAGTGGGATAGGAATAAGTACGATTTCCTGTAGCACTCGAAATCAAAATCGAAGATGTAGTTTCCGTACTTATGGTGAGGCAAGGATGAGAAGGAGTAACAGAACAATAATCTGATAGAAGAAATAAATTAATGGAAGAAGCGAGTATGGGAAGGAAATTAGTTTCATTTTGTTGTAATTCAGTTGAAGTTGAGTGTGAAATTATTTGAATATACTGACAATAGGAAAAAAAGATAATCTGAAACAAGCATGCTTTCCACATTGGCTCGTGGAGCGAATTTAGCCTGCTACAGTACTACTATGTAGTATTGCACTTACTAAACATTGACATAGCTTATTTTCACTTACAGGAAAGAGTACCACAACAAGTATGCTTGCTTATGTATTAAAGGCTATGGGAGATGATCTTACAGTTGTGATCGGGGCACAGGTTCAACAGGTATTGGTCAGCTTCAGTGGAGAAGTGGATTTTTTGGTGATACATGAAAACATGCTTTTCCTTAAATCTTTTCTGCATTTCGTTTTGTTGTGTGGGTGACATGTATCTTTTATTTAATTGGCAGCTAATATGCTATTGCATACTTCATTAACATGTCCAACATTGATCCTACGATTCTGCAGTTTTCTGGAGCTAATGTTATTCATGGGCATGGGCGCAACTTTGTACTGGAGGTAAGGTACTCAATTATTTACCACTGGTCCATTTTGTGCATATAAATGGTGTAGTTTTGCCTGAATTACCTTAGTAGGATGAATACTGATAACGGTTAGTTCTACTCCAATGTTTTTATTTATGGAAAATAAATCTAATTTTGCTAATAAACAATAACTAAACTCTTGTATGAAGGATATTCAATTCTTTTATTTCCTTATTGGAACTATAGAGCTTCATTTTCAACGTGCTACTAAAACATCCACAAATCTCGTGATTACTAAATTTCAGTGATATGATTGATGTAGGCTGATGAATATGATGCTTGTTTCCTTGGATTATCACCTCATGTAGCCATAGTAACAAATGTGGACTGGGAGCATGTTGATATATTTCGAGATGAGGTTCAGCTCAGTTTTGACTACTCAGCACAAGTTATCAATATTTTAACTTTGGCCTACTTTCTGATACTAGTTTTCATCACATTAGGACGCTGTCATAGAAGTTTTTAGGAAGTTCCTTGGCCAAATAAGAACTGGTGGGCACCTAATACTGAATGGGGATAGGTATGTATCACCATCTTTTATGGTTTATTATTCATTTTCTATGCTAGGTTCCTCTTCATGCTGACATGATCGTAAATTTCACTATTAAGCAACACCAAGTAAAGGCGAAACCTCTCTGCAGGCATGACCATAACATAGATGCTTTTTCTCTGCTGAATCTCCCAAAAGAAATATCTGAAGCTCTTGATGATACGGAGTCTCTCTCCGCCTACCTATGCAGCAGCAGATACAAAATTACAACCTTTGGCATGTCAAGTTACAATGACTGGCAGGCATCATCAGTTTCTTCAAACTCCATCGGTGGTTGTGACTATAAACTGGTAGGCTTGCTTTCGTAATTTAAAAGACCCTGTTAGATGTTGAATATTAGCACTATGCTGCAACATCTCCTAAATTTTATTTCCACTTCTTGAAAAGAATGATATTGCATTTCTTAATGGTGTTATCCATGCTGTTTTTCCAGTGCCACAAGGGACGAGCTGTCCTTGACATCAGCTTACAAATACCAGGAGTTCATAATGTTCTTAATTCGTTAGCGGTGAGTAAGAGTGGTAAGGAATTTCAAAAAATTTCCGGTTTTAGTTTGGTTCTTCTCCTAGATCTGTGGGTTTATTAGTCATGGTAACTTTGTTGAATCTGATTGCTTTTTTTCTGATTTACTGTACATTTCCTAGCCTGCAGGTTATTGCTGCATTGAGTGCTATACTCGGTGATAAAAGACAAGTTTATGAATCAATTCATATGGTGAAGTCACATTTAAAAAATTTCAAAGGTGTTTCCAGACGTTTTGAGTTCATCGGTGCAATTCATGGATACCATATTTTTGATGATTATGCTCACCACCCCACTGAAGTCCGTGCTGTTCTTCAAGCAGCAAGAAAGATGTTCCCCTCAAAAGAGCTTCTGGTGGTTTTTCAGCCTCACACTTACAGGTTTCTATTTGACACCGCACATTTCTCTCCATCTTGTTTGATTCTCAGTTGAAGGACTTGTGATTAATGGTCCTTTTTTTGCAGCCGCTTAGCAGCAATGAAGAGCGAGTTTGCCTCTTCATTTACTGAAACGAATCGAGTTATAATTACAGAGGTATTAGCGTTGATACTAGAAAGATTACCAAGCAACATTGGTGACGATTCATATTCTGACCATTGACAACAGATTTATGCTGCCAGGGAAGCTAACTTTTGGAGTATCAGTGGAGAGGATCTGGCTAGGTCCATAACCAGCCCTCCTTGTGATTTTATCCCATGCCTGGTAAACTTTTGCTTTCAGCCCATATGGATTCGAATACCATAATTCTAGCTACAAGGGCTTCATTCCCAGAGCAGAATTTCTCTCTTGGGAAGCGCTTGACCTTGTGAAATCACTTGGATTTTTATATGGCTCAAGTACTATTAGAATAATCAATAATAAAGAATGAAATTCAATTTAGAGAAGTTCAGTACCTTAAAATCAAAACCTAAATGCTGTCCATTTATTGAGATATTGTGCGAATTTAGTTTGCACCTGCATATTAACCCAACTCACAAGGAGTGTGGAAAACTGTCTCCATTTTGGGAAATGATATTACAGATTCATATGGACTTTTTATCTCGAATATAGGAACTGCCCTTCATATGACAGCTTGCCCAGTTCCGTTTCCAAAGTTGTTAGATATTTTTATTGGAGAACTAACATGAAAATTACGATAATTCTCTATTCGATTTACAGGGTTTGTTTATAACTGAGGGTACTGTATTGGTTTTATCAGGACAATGTGGTGGATAGGTTGGTGGATATGGTATCCAAGGATCCTTGTCATCAGATGGTCATCTTGACACTTGGAGCAGGTAACGAGTCGTTTATGTAACTGCCTATCAATTATAATGTCTACTTCTACAGGCAAACAGGCAAAGGTTGAACTTTCATGATGTTCTACTTTTGATTGAATAGGCGATATAACTACTGTCGGACGAAAGCTGCTCAAAAAATTGCAGCAAATCTTTAAGTAATTCATTCAACCCAACAATCGCAAAGCTCAACTGAAAAATCTGCAGCATACCACACTGAAAAATCTGCAGCACACCACACGTAACGGCAGCCAAAAGCAAGTGGAATTTGTATTCAACAACAAACACGAAAGGGGAAACCAGGATACGGTAATCAGGGAAAGACACAAAATTGGATTGTAATTATTTCCAAGGTCTTGGAATAATCTAGAAATCATTATACATGAGAATCGTCGTGCCAATCTCTAGATGTCAACAAAGAACCAATGAATATGTTATCGAAGTCATTTTCCAGGTGGCTATATGTATGAAGCTATCCAAAAACCAGGAACAATAATTAAAGCACAAAGATATAGCAAAATTCTCTCTTTGATAATAAATGAATACATTGAAGAACATACCTCTATAGAATCAAATATTGAAAGAGTTCTCATCCAAGAAGTAATTATGCTTCTAAGCATATAACACACTCACCCACATTGATCAATGATCACAACTAAAACTACCGAGTCTTACCATAAACCAAAATCTCCAGCTTCCGAAACACAAATCCCGTGAAATAATGAAATCAAACGAAACAAACATTGGCAAACCTTCACTTCCTACTATACAAAATTACTCCGGAAATAAGGAAAAAGGATGGAGCTACCGCATTACTCTACCCTCCAAAGAATGAGAAAAACCCGCGTTTCTTGGGTTCCTCCTCCATCATCACCGCCTTCATGCTATCCTGCTCCACCAATCTCCAAGCAGCCTGCTCGAACGCCAATCCTGCCAAAGCAGGCGGCTTATTCAGAACCAATGGATACCCTCTATTTGTGCTTCTGATCACCTCTGTATCCTCAGGAATCACACCCAACAATGGTAGCCCTAGCATTTCTTGAACATCCAAAACCGACATCATATCTTCGCCTTTAATCATATCAGTCCTCACCCTATTCACAATCATCTTAATATCCCTTATCCCATCACACTCCAACAAACCTGTCACCCTGTCTGCGTCTCTGAGGCTCGTGATATCTGGGGTGGTCACCAGCACCGCCTCGTTCGCCGGAGTGATTGCGGTGATGAAGCCGGCGTCGATTCCGGCCGGACAATCAATTAGTATGAAATCCGGTGCGCCTTCTTCGCGGTTTTTTAGGGCTTCCACCAGCCAAATTAGGGCTTTTCCGCCGAACCCTAGGGGGAGTTTGGAGCGGGGTTTGGAGATGCAGAGGAGTTCGAAATTGGACCACCGCTTGTCCCGAACTAGGGCTTGATCGAGACGGCAGTCTCCGTTGAGCACCTCGACGACGGTGTAGTTGACGCGGTTTTCGAGGCCGAGGAGGAGGTCGAGGTTGCGGAGGCCAACGTCGGCGTCAATGGCGACGGCGGAGAACCCGAGGCGGGCGAGGGAGAGGCCTATGTTGGCGGTGGTGGTGGTTTTCCCCACCCCGCCCTTGCCGGAGGTGATGACCACCACTCTCGGCGTTTCTCCCGAGAGCTGCGGCTTGCGATTGTACTGGAGGAGGGAGTGGATTGGGGTTAGGGTTTTGGGTGGTCTTTTGAATGGCTTTTTGGGGCGGAAGTGGATCGGAGACGGTTTAGCAATGGTCTGGAGAGATATCATTGCTCGGATTGGCTTTCGCCGGAATATCTGAAACTCCGGCGGCCTCGCAATGTGCGTTTCTGTGTGTGTGGTTGGAATCTGGAATCTGGAAATTGTGTTGAGTGGAAATGGGAAATGGCGACTGAGCTCAGTATAGAGGAAGAAGTTAAAGCTGCTGCGAAACAGTGGAATATCTAGGCTAAGGAAAATATGATCGTAAATATCATCTTGGTACCCATAGTTTCTCACTATTAGTTTTAGTGCCCATATATTTACAAATAGTTCAAACTGCCCCCATTGTTTTCCACTATTAACAAAAAAACCCATGCACAATCCCATATACTTATTTACAAATAGTTCAAATTGCCCCCAAATCAATACTATCAATATTTTCAAATCATTTCATTGTGTTTTTTTTTTATCAGTTAATTGGATCATATTATATTATAATAATTAAATTAGTAGTTGTTCTAAATTGAATTTCCAAAAGTGGGGGCCAAATAAGAAAAAGTCAGAAATTCTGGATCACTCTCCATTAACCGACACGTGGCAATCTCCTCCTTTTTATTCCAATACTACCCTTCCTTCTCCTACTCATCCCCGTCTCTTTGCCTCACCGGCAATCTCATGTGATCAGTTATTTTATCATCATCTTCTCTCTCACACACAACAAGCACTGATTACAGAAAACAGACGATCTCTGAAAATACCATTGATTTCTCGGGGAGCCCCTTCTTCTTTCTCCTCCAATTGTCTGAAGCAGGTTTGCTTTGTTTCCACTCCAAACTTTGGTCTTTTAGATTTTTTTTTTGGATTTATGTATCTAATTCTGCAGTTTCATATGTGAATTTTCTGATCCGATGCTAAATAATGTATAACCCGATTGGTTTTTTGTTGTAATTTGAGATTTAAGCATCCGGTAACAGTGGATCGCGTGTCAAATGATAGGGTTTTCTGTAATTGGTTGAATTAACTTAGGGTTTTATTTGTGGATCTTTCTGTAAGGTTGTCTGTGGGTGATAAAGTTTTCATTTTTTTCTGGATCTGTAATTTGTTGATGAATTGCGATGCCACGGAGCTTCAATTATTGAATATGACGTAGAGGTAATGGAGTTAAATGGATTTTTGGTGTCATTAGTTGGTTTATCTATTTGCTGATTCAATTTAGGATCTTTTCATTGAGATAATGGAAATGTAGATATTTAGTACAGTGGATTAGTAGTAGTTTTAGTATGTATGCCTGTGTTTTACCAGAAGAATCTAAGTTCACCAGTTATTTGATATCTCTGTTTTTTTGAATCTTCAATGGATTATAGGTTTTTTGTCGCGATTTGGATATTGTCGTGTTGCAACCACTCCAATGGCTTATGATAGGTTACAATATTTTTTTGCCGACACGTGGTGATTCCTTTTTTACGTTAGTGTAATGGTATTTAACAGAATCTTGAGATTGTCGTTTTTCTTGATACTTCTTTATTTGGTGGCGTTTAGTGCTTCTTTTTTTCGTCACTGTCAATTGTGGTTTTCTTTCTGGAATGACGGCGTACTTTTTGTCGGTCGAAGTGGCTTGTATGCTGAGTTTATTCTTGACTTTGTTTTGCAGGAGGGAAGGCCATGTGAATTGTTTGAAACTAAAAAAATAGTTACTCCATTAATAAGTCATTTTATTAAGTAGTTTGTTAATGGGTAGCAAGGGTTGTGGAAAATCGAGAACAATGTTGAAGAACGGGTTAGGAAGATCTTACCAATTTTCACTTCTTCTATCTCCTGTTATCTCTTTTTGGGAATGTAGTGTGCGTAAAATGAGGTACTCATTCAGACCTGAGTGGGTGTAGTGTTAGTTCGATATACTTAGCTTGCGTTTTTTTTTCTTTCTCTTTTTCCCGAGTTTTCATTTTCAGAGTTCATTAATTATTCAATAACAAGTTTTAAAAGAAAAAGGAAACATATATTTGATCAGATACTGTATACAAAATAGACAACTTTTTTATTAGGGAAGTAAAAGAAGTTAAGCAGATAGGAGAGTGTAGTATTAGGGTTATCATATCATGGACGGTTCTAAAGTAACAGCTGGCGTTAGGAAAGCCAAGAAGAAGCAGGTAAAAGACGAGCTCGACCGAATCAAACAAGCTGAGAAGAAAAAGAGGCGATTGGAGAAGGCTTTAGCTACTTCTGCAGCCATTCGCTCCGAACTTGAAAAGAAGAAGCAGAAAAAGAAAGAAGAACAAGAGAGGCTTGATGAAGAAGGTGCTGCAATAGCTGAGGCAGTAGCTCTGAATGTCCTACTCGGTGAAGACTCTGACGAATCAAGTAAGAATTGGGAATATTCTAGAAACATGGAGATTGTTCTTGGCAGAAGACAGGCATTGGTTCCTTACCGAGATGTGTCGAAATATTCGCTCGGAGATTTTGGATGGGTTTCTTCTGATCCGTATAGATACGAGTGCATGTGGAATAACCACTGGGGGAATTCGAATTTCATGGTCTCGTCTGATCCTCAATATTCTGCGGGCCAACTTGCTGCTCAGGCAGTTTCGTCACTTAAAATAGCCGATGATTCACAGGTGGATGCTTATTTGTTCAACCATATGTTAAGAGGGTAAAAAGGAAGAAATTCATTTCTAGATATGGTTTGGTCTAGTTGTGGTGATTGCTGTTGTTTCGAATAATGGTTCTGTGTATATATCTGAGAGAGCTTGGTCTTTATTACCCCTTTTATTATCCGGTGTCAAGATTGTATTACCGACATTTTCGAACTTCTCCGATTTTTAGTTTTTTTTCTGTTTGTTTTGATTACCTCAATTTTAGTTGTCTCTTTGAACTTTGCTGCAAGTGAATTATTATGAACCAGAGTCTGATGTCTGAATCAAAGTTAAAAATGAATAGCAACCTAAGAAAAGTAATATACAGTTGGAAACATTGTATAATTCCATGTCTGAATTATAGGCATACATTACAAAAACACTAGAGCTTAAATATATGTGGAAATTATATAAATGCACTCAATGGACAAGATTGGTTATCTGCCTTCATTGGTTATCAGCTGCGAAAAAACACGGCTGCTCGATATATCCGAAGTACCATCATCACTGTCCGCATCAACGCCACCACGCCTTGCCGGAACACCCATAGGTGGTGGTGTTACCGCCGCTTCGGAGCCATCATCAGCATCAATCCCATGTTCCCTTTTCCTTTCGTTCGTCTGAAGCTGATAAGCATACTCCAAATTCCACAAAACATCCCCCATAGTCGGCCTATCCACACCGTACTCAGCCAAACACTTCTCAGCCGTTTCCCCAAACTTCTTCAAAGAGCTCGGTTTTATCTCGTCCACAATAAAAGGGTCCACAATCTTCTCGATCAAACCCTTCTTTTGCCACTCCATTGCCCACTCTGCTAAATTGACTTCTTCCCTATTCAATAAAGGATCGACCGCCGGTCTTGCACAAAGCACTTCGAAAAGCACCACCCCAAATGAGTAAACGTCCGACTTATCCGTAAGCTGCTGCCTGCGAAAATACTCCGGATCCAAATACCCGAAACTACCCTTCACACCCGTACTAACATGAGTTTCATTCAGACAAGGGCCTGATTTCGAGAGACCAAAATCCGCCACCTTAGCAACATAATTTTCGTCGAGTAAAATGTTTGTTGACTTTATGTCACGGTGGATTATTCCTTGGGCGGACCCCGTGTGGAGGTAGTGGAGGCCTCTAGCTGCACCGATGCATATTTCTAGCCTCTGCTTCCATGGCAGTGGCTGCAGCGAATCAGAGCCGTACAGGTGGCTTCTCAGCGGACCCTTTTCCATGTACTCGTAAACGAGTATCATTTCGGATTGCTCTTCGCAGTAGCCCACGAGTGATACGAGGTGGCGGTGGCGGATTCTTGATAGGACGGCGATTTCTGTGTGGAATTCTGGGAGGCCTTGTCTTGAACCAGGCATGCCTCTTTTCACAGCAACTTTTATGCTGTTGCTTTCAAGAATTGCTTTGTAGACCGTACCGAAGCCACCCGAGCCGATTACTAGATTCTTGTCGAAATTGTTTGTAGCTGATTGAAGATCGGTAAAGGGAATCTTTAGACCGGAATATCCGTAGGGCCCAGGTGAAGCTAGGGATATTGTGGCGTGTGAGCTGGCGCCGTACGCTCGTAAAGAAGTCCATCCTGCACTTTCTGCACGTCTCGGTTTTGTCTTTTTCGGTCTTTTCTTCTTCTTGCATTTGAGCAAAGCTAGAATTGCAAGAAATACGAAACTTATTGCAAAAAACCCTCCAACCACCGAACCAACCACAATCCATGTGCTTTTCCCACGAGATTTGAGTGGTGAAGAAGATATAAAATCCACCATTCGCATAATCTCGACTCCATTAAGAATAGCGTTTTTCCTCAATGTGCTGCTTAAATCCGAAGGGCCGACGCTAATCCGAACGATATCCGAATCTTTCGCGTTCCTCACCACGAAGTCGATGTAATAAGGAGACGCGAGCTGATGAAACGCAAGAACGGACAAATCCACATCTTTGTACGCGGTGACCCCGTTTATGTATACGTTAAAGTACAACGTGTTGAGTGCAATGCTAACAATGTCGGAAAAATGCAAGCGGACCAAATGCATCGGATCATCGGCTCCCACCGGAAAATCCCACGTTATATTGAAGTGAAAAATCAGGCTGTCGTTGACTACATTCATTTGCTGCGCGGTCATGTACACATTATCGGGGGCGGTTTCTCGGGTTGCGCCGCCGAGTTCGTAATTCGGGGGGTCGTTCGTGGTGGCAACTTTGGCGGCTGTTTTCAAGACGAGGAAATCTTCATCCGGGATCCAAGTCCGCCAGAGTGTGTCGTTAAACGGGGTTAACTTAGGACCGCCGACGTTAATTCTGTGGACGGTTTCCAACACGTGGGAGGTGATATTCCGTTTGAATTCTTGGATTCCGTCAGGGTTGATTAACGCTATCCCAGCTGAGTCGACGAAGAAATCTTTCGGTACAGAGAAAAGTTCGATTGCGTTCACGTAAGCGAAACCGGAACCGGAACCGCCGCCGACAGGTGTGAACAGAATCTCAAGATCTTCTTCATCTACCGTAAAGAAGAACTCTTTGAGAACAGTGGAATTAGCGACGAAATTGGTTAGCAGAGAAACCCCATTTGCAGAAACGCTGAGCTTTCCGTGGCTGAGATCGTAATTTAGGGATTTGAAAGGGGCAAAATGGAGACGCAGCAAGTGGGTCCAGTTGATGTTCTTGATATTGAAAGTGTAGGTTGAAGGTGAAGTGAAAACTCGGGCTGTGGAGTAGAGAAGGGGGGAATTGGGAGATGGGTTTTGGTTAGTGAGAGAAAGTGATTTACCTTCAGAGAGATGGGAAGAACCGTTCTCCGATGAATCTCCGGCGAAGTGGCGGTTGTCGACAAGTGTTGCGCTGGTGGCTGATCCGCAGTTGATGAGGTAGTTGTCTTGGGGTGTGAAAGCATTTGAGAGGATGAGGATTGAGAAATGTACAGACAGGTAGTGGAGAAGCTTCGCATCCATGAGTTAGTTGTCTGATTTTTTTTATTTTTTATTTTTTTTTGTTCCAAGAATGGTTTTTTATGAACAAGAATTATAGAGATTGTTGGAGAAATTACCAAAGATTTGAACTTTTTTGAGAAATATTAGTGCTGATTACTGGATCAAGAAGAGGGTTTAATGCAATTTTTTTTTTTTTTTTAAAGAGTGGATTTTGTCAAGATAACACACTAGTATACTCATGAAATGCACTAATTGCAGTGGATGACAGAAAAAAACAGAGGTTTTAAATTGATGGGGTCATCACTTCTATACATGGTCCATCTGTTGAAAACCCAATTAAAAAAAATTAAAATAAAAAATAATAATTATGCAATAAACAGCAGAAAGTTTGACCTATGAAGCTCAAGCATGTGCAGAATTTAAAGGCCATTAAATGACATTACTACAAATTATTGAAAATTTGACACACTGGGAAAATTGTAATTTTTGTTTTTTTTTTCCAATTTATTAGTATCATGGATTTGCTAAAACTGTTTAGATTATTATTGTCAGCAGTAATTGCCAAAATTAGTGATTATATATGTATATATATATATATATATATAAGATGTAACAGAGTTTATTAAAAGTATAGTGATTTGTGCAGAAACAGTGTTCATTAAGGGGTTGCTGCAGGTAAGTGGATACTAATTATATGACATTAAAATAATCAAGAAACATTGAGTTCTGATTAATGGTTATATTTATGTCAAATATATAAATAAACTATTATATCAAGTTGTAGGATTACTGAAACACAGCATATATTTTTTCTCTAGCAGCAGACAGCAGTCAGTGAATCTTTTGTGCATATGATGTGGTCTGAAGTAGAAAATTCACGTTTTTATGGTGGTGCATCAGAAACTACATTTTTGCACAAAACGAGTACAAACTAGAGAATATTCCACGGAATCTAGAAGATTATGTTGAATTTGACAATGTATGGGCGGACGTGTAAGAAGATTAATAGTTTAGGGTGGTAGTTGTAATTACCCAAACACGTGGGGTCTTTTCGTAATTTTACCTTGGATAAACAGTAAAAACTTTTTACCAGATGCAACTCTTTCAACTGAGTGTAGTGTATATCAGTATTGATTCATACTGTATGCCAGGGTAGCACCGGAGGAATGGCCGGAAAAATCCTCCTCTTCCATCCCACCTACATCCCTCCGCCGCCGGCGCGGCGGTCCATCGTCGCCTCCCGCAACGCCGCCTCCCAGATTCCAGATACTCACACCCCATCATTTCAAAATTCCCCACTCTCAACTTTTTCATCTGACAAATTTAGAACCCTGAAAACAATTTCCCGGAATCCAGCTCGAAGTGTCGTCGCCAGATCGCAATTGAATTTTCCGATCATTTCTCCGCACGATCAATGGGGCACCTGGACTGCGCTTTTCGCCGCCGGCGCTTTCGGCATATGGTGAGCAATACAAAACCCTATTCAACAAAATCGAGAAATTGGTACTTCTTTTTTCCCCCAATTTATTTGAATTTCTCATAATTATGTTGTTATTTACATGAAAGGTCGGAAAAAACAAAGATTGGGAGCGCATTGAGTGGTGCATTAGTGAGTACTTTGGTGGGTCTGGCAGCAAGTAATTTGGGAATTATAGCAAGTGAAACGGCAGCTTATAACGTCGTTTTGGAATTTCTTCTGCCATTAGCAGTTCCTCTGCTTCTGTATAGAGCCGATATGCGCCGTGTAATAAAGTCAACCGGCACACTTCTGTTAGCTTTCTTGCTTGGATCAGGTACTTGTTCATTCATTGATTTCTGTAAAGTTGTAATCTTTGTAATTTTTATTTTTTGGGGGGACTAATTTGTAATTAACCCTTTCTTGACAGTTGCTACAACAGTGGGTACTCTTGTAGCTTACTTTCTTGTGCCGATGCGATCACTCGGTCAAGACGGTTGGAAAATAGCAGCTGCTCTAATGGGAAGGCATATCGGTGGAGGTAATCTATACAAATCTTTTGTTCGATATCGGGAAATTAATGTAGACTAGACGCTTAGTTGAAAGTATGTATACGTACATTGCGATGCAGCATAACCAATTTCTTCTCGATTTATATGGTATGGATAAACATGATGCTTTTTTTTGTTGTGTAGCTGTCAATTACGTCGCTATATCCGAAGCCCTCGGTGTATCTCCTTCAGTATTAGCTGCCGGGCTAGCAGCAGATAATGTTATTTGTGCAATATACTTCACCACTTTATTTGCTTTGGCATCTAAAATACCCTCCGAATCGTCATCTCCAACACCTGGTGCGTAAATACTATTCTGAAATCACCTATTAAAATACACGTGCATTAAGGGGGAAATTGTCATCTTGTCCGAAATGACTGAATTCTTCTAACATATGGAAAATGCAGGTATTAATGAAGAATCGGAATCGGATAATAAACTACCTGTACTGCAAACTGCAACTGCCGTCGCCGTATCGTTCATTATATGCAAAATCGCCACTGTCTTGACAAAGCATTTTGGGATACAAGGAGGTACACTTCCAGCCATAACAGCTATCGTTGTTGTACTAGCAACCTCGTTTCCGAATCAGTTCGCTTACCTGGCGCCATCTGGCGAAGCTATGGCACTGATACTAATGCAGGTCAGCTAATTAATCCTTAAAATAAAATCATTTTTTTCTCAACGTCATTAAATTTACGATTTTTCGTTTCAGGTGTTTTTTGCTGTGATTGGTGCGAGTGGGAGCATAAGGAATGTGATAACAACAGCACCGAGTATATTCTTGTTTGCCCTAATCCAGATTGGGGTACATTTGGCTGTGATTTTAGGATTGGGGAAGTTGTTTAGGTTTGATCTGAGGCTATTGCTTTTGGCGTCGAACGCTAACGTCGGGGGCCCCACAACAGCTTGTGGAATGGCGACCGCAAAAGGATGGACTTCACTAATTGTGCCTGGTATTCTTGCTGGCATATTTGGGATTGCAATTGCTACTTTTCTTGGCATTGCTTTCGGACAAGCTGTTCTTAGATTTATGTGAAGGATTCAATCAATTTCATTTGCCTTTGCTTTCTAGGATATATTTATTACATTGATTGATTGGGGTTTTATTCAAGATTGGTCAGGCCCAATTCGGACACGTGGCCCATAGCCCACAAAATTCCGAATTTTATTTATTTATTTTAGTATCAAGAATTTCAATTTTGGAATCTAATTATTTACTTAAGTCTTAAAGTCATATAATCTTACTGAATTAATCTGATAAATTTTATTGATTATCAAAAGGAAGAAAAAAAAAACAATCTGATAATTTTACAAATATTACTGAAATCACCCCACTATCATCCTCAAATTGCTGAATATTTTTTACCAATTATATGTGGACTGCATGCCACGTGGCCCAATAAAAGTACGAGAATGATTCAGCTTTGGCAAAGTCAGCAGAATTATCATTTCACAGAGCACAGAGCCAAATAATCTGAAATGGCAGCCTCAAGGTTACCGTTACACCTAGTGGCACTTGCATCATCTCCATCTCCATCACACTCAACTTTCTGCATCAAAATTAACAATGGCGCCAAATTTCCGTACAAACAGCAATCCGACACAGGTGAATCTAATTTACCAAACACAATTACCCACAGGGGCAGATCCTGGAAAGATTCTTTAACTGTCAAGAAATCCCACTTAAACAACTCACCAATTGTTGTTTCTCCGAGTGACCAATGGGGTATCTGGACTGCCCTTCTCGCCGCCGCCACTTTCGGGCTCTGGTATTATCTCAATCTTCTTGTTTTATTTTTTCTGAAATATATTCTAGAGAGATAAAACAATGGATAATGAAATTGTTTCGTTTATGTGGGACCCATTGTCCGAAGGTCAGAGAAGACGAAGATTGGGAGCATGGTTAGTGCTGCATTAGTGAGTATTTTAGTTGGGCTTGCAGCCAGTAATTTGGGGATTATCCCGCACGATGCGCCTGCTTATTCGGTGGTGTTTCGATACTTGCTGCCGTTGACAATACCGTTGCTACTCTTTAGAGCTGATTTGCGGCAAGTTATACGGACTACAGGGACTTTGTTCTTCGCTTTCTTGCTTGGATCAGGTCTATTAATTTCTTTACACTTCGTCGGATTATATCTGCAACCTTGTTAGTCCCATTTGTTCAATTGTTTCGTTCGATGTTTCAGTGGCAACAGTTGTCGGAACAACAGTGGCGTTCCTTATGGTTCCCATGAGATCCCTTGGTCCCGATAACTGGAAAATAGCTTCCGCTTTGATGGGTAGTTATATCGGTGGAGGCAAGTTTTTTTCTTTTTTTTTCTTTTTTTTTTTTTTTTTTTTTGTAACTCCGTTGGGTCTCGTCTTACGACCTTCTTAAATATTACTAGATTCTTTCGTCATTTGTTAAATAAAAGAACAAGCCCATGGTAATAATAGTTTGTTTATGGTTCACACAGCAATAAATTACGTTGCGATATCTGAGGCACTCGGTGTTTCTCCATCGGTTATTGCTGCCGGTGTAGCAGCAGACAACGTTATTTGTGCTCTGTATTTTCTTCTGTTGTTCACGTTGGCCTCCAAAATACCTCCCGAGTCTGCAACAGTGACTGACGGTATGTAAAACTAGAAATATATCAGATAAAAAAAAAACGAGTGTTTTTGTTCGACTTTGATCATATTTATATAAAAAGATATAGTGGAATTCAGTTTCAGTACAGTCTGTGCAGCTGATTCTTCATGTCCGGAGTCGAGCAAGAGCAAACTTTCAGTGCTCCAAATGGCAACAGCAATTGCCGTTTCCTTTTCTATTTGCAAAACTGCGAATTCTATCACTAAAACATTCGGAATTCAAGGAGGAGAACTTCCTGCAGTGACTGCTATTATTGTCATGTTAGCAACTTTTTTTCCGAGTTTCTTTCGCCACCTGGCACCTGCTGGTGATCTTTTCGCTCTAGTACTAATGCAGGTAACTAAATATTTTACGTACTTTAATTTTTTAATTTTTTTTTCAATTTTTTTAATGTGGTGAAAAGAATACTTTTCGAAACAGGTATTTTTTGCTGTTCTTGGAGCGAGTGGGAGCTTGTGGAACGTAATAAACACAGCTCCCAGTATATTCTTGTTCGCCTTTATTCAAGTCACTGTCCATCTTGTAGTAATACTCGGGCTCGGAAAATTATTTCGGATTGATCGAAAACTATTGTTATTGGCATCAAATGCTAATATTGGAGGTCCCACAACGGCATGTGGAATGGCCACAGCAAAAGGGTGGGGCCCGTTAGTTGTACCTGGAATTCTCGTTGGAATATTTGGTATATCGATTGCTACATTTCTCGGTATCGGTTTTGGTATGCTAGTCCTCAGACACATTTGATCATCCGTAAAAACTTCTTTGTTTTCAATTTATTTCATTTGAGTACGTAGCCTTGTACATTATGATTTGACAATTCTCGACAATTACAAAACCCTGTTTCGTTTAACATTTAGATTTACCGATCTAAGTAGAATGAACTACTAGAGTTGCACATGCACACGGTCCTCATCAACATGCCCACCAATAGCAAACGATATGAACAACGAAAGCCAGTAAAAATCATGAAACATATATAGCAACTTAATTAAGAAAAAGGAAAAAAACGTCGCAAAAGGCAAAGATTAGATCGAAAAAACAGCTAAGTAGAAGACAAATCAACATACGTAACTTGGACACCTTTGATCGAATAGTGAACAGTTGCGCCGAATGTTTCGGCATCGTGTTCATAATCATCATCATCAAGCTTGGCGGTAAACGTCAAATAAACTATAAATCCATCCACTACACGTATGGTTGCTTCGATTACGTCCACCACACTGTATTCGACGGCCTACACACACATAAATACCAAAAGAAAACCACTTAATAATAATCATCATGACTAAACAAGACATAATCAAACATTAAAAAAAACAAATCTTTAATTACTTGTCTTTGGTTGAACACACGAATTGCTGTATCGGCATAATTTTTGACCTTTTGCACTTCCTGCGGAGTGTAGGAATCGGTAGAATCTCGGTTGTACATGGTGGTTGCACCACCGGCACATTGGTGATAACAATAACTTTCGGGCCAGAATTTCCTCGCCAGAGCCTGCTTCTGATATTCCAATTTCGGATCCTCTTTAGATTCCTCGATGAATTTCAGCCTCTTCTCTTCTCCCCATTCTTTCATCGCTTCCAGTTTCCCTCTCTCCTCTGATTCCTGTTGCAATTTGTTCATCTGCCGGAGTATCTTATCGATTCTTAACTTTTGATTCGCCGCATTCTCCTCTTGCAGTTTCTTCACGTGTCTCAGTATCTTCTTCACGCGCTTCTCCATTACTGGATTCGATTTTTTCATCTCTCTCTCTCTCTCTCTCTCTCTCTCTGATCTATAGCCCTAATCGTTGTTCTATTGAATTGTGAGAGTGGGTTGGTTGGGCTATGACGATTTAAATTTAATTCGACATGCCACATCAGATTTGCCTCTTGTTTTTTTTTTTGGTAAATTACACTCGCCCCTAAGGTATGTTAAAATAACTTTAAGGTCCTTGTCGTATCGGTAATTACAATTACCCCTGAAACATTGTTAGAAACTCTAACGGGATAATGCATTAGATACGTTATTCCAATAGAGTTTTAACGGACTATTAATTTCAGGAAGTCGTTGAGACAACATGGAGTTATGGGTGATTTAAGAAATATTGGGGGAGCCATCTCACCCCCTGACTTTATGTTGTCTCCACGATTTACTGAAGCTACTAATAGTCCGTTAGAACTCTACGGAAATAGCGTAGGGTAATTGTAATTACCGATACGACAAGGACCTTAAAGTTATTTTAGCATATCTCAATGGTGTACATGTAATTTACCCTTTTTTATTTGTAAATTCGTAATTTAGTTACATAATATTATGAATTTACAAAAGTACTTCTAAATTAGGTCTAATTACCCTAGAGTCCTCAACTTATAAAAGAGAAAAAAACATTGAAACCACATTTAAGCACTTCAAAACATGATTCCGGCCAACCTTTTAACCCCATCTTATCATTGATACTTTAGTAATGCTTTAATTCAATTCTTGACTATTGTGATGATCTGTTCTGTGTGTTTCGGATTTGAAGGTGGCAGCATGCATCCAAAGTTTCATAGTGTATACGTAGGGCTAGGGTAGACCTGACCACCGGTTCGGTTAGAACCGGAACCGGAACCGGAAACAAATGCACATCATTCTTGTTTTTCCCCGGAGGGGGTCTTCAATCTCGAGTCTAATGGGCCTTACATCAGAATTGAGCATCAAATAGCACATCTGAATTTTCATCAAATGTCACTGGTATATATATACATATACTTGTACTGTTTTTTTCTCTTTATATTCAAAGTCGAATAATTAACGTAATCTAAGATGAGATTTGATTATAAAAAATATTCTGTTCAATTTTTTTTTATTAAAATTCAATTTCCACTAGTAACCTCAATTCTAGTGATTTCTTTTTTGTTTTTGTTTTTTTTTTTTAATTAAAATTCAAAATACGTTCACTGTGTGTTCTATTCTGCAATACCAACGACCATCGCCACATTCTTGTACAAAATTCCTTAGCGGCGTGGATTGCTTCTTCTTCCCCGAAACATCTGCAAAGGGCTGTTCCTAAAAGTATCCCTTCTGCGATTCGTGTTCCAAACCGAGCCAATTGCTGTAGTAGAATCAATGATGGTTAAAGCTATACATGTGTCCAAGAAATGAACATTTTCATGTTTCATGCTAAAAGATTAAAATTTGAGAGAGATAAATTTTATTCAAATTTTCAAAATAAATTAACTTCAAGGTCACAACTCTTTATAGGGGCTATTGATCTGCTGCTAGTACATCCACCACATTCAAGAGCCGTCTAAAAAGTTAGTGAAGAATTCCGACATTAATTCATAAAAAAATATAAGAAAATAAAAAACGCAAACCGTTAACTTTTACTACATATCCTCGAGCACTCAAAGAGCAAATATCCAACATCTTAATAAACTAGTTCATAAGAGTATATTTATTTTTAAAGTAGCATTTAGTTATTTTTTAATTACTATATTACCAGCCTTTCACATCTAAACACCTTTTACTAAAACAGCAAACCAATTCTGAAGTTAGGGATTCTTCCTAAACGAAGACAAATAAAAATAAATTTTTGAAGTTGTAAAAAATCGGAACATGTGATAATGAACAAGAAAACTAAAGCAGCCACTAAAATTATGAAATAGTATATAGCAACTTAATAAATTAAGAAAGGAAAAAAATAATTTTACCTGTAGCTAGCAGCTAAGTAGAGGAGTACGCAACATGCGTCACTCGAAAAGGTTTGTTGAATCCGTAGTGAATATTTGCACCGAAAGTTTTGACATCTTCATCCTCAGAATCATCAGGCTTGGCAGTAAACGTCAAATTCACCATACGCCCTGTATCCATATGCGAGCTTGCTCTGATTACATCCACCACACTGTATTTGATGGCCTACACACACACACACATACACCAAAACAATCACTTAATAATAATAATAATAATCATTAAACAAGACAGAATCACACAAATAAAAAAAAAAGGAAAAAAAAAAAAGAAATCTTTTTTATTACTTGTCTTTGGTTGAACACATCAATTGCTATCTTGGCAAAGCTTTTGACCCTCTGAAATTTTTCGGGGGAATAGGAATCGGAAGAATCTCGATCGAACAATTGACTGATGTGTTTAGACAAGCGGAATGCATTGGGATAGAGTTTCTTCATCAGCTGATTCTCCTCTCGAAATCTATTATCCCTTTCCAGCTTCTTCTCCTTTTCAATTAACACCTCCTCTAGGAATTTCTTCACCATTACCCGTTCCTTTTCCTCTTCCAATTCCTTCATCGCTTCCAGTTTCCCTTTCTCCTCCGATTCCCGTTGCAATTTGATCACCTGCCGGAGTATCTTATTCATTATTAACTTTTGATTCGCCGGCTTCTCCTCTTGCAGTTTCTTCACGTGTCTCAGTATCGCGTTTTTGCGCTTCTCCGTTACTGGATTCTCCTCTGACAATTTCGAATTTTTCATCTCTCTCTATCTCCCTCTCTGATCTATAAACCCTAATTCGAATTTCTCCCCCTTTTGTTGGTTTCTTAAACTTTAAAAAAAAAAATAAAAAAAAAAAGGGTTAGCTAAGCAGCCAAGCAATGGGCTGGACTTATGACAGTGGGTTGGTTGGGCTTTGACATTTAAATTTAAAATTAATTGAACCAATAGGCTTTCTAACAACAAAAGGCTACACCCTCCAATTGGACTGATCCACGTGGCTATTGTTCCCATGGGCCGGCCCAGTAGAGCTGACGTGGACATACTCACATTTTTTTGCCCTAGTTCTTATTTTTGCATAATTCTGAAGCAATTAATGCTTGTACTTTCTGTTATTCGCTCTTTGACCATTTTGCCCCTGATATCCTCTTTTTTTGTTTTATTACAGACCTGTCGCTGTTTTTGATGCATTAACTAATTAATTAAAGTTGAACACACCTTCCACATTCGGTTTTTATATTTTAGTCCCTATTTTGGATTTATCCATATCCATGCAATTTCAGCATCAAGCCATGTAATGAAAAAAGCAAATAGGATTAATCTGCACTCATATTGGAATAAATCCAATAGTTATACTACTAAAATTGTGTCAAATAAAGCAACCATAAGTTACTAACCTCTAACACAATAGGAATTGCAAGTTCTTGTTATGCCTATTTAATTAATACCTCTATTATTATTATTATTATTATTATTATTATTATTGGATTATGAGAATATATTAGATAATCCATTAAGTAAAAGATTAAAAATTCCTGGAAAATAAATAAAGATTTGAATTAACCATACCAGTGAAACATGTGCATTCGCAAAATCATTTTTTTTTTTGATGAAGTAGCAAAGTAGATCCAGCTTTTTTGCATGATGTTAGAACGACTTGCGATTGCTCGATTTTGAGTTTGCCTCGATTTGGTACCGCTGTCGCGGCCTTCTTCTTGCCTCTTTTTACGAGATAATTCATCAAGTTCCCTTCAATTTATAATTTTATGCACTATAATCATTAGTAATAATTAATAAAGATTATACGATAATATTTTAAGGTTGGATTAATGATCTCACTAGTGTTCGTTGGCATGTTTGAAAGTTGGAGGATGTAATATATTGATTTGTAAAAATAAAATGCTCCTTTTAATTACATATATTTGTTCCTCTTAGGTTGCAAAATTGAAAGACATATAAAGGTACAAGTCTCTAGCTAGCTAGGGTATGCTTTGGCTTTTGTGCACAGTGGGGTATTTTGGTCATTTGCCCTCTCTGCTTCTCTCCGTACGTACTGCGTGGGTGTGCACTGTGAAACTCCCAGTGATACTTACACTTACAGACGTTAATCTGAATATTTCTCTCACCAGCGCCTTCCGTTTCTCTCTCCTCCTCCTCCATCAAAAACTGGAGAGAGAGAGAGAATATAATCTTCTGATCCTTGATTATAAACAAAAAAAGAAAGATCTCTCTCTCTCTCTCTCTAGTCACTCAAGAACATCCACAGTTACGTTGGTATTTGCTCTCTAAACCTGTGCCTGAAAGAAAAGGTAAAAACTTCTTGTCGGATTTAATTAATGTTTCTTCCGCCATGTTTGTTTATCCAAGTTAAAAAGTATAAATGCTGATTCGTGATCATCATGAGAATAAAACAAGTGCTGATATCATGCATTTTTTTATATATGAATATAAAAAAATGCTCTTTGTATTTATCATGCATTTTTTTATATATGAATATACACGTTTTTTCTGTATGGAATTTAGGGTTTCGATTGAGATCTTCAAATCGCTGGTTGTGTTTTCTTTTTGCTTTTTACATTTATTCACCATTGATCTTCATCTTTTTTCTTTGATTTTTCAATATATATATTTTTTGGTTTTGGATCTATGTGGGTTTGATTCAAACTCAAACCCTATTACTTTTTTCTTTTCTTTTTTTCTTTTTTGTATATAGGATCTATGTTTTATGCATTACGATAATCATCATCGGAAGTTTAATTACATCATGTTTTTTTGTGCATAGCAATAATCATATATACATCTCTTTCGCAGCAGGCTCGTGATCGAACTGTGCGTGAAAATGTCCGACATACCACCACCCAAGGGGTTCTATTTCAAATTGAAAGTTTCCGAGACTTTATTCCCCATTCAAGATCAAAAAGGAACCCGTAAGTACTAATTTCAAATTTTCATTATATATATATTGTACATGCACGACTTTGTTTTAATTTTCAGAGATTAAAAAAAAAAAAAAAAATCAATTCTAATAGTTTGTGCTATAATTAATTAATTGCAGCAAGTTGTTGGGCACAATCAGTGGCATTTTTAGTCGGTTATGAATTGAAAAGGAAACATAAGGATATACAAGACTATATAGCCTCTCCACAGCATCTGATTGACAATCTTTACAAAGAATCTAATGCTGTAAAGTTTTTCAAAAAGGGGCCAAACAGTAACGATCTTATTCCGTGTTCATTAGCGGAAATGGAGTACTATGAGTGTTCCGCTCGTCATGCACTCAATTACATAATGGTTAATGGAATTTATTTAGAAAGCCAGTATAAGTTTAAAGGCAAAACGAGCAACAAACGCATGATTTCGGTAAGCAAAATATTTTTTTTAATTATATATATTTATTATAAATTTTTCTTTTAATGCTTACTAATCTTTTCTATTTTTTTTTTCTTCTTATTATTATTATATAAAAAGGGGGAAAGGATAAGGATTGAGAAAATTCAATATTTCAGTTCCACTCCTTCAAAAAATCAAGTCAAGAAAATTCTACAAAAGGGACATCCAATTCTTGCGGAGATCTATATGTCAGACAGCTTCTCATCTCACCATGGAGAGGTAAATTCATAAACTGTTATTTTCAGAACAAACAAATAATTTGAGAAAAATACATTAATGTTTAATTTTTATATATTTTTTTTTTATTATTTCCTAGCACGTCTATAGAACAGATCCTGGAAAACCGGAAGATGGATTGCACTCAATAGTGGTCATAGGAACAGGGTACGATAACGGAGAACTTTATTGTGAAATCAGAAATTCGTGGGGCTCGGAGTGGGGAGCCGGAGGCAATGCCAAAGTCTTGGCCAGTTTTGTCCACCTTGTGGGTTACATAGAAGGTGCTTATCTGGTATGTTTATCTAAGTTTGATTTACTTCAATATTTCCAAAGTTTTGTGTTTTGTTATATTATAATCTCTTTATCTTGTTAATTTCCTTTTCTTCGATATAGGAGGATGAATGAAGAGGCAAGAGGCGACGATGAATGAAGAGGCCAGAGGCGATATATAATCGATATCCAAAATGCATTTTATGTTTTGTTATCAAGATTCTGACTTTTTGGCTTTTTTTTAGTATGTATGCACTGCACTCCCTTCCAAAATGCATTTTATGTTTTGTTATCAAGATTCTGACTTTTTGGCCTTTTTAGTATGTATGCACTCTCCGGCCCTTATTATATGTCTTTTTGGAGTGTTTTTTTGTCTCAAATTATTTATCATTTTTGAGTTCAATAAGGCACTAATTGCATTTTTATCAATTTTGCCCCTTATCACTCTTAATTAATTAATTAAAAAGTAATTAATGACGAGTATTTTAGTATTTAATATGTTATTTTTGGTATAATCTATAGATATTAACCCCAAAAACAACATATAAAAAGGGACACAAAATTCGCAAACAGCAAAGCTAAACAAGAATCTGAACGGGAATAAATTTGGCAGTAGCAAGCAAAATGTAAACTTAGCATTGTTAGCATTGACCTCTAAACACAATCAGTTTTTTCACAGATAAAAATAGACTCTAGATGCCTAAAAATAAAGTTCACAACCGGCCGATTACTTAATATTCCATATATATAGATATATATATTTAGCTTCTCTGAATCTGGAATCGCCTGCAATTCAAAAAATCCCAAAAGGTGTTGTTAAATGCTAGTAAAAACATACTTACAGCAGAAGGCTGTTAAAGAGTGTAAATCTATATAACACAAACTGGTGCATGCTTCAAACACTACATAGCAATTAACTAATGAATGTATGGCAAATGTACAATGTTCAATAAACAATGGAAAATACAACACACACTGCACATTGCCCCACTTCCATGTTTCATGCTAATTTATCAACGAATTAACTTCAAGGTTGATAAACGTTTCGGAGCGATTGGTCAGTAAGATAAGTATATCGACCACATTCAAGAGCGGTCCAAAACGGTAGTGAAGTTCTCCAACAGTAATTCATAAAAAACATAATTAAATGAAAAATGCAAACTGACAAGTTCCGTTTTACTACATGTCCAACATATAGCAACTACAATGTTTGGACAAACCCAACTACTCAAAGAGTAACTATCAAACATCTTATTGAAGTAGTAATTTTAAGTTGTACTATAGGCTGTGAGCCATCAAAATCAGCTTCTTAATAATACCATTTATATCACCAGTTCTAAATAGATCTAAACATACTCCCCTGCCCCAAATAAAATAGTCCAGTTTCACGTTTCCATCTATCAGGGTCTATTTAATAAGATTCTGACCTCACGCAGATCTGCTTATTTACAAAAGTTATAGTTGCAACTTTTATTTTATAATTTTTTACTATGTCTGAATGTTTGAAACCTAAACCTCAACATGAGTATGTTCCAATTATTTGATGCTAACGGGAATGCACTCTTTGATCTGAACGAATGTAGTAGAGTAGACTGTGCTCTTTCAATAAAAGTAACACCAATGCAAAGCATCATACACCATATGGAGACAATACAAACGCAGACACTTTGTTTCTTGAATTGTCCAAAACTAGTCGTATGCTTGTTGGAATTTTTAATGTTATATCCACAAATACTATTTCTCTAAATCCTAACTACATCCACTAAATGCACAATGCATTCAGCTAATTGACGTTCACCATTCATGTAAACAGATGTATTGTATGTATGTATGTACAGTTTTAGTAAAGCCCAAATGTAGAATGAACTAAAGTTTTAGTAAAGCCCAAATGTATTGTATGTCAACATATGATATGAACAACACAAGCCAGTAAAATTACGAAGCATATATAACAACTTAATTAAGAAAAAGAGAAGAAAAAAAAAAATCAAAATGAATTACCTGTAGCAGCTAAATAGTAAAATCAACATGCGTTACGTCAAGACCTTTATATGAATAGTGAAGACTTGCGCTGAAACTTTCGGCATCCTCTTCATAATCATAATCAGCATCATTGGGCTTGGCGGTAAACGTCAAAGACACTATAAATCCATTGACTGCAACTGAAAGTGCTTCGATTACTTCCACCACACTGTATTCGACGCCCTACACACACACACACATACAAAAGGAAACCACTTAATAATAATAATCATGACGCAATTAAACATTTAAAAAAAAAACTTTAATTACCTGTCTTTGGTTGAACACATCAATTGCTGCTTGGGCATAATCTTTGGCCTTTTGCACATGTTCTGGAGAGTAAGAATCGTGAGAATCTCGGCGATACATGACGTTTAGAGTTCCACATAGACGATAGAGATCGGGCCTGAGCTTCCTCGCCAGAGCATACTTCTCTTTAGCTTTCTGTATCTTCTTCTTCTCCAATTCCAGCTCCTCTAATGCTTCCTTCATGAATTTCGCATTCTTTTCCTCTTCCGATTTCTTTATCGATTCCATTTCCTCCATCTCCTCTGTTTCCTCCTGCAACCTGTTCATCTGTCGCACTATTTTTTTTATTCGTAGCTTTTGATCCGCCGCTTTCTCCTCTTGCAATTTCTGCACGTGTCTCAGTATCTTGTTCACGCGCTTCTCCATTGATGGATTCGATTTCGATGTCTTCATCTCCCTCTCCCTCTCCCTCTCTCTATCTCTCTCTCTCCGATCGTAACCCTAATCGTTTTTCCCCCTTTGTTGGTTTCTTATATTTAATCATAAAAGTGGTTTAATGGGCTCGATTTTGATGAGTGGGGTTGGTTGGGCTATGAGCCTATGACGGATTTAATTTTGGGTAAATTACGACAAACCCCCTAGGTAAGACTTAATTACGACAACCCCCTCTGACCATCATTTGACTATTTAAATTCACAGAAAATGTGTTTGTCCGTTTTACCCCTGAGATACTGTCTAATAACAAAAATTACCCCATATTTGCGTGATTACGAACCCCCAAAAAAGTATATGTTGTCATACTCAGGACGACTACTACTACTACATATTGGACAATTCATAAACTGATCGATCAAATATTATTTATTCTCCCGATCAAATATACGAATGTTGAACTATATATGATTCCTGTCGAAAGCAACAACTTAGAAGAAATGAAAAGAATTCCGAAAAATAACCAGCAATCAGCATAATTTCCTTTTGAGTTAGATAAAAAAAAATATATAACATCATAAGTGATATATTAGTCAGTGTTCTAAAAATCGGCCGAGGCGGTCCAAAACCTTTACAATTTTAGTGTAAAGGTTTGAAAAATCGGTTTTTTGCCTGTGGGGCGGTTTGAGGCGGTCCGAGGCGGTCTGAGGCGGTCCGAGGCGGTCCGAGGCGGTCAAACCTTTAAGGCGGGTCAAACTTCGGTGGCAAAAATCGGCAAAAAATGGTCAAAAATCGTTTTTTTTTTTTTTTTTTTTTATTTATAAATCAAAATAAAAGTTGGGATTTTAATAAAAAAAAATGAGTTTATGCATTATTTTGTTTATGTTAATTATTATTGTTAAAGAACTAATGATGTATGCCAAGAATGTATGTAAATTCAAAAAAAAATTGCCTTTTTATTTATATTTTATAAGGATATTTATGTATTATGATCTTATTATTATTAAACTTTTAGTATGTTATTAGAATATATACATGATGGAGATATAACTATGTTAAATATTTTTTATCTATGTTTTGAGTATTTATAAATAATATCTACAAATATATTATATTAAATTTTAAAAACCGATTTATTTCCGATTTATCACCGATTAATCACCGCCGCACCGATTAATCGTGAGTCGGTCCCTAACCGCCTCCGACCCGATTACCGCTTTTTACAACCTTGATATTAGTCTATTGATATTTTTGGCTCATTACTCGAATTTGTTCATCAAGCGCTAATAAAAATAAATTCGAATAAATCATTCGAGAACTCGATATCTTATCACGTAATGCAAAAAGTATATATTAAATATAAATAATTAATAATATAAAAAGATTGCAATAAAATGCGATAAAAGAAATCATCCGTTTTACTTCTTTTTTCGTGAAAAGTAACACCGTAGGGCCCTGATAGTAGTAGTACTCCCATAAGTTGAAGATTTAATAGTCAACTGTACTTGCATGATACTTCCATAGCAACAGCAGTACTATTTTTAACATATAGAAGTGATTTCAAATTCCATTTTTTTTTTCAGTTTTCCCTAGCTGAACCGCATACATGGTAAATTGGTAAAATTTTTACTTTATTTTTTTAATCGTCTTACGACTCGACAATTCTCTACAATTCGAAATACCCTGTTTTGTGAAACATTTAGATTTACCGATGAAATAGTCAAAAGTTGATAAGCAGCTAATTTCATAGCAAAACCTCGAAACAATGCACATTGATCAGTCGACACAATATTAGTTGGCAATAGAGAGTATAGAGTCGATTATTACGAAAAAAGTAAACGTTAAATTTTAAAAGGCACCCCGAATTAAAATGTGAGCTTTTGACTTTGATATTTATTATGCCACTAGTGTAGAGTTTTTAGAAGCCTGCAAAATGAACTTCAGTACGAATGTCTCTGTATTTGTACATGATCCATGCCTTCCTCTTAGATTTCGTACGATGACGTATAACTTTATTGCATTTCTCTCTCTATAGTCTATATATACATGGAATACCTTATTAACATATATCACCGAAGAAAATCTTATTACAACTTCAAGAGCAAAGAGCGAAGATGAAATTTCGTGCAGCGTGGCAGATATTGTTTCTTTCGATTTTTGCAGGATATATGCTCATATGGGTGATGCTGCCTACAAAAACTTACAAGACTATTTGGACTCCCAAATTGAACGAACACCTCAACTCCACGTACTTTCGTGAACAAGGTATATATTTATGCTTTCTAGTACTACTTGCTTCTTCTTTTTTTTTTTCTCGAAATTTTCGTCACCTCGGCATAATTTTTTTTCATGCTTATGCAGGGAGAAATCTTCTTTTATTTAGTTTCCCTATTATGCTCATCGCTGCATTGGGTTGTCTTTATCTACATATCCAAAAGAAATCAAATTCTGGCAGGTTCCGCCCGATTCTTGATTAGTAGTAATAAGGCATTAATTTTTAGCAATTTTCTTGATTCAAAAAAATGCTAAAAGGGGTTAACCAACTTGTTTTACAGTAGTAGGGGCTCTTTTAATTACCTGAGACGCCCCGCGGTGGTAATGGCGCCTATAGGAATCGTCACTGTACTCGAGCTCATGTTTGCAGCCATGTTTATATCACTTCTAATCTGGTCCCTCGCTAATTACTTGTACGTCAGCTTCGGGAGCCTCCGCATGCAGGCAGGAGTCAAAGTGTACGTAAAAAATAAATAAATAAATAAATGAGCTGCTTAATTTGCTAGGATTTTATTCTCGACTGTTGTGATAAATCTGTTCTGTTTTTGTTTTCGGATTTGAAGGTGGCAATCAAAGTTTCGTAGTGTATCCCTAAGGCTAGGATACATCGGAAACACATGCATGGCGTTCTTGTTTTTCCCCGTAACACGAGGCTCTTCAATCTTGCCTCTGATGGGCCTTACGTCAGAATCGAGCATCAAATATCACATCTGGATCGGTCATGTTTCAACGGTACTTTTTGTTGCCCACAGCGTAGGATTCGTGATCTATTGGGGTGCGATGTCCCATGAAATGTCACAGGTACATATTTGTACTTATTTTGTGTGTGTGTGTGTGTGTGTGTGTTTGTTTCTTTTTTTTTTTCTTTTTTTTTTGTGTTTGTCTAACTAAAATGAGATTTGATTGGAAAAAAAACTATGGGATAATTTCATAATTGTTAATGCAGATGCTGGAATGGAGCAGTACTTATCTATCTAATTTAGCTGGAGTTATCGCAATTGTGATGTTAATGGCGATATGGGCGACGAGCTTTGCACGTGTGAGGAGAAAAATGTTCGAACTTTTCTTTTACGTTCACCATCTCTACATTCCCTACCTCGTCTTTTACATGTTCCATGTTGGAGTGGCCTATCTTTGCATGATCCTTCCTGGAATCTTTCTCTTCATTATCGATCGATACTTAAGATTCCTTGTATCCAAACGGAGGACTAGGCTCGTTTCGTCACGCCTTTTATCTAACCGCACTATGGAACTAACCTTCGCCAAGAGTCCAGGTGAATTTACAATGCAAGCATTTTCACAAATTATATATTTTTTTCTAATAAGAAATTTATCTAATTTCTGTTTTTTTTTTTGTTTTGTTTTAGGGTTGGAGTATAATCCCACAAGTACGTTGTTCGTGCATGTTCCGAGCGTATGCAAATTGCAGTGGCATCCCTTTACGATAATTTCGAGCAGCAACTTGGAGACCGATAAGCTAAGTGTTGTAATAAAAAGTCAGGGGAATTGGACAGAAAAGCTCTACCAGCAGCTTTCGACTTCTCCGGATCATCTTCAAGTATCAACCGAAGGACCTTACGAACCCGCATCGTTTCATTTTCTAAGGTAAAAATATTATCAGTATCGGATTTATAAATTCACTCGGTTTTTTAGTTTAACACAGTTCAAATGTTTTTTTTTTCCAGCCGCGAGTCTTTGGTGATGATCAGTGGAGGAAGTGGGATTACTCCGTTCATCTCGATAATACGAGAAATAATTTCCATGAGTACGGAATCTGGCCGAAAGGTTCCGAAGATTCTCCTAGTGGCTGCATTTAAGACTACAGCGGATCTAACCATGCTGGATCTCTTGCTTCCTTTGTCTGGCATTCCTACAGACATATCCAAATTGCAAATTCAGATAGAAGCGTACGTTACTCAAGAACACGAAAGACCACATGAAGAATATTCCAAGAATCAAATTCAGACAAAAGGGTTCAAGACGAATCCATTGGATTCTCCCATATCAGCAGTTTTAGGCAAAAACGGCTGGCTCTGGCTCGGCGCGATAATTTCGTCTTCATTTTTCATGTTTTTACTGCTATTGGGATTCGTGACTCGTTACCAAATATATCCAGTGGAGCATAGGAAAAAGAATTACCATTACAGCTACAAGATTCTTTGGGACATGTTTCTTGTATGTGCCAGTATCTTCGTAGCAACGAGTGCCGTTTTTCTATGGCAGAAGAGGAAACTATCTGTTGATCAAAAGCAAATTAAGAATGTGGATTTTCATACACCGACGACAATGTCGCCTTCGTCGTGGTTAAGTCCTTCGGATAGAGAACTCGAGAGCCTCCCGTGTCAGTCTCTTGTTCAATCGACTACAGTTCATTATGGCGCACGACCTGATCTTAAGAGTACTCTCTCTCTCTCTCTCTCTCTCTCTCTCTCTCTCTCTCTCTCTCTCTCTCTCTCTCTCTCTCTCTCTCTCTCTCTCTCTCTCTCTCTCTCTCTCTCCTCTCTATCTCTCTCTCTCTCTCAAGGTATACTGGAATAACGCTGGTATTGTACTTTTATGCAATGACAGGGATACTTCTCGATTGCAAAGGATCGGATATTGGAGTTCTAGCTTCCGGCCCTACAAGTATACGTCAGAAAGTCGCCAAAATCTGCGCATCTGGTTCATCCAAAAACCTGTATTTTGAGTCTATGAGCTTCACTTGGTGATGCAGTATACACTGAAAACCGACGAGCCTTACGTATTCAATCCGTTTCCGAAGGCTTCATCTTGTGCCGTGTGTTTGTGCTTGTTTTCTTTATTAATTCCCATGTTTGATTTTTTCTTGCAGTACCATTGCAAAGTTGTAAAAATAACAAGGCTCGTTTGCATTTGCCGAATGATGCATGATAAATTTGAAAGCTGCTTTAATCTGTTTTGAGTTCACGATAAAAGTCTCGATTTTTCTGTTTTCTTGCACTTTGTGGTTCTTGGAATATTATTTTGCCTAGTTATTTTAACCAACCAAGAGAGAAAATATTAATAAATAATAAATGGAATGATATTCCGCTACGACGAATTGTTGATACTCCACTATTAAAATTAATCTTAGTTAGGTAAATCGATAAGCCGAATTCATTTGTAAAAACAGAACTTCAGAACAGGATGAATTATATATTTATACCAAATCTGTACTGCCATGAGTTAATGAATTAGCCAAATCTGTACTGCCATGAGTTGAAAAACCAATAGTCAACGTACTGTACTACTTACATCGTACTTCAACCGCAGACATCGGTACTTTTTTCTTACATGAATTGCATTGCCAAATTTTTATTTTTATTTCTCCCCCGTCTTAACAATTTAACATGATTATTTTTAATTTCATTTCTGTATTAAAATGAAGCTTTGTTGCAACATGATTATTGAAAGTGATTGATGAAATAATTAGTGGATACGAAAATCTTTTGTACTTCATTCATCAAAGCTCGAACGGAGTACATTAATACGGTACTACATATCGGTGAAGACGAGTCAGCTCAGAAGATAAGATAATTAACATGTGATCTTTTGACTTTGATATTATATTATTAATTATGTATTAAAAAAAATTAGATGATTAATTATCTGAAGCCACTAGGTGTAGAATTTTTTCTAGAACGCCTGCAAAATGAACTTCAGTACTAATGTCTGAGTATTTATGCATGATTCATGCCTTTTTCCTCGATTTCACACGATGACGTGTAACGGTCATTACATAATATATATATATACATGGAGTGCCTTGAACACATACCATCACAGAATATCTGATCTACAACAATTCTTCTGAACTTGAAAGAAAAGATATATTCCATCATCAAGCGAAGATGAAATTCCGTGCAGCATGGCAGATATTATTCCTCTCGATATTTGTAGGGTATATGTTCTTATGGGCTATGCTGCCTACGAAAACTTACAAGAATATATGGACTCCCAAATTTACTAAACACCTCAAATCCACATACTTTCTTGAACAATGTAAGCTTTCTTGGTATTCATATTCGTATTTATTATTTATGCTTGTTTTTTTTTTTATATAACTTCCCATCTTTTTTTCATGTGCTTATTTACGCAGCGACGAATCTTCTCCTATTTAGCTTTCCTCTTATGCTCGTTGCTGCTTTGGGATGTGTTTATCTACATCTGCAAAAGAAATCCGATTCCGAGAGGTTTTTTTAGCCAATTCTTGATTAATTATTTTAGTCCAATATTCTTTTTTATAGCATCAGATTCAAATAAATGCTAATAATTTTTTTTAATTTTTTTTTGTTTGCAGTAGTAAGAGCCATTTCGATTTTCTGAGACGACCGGCGGTGGTAATGGCCCCACTCGGGATCGTCAGTGTGCTCGAGCTTGCATTTGCCGCCATGTTTGTAGCACTCCTAATATGGTCCCTTGCTAATTATTTGTATGTCAGCTTTGAGCATCTCCATATGCATACACCTGGCGAAACAGTGTACGTTTGATTCTTCGGTTTTTTTTTTTTTTTTCTAATAAATTGTGTTTTTTAAGATTTAAATGTGATAATAATCGACTCTTTGTTTTCGGATCTGAAGGCGGCAAGCAAAGTTTCGTAGCGTATCACTAAGGCTAGGATACATCGGAAACACATGCATGGCGTTCTTGTTTTTCCCCGTCACACGAGGATCTTCGATCTTGCCTCTGATCGGCTTGAAATCGGAATCTAGCATCAAATACCATATTTGGCTCGGACATATCTCGACTGTCCTTTTCGCTATCCACAGTATAGGATTCGTTATCTATTGGTGGGCGATGACCGATCAAATGATCTTGGTACGTACATACTCGTACATTCTTCGTCGTTTTTTTTTTCAAGAAACAACAATGAATTCGACGATATTATATTACGTGGTAATTAAATTAATTGTTGAATGCATGCAGATGGTAGAATGGAGCAGCACTTATTTATCGAACCTAGCTGGAGTAATCGCATTCGTAATATCATTAGTGATGTGGGGAACGAGCTTCGACCGTGTTAGAAGAAAAATGTTCGAACTTTTCTTCTATTCTCATCATCTGTACATTCTGTATGTATTCTTCTACATGTTTCATGTTGGAGTGGCATATCTTTGCTTGATTCTACCGGGAATCTTTCTCTTCATTATCGATCGATACTTAAGATTCCTTCAATCGAGACACAGTACTAGACTAGTTTCGACTCGTCTTTTACCTAACTCCACTATGGAACTAACCTTCGCCAAGAATCCAGGTCAATATGAATCTACAACCGAACAATTTTTTTTCGTACTTTCTAAAAAGAAGTTATCTAATTTTTATTTTTTTGTTTTCTTGGTTTTTTTAGGGTTGGTGTATAATCCAACTAGTACGTTGTTTGTGCACGTTCCGAGCGTATGCAGATTGCAGTGGCATCCGTTTACGGTAAGTTCGAGTAGTAACTTGGATACCGATAAGCTAAGTGTTGTAATAAAACGTCAGGGAAGTTGGACACAAAAGCTCCACAAACAGCTTTCTACTTCTTTGGATCATCTTCAAGTATCGACCGAAGGACCGTACGAACCCGCATCGTTTCATTTCCTAAGGTAAAAAAAAAAACATTACTAAAATTGTATTCAATTTTTTTTTTTCGGGGGAGATTTTTCGTAACGTTTGATTTTTTTTCAGCCGCGAGTCATTGGTGATGATTAGTGGAGGAAGTGGGATTACTCCGTTCATCTCAGTAATACGCGAAATAATATTCAGAAGCACACAATCGAACAAGAAAGTTCCGAAAGTATTACTAGTGTCCGCTTTCAAGAACACAACCGATTTAACCATGCTCGATCTCTTGCTTCCTCTGTCCGGCATTCCTACAGACATCTCCAAATTGCAAATTCAGATAGAAGCGTACGTTACTCAAGAACACGAACGGCCACTAAAAGATTCCAAGAATCAAATTCAGACAAAACTTTTCAAGCCGAATCCATCGGATTCGCCCATATCAGCAGTTCTAGGCGAAAACAGCTGGCTATGGCTCGGCGCAATAATTTCATCTTCATTCGTCATGTTTTTACTGCTATTGGGATTCGTGACCCGTTACCAAATATATCCGGTGGAGCAGAGGAAAGAGAATTACCATTACAGCTACAAGATTCTTTGGGACATGTTTCTTGTATGTGCCAGTATCTTCGTAGCAACTAGTGCCGTTTTTCTATGGCAGAAGAGGCAAATATCTGCCGATCAAAAGCAAATTAAGAATGTGGATTTTCAGACACCGACGAAAATGTCGCCTTCTTCGTGGCTAAGTCCGTCGGATATCGAACTCGAGAGCCTCCCGTGTCAGTCTCTTGTTCAATCCACTACAGTTCATTACGGCGCACGCCCTGATTTGAAGAGTACGCTATATTATATTATTCGATTTCAGTTTTTGTTGATTCTTTTTTTGGTTTACGGCGAACTTATCGAAATTTTGGCTTGTTATTCAATGACAGGGATACTTGCCGACTGCAAAGGATCGGATGTTGGAGTTCTCGTTTCGGGCCCTAAAAGTATGCGCCACGAAGTAGCCAAAATGTGTTCGTCCGGTTCTGCTAAAAACCTCTATTTCGAATCCATCAGCTTCAATTGGTGATGCATGCATGTAGTATATATATTATGTACTTTTGGATTGTTCGTCGTGATTTCGTCTCCTCGGAAGATTTTATCCGTCTAAAGACACGAGGGATTTTGGATTCAATCCCGCCCTCGTTTAAATCTTCGAAAAAAAAAGAGGACAAATCAGATGTAGATGTGTGTTCATTTGTTTGTGCTTGTTTTTTCATTATATTCCCAAGTTTGAGTTTTTGTGCAGTCCCATAAAAAAAACTGTATAAAGTTGTAAGAACTTACAGATTTCTATTGAGTTTCGAATTTTAAATAACACACTTGGCCCATTGTGATTATATTCATCGACTGAAGGTGAAAGGACAAATTTACCCTTTACTAAATTAATATTAATATAAATTAATTTATGCAAAATATCCGAAACTTAAATTAAGGACTTAATCGCAATTTTCCCTAAAAATATAGCGCCTAATTTGAAATTTCTCTTTCTTCTTCAGCCAAAACGTCACCACCACACACCCATCTTTACTGTACCCAACTTTCGCCGCCAATACCACACCGCCGGCGCCGCCTGATCGGAAAGGAGTCTTCCTTCCGCAACCACATCTCCTCGTGCAATCAATACCAGATCGCAACTGCGAGGGAGGAAAATCGTGGCCTGGAACCGTCGAGATCCCACCACCACCACCCGCTCAACCCCTCTCCGCCGCCTTCTTTGCTCAACCGCCCTCCACCATCTCCTCCGCCGACCAGCCACCCATCCACAGACTCTTCCACATGTTCCAACAGGAAGAAACTATTCATAGCGTTAAAGTTGAAAAAAATTGATGAAATGTGTTGATTCCTCACTTATCTTCCCTCAGATCTATATCATCACGCAGATTAGTTTGTATCTATTTTGTGTACTGTGTAATGTACATGTGCTAAACGTGTGGGAGAAAGAAACGTGAGGGGCAATTTTGTCATTTTGCATGCTAGTGAGCCACACGATCTCACGTCAGGAGGAATATGTTTTGACTAAATTTCACTGGATGTTTTTTGTTAGTTTATTTATTTTAGGAGGGATTTTTCACTAATTTGTATTTTTACAATTTACACTATAGGTAATATTAAATTACAAAAATACTTTTCACTTTTTTCATAATTACAACCAGACTCTCAAATTAACTCAGTTGTCAAATTAACCAAGATAAGATTAAATAATCTGATGAAAAGTCAATTTGTTATATTGACCCCGGAAGGTCCAGCAAAAAACTCCCCGAGGTGTATGATAAGATGTGATACCATAATATTTTATTCAAGTCGACCCGAAAGCTAATGGGTTTACCAAACGACAAAATAAGTGAAATGTCTAAGTTACCCCTTGAATTGAAAAAATCAACAACAAATAATAATCTTAAGATGAAATGTCCATTTTATCCTTAGATTGTTAAGGATGAACAATATACGTCGATTGATGAAGCTGTTGTTATTCAAGAGTTGCCCATTATATATTTCTAACACACACATATATAATGAGAGGTAGGGTAAAACAATTAATATATATTTTATTGAACACTTGAAGAATATGAGTTGAAGAACCGAAGGTCAACTGTACTTGGGATATGGCAGTACAGTTAATTCATGAGTAGTTAGTACGATATTAATTAGATTGTACGTAATAAAGAGTGAGCTCGATCAGAAGAATCGAGCTAATTTTGACTTTAATTTGATATATACATATTTAAAAATAAATAAATAATATTATTATTAAATCATGATCATGAAATGAAGCCACTAGTATAAAGAGTTATAGGAAAAGCCTGCAAAATGAAGTTTAGTGCAATTGTCCCTGTGTTTGTGCATTATTCATGCTTTTTTCTTCAACTTCATATATCTGATTAATTAATTGATGACACACACACACACATATATATATATATATACATGACATATAAATACATGAACTTAAAGGGTTTAGTAATACACACATATATCTGATTACTTCTGAATTACGAACTAGCTTTGTACGTATTATCGATCGGATCGGATCGGATCGGATCGAACGAGGCGATGAAATATCGGGCAGCATGGCAGATATTCTTGCTAGTGGTTTTTGTAGGATATATATTCATGTGGATTATGCTTCCTACAAAGACTTACAGTACATCATGGACTCCCAAGTTGGAACACCACCTCAAATCCACATACTTTCGCGAACAATGTAATTAATTAATTAGCTTCTAATTAATTGTGTATTTCTTTAATTAATTGCCTTCATTAATTAATATATAATTTGCTTTATATATGCAGCGATAAATCTTGTATTATTCAGTTTCCCTATGATGCTCATTGCTGCACTAGGATGTGTTTACCTACATCTCCACAAGGCATCAAATTCCGACAGGTACATCTACATATATATAATTTTGTTTTATTTTTAATTAATTAATTAATTTATTTATTTATGGAATGATCGATCAGTAAAAGGAGCTATTATGAATGGCTGAAACGTCCGGCGGTGGTGAACGCGCCGCTAGGAATAGTGAGTTTCGTGGAGCTTACGTTTGCGGCCATGTTTATCGCACTCCTAATCTGGTCCCTCGCTAATTACTTGCACGTCGGTTTTAAGACTATGCTCATTTACATGAATCCCGGAGAAAAAATGTACGTTTACGGTACTTATTTTTAATTAATTAGACGTCAAAATCGACCGGCTTCTTAATTTTTTTTTATTTTTTTATACGGGAATTAAGGTGGCAAGCAAAGTTTAATACCGTAGCACTGATGCTTGCGTACGTCGGAAACACATGCATGGCATTCTTGTTTTTCCCCGTCACACGAGGGTCTTCAATCTTGCCACTCGTCGGTCTCACACTCGAGTCTAGCATCAAGTACCACATCTGGCTCGGTCATGTTTCGACTGTCCTTTTCGTCGCTCACAGCCTAGGTTACATTATCTATTGGGCTACAATGTCTCATGAAATCTACCTGGTAACTGTTTTTTTTTTTTTTTGTTTTATCGTTTAATTCCTTGTTGATCGCTTCGGTAATTGAGATATATAATTAATTAATTGTTAATGCATGCATGCAGATGCTAGAATGGAGCAGTACTTATTTATCCAACCTAGCAGGCGTAATCGCGTTTGTGTTGTTAATGGGGATATGGATAACGAGCTTCGAGCGTTTCAGGAGAAAAATGTTCGAACTCTTCTTCTATGTACACAACCTCTACATCATATACATCTTCTTCTACATGCTTCATGTTGGAGTGGCATTTCTTTGCTTGATTCTCCCTGGAATCTTTCTCTTCCTTATTGATCGATACTTACGATTCCTTCAATCCAAACGGAGGACTAGGCTCGTTTCCTCACGCCTTCTACCTAATGGCACCATCGAACTAAACTTCGCCAAGAATCCAGGTCCCTTTTTTTACATTTTAACTTTTTCGCTATTATTATAAACTCTCTCTCTAAAAATGAGTTTTGCATGTATACCTACTCTTTTTTTTTTTTTTGTAGGGTTGGCGTATAATCCGAGTAGTACGTTGTTTGTGAATGTTCCGAGCATTTGCAAATTGCAGTGGCATCCGTTTACGATAAGTTCGAGCAGTAACTTGGAGACTGACAATCTGAGTGTTATAATCAAAACTCAGGGAAATTGGACACAGAAGCTCTACAAACAACTTTCTACTTCTTTGGATCATCTTCAAGTATCGACCGAAGGACCTTACGAACCTGCATCAAATCATTTTCTAAGGTAATTAAGTAAAATATTTTCAATTAATCATGGTCTACAACCATATTAATTAGCCAAGCATGCATTTGATCAAGAAATTGACAAAGATAAATTTTTGTTGCAGCCGTGACTCGTTGGTAATGATCAGTGGAGGAAGTGGGATTACTCCTTTCATCTCAATAATACGAGAAATAATATTCAGAAGCACACAATCGAACAAGAAAGTTCCGAAAGTTTTACTAGTGGCCGCTTTCAAGAATACAACCGATTTAACCATGCTCGATCTCTTGCTTCCTTTGTCCGGCATTCCTACAGACATATCCAAATTGCAAATTCAGATAGAAGCGTACGTTACTCAAGAACACGAAAGACCACTAAAAGATTCCAAGAATCAAATTCAGACAAAACTTTTCAAGCCGAATCCATCGGATTCGCCAATATCAGCAGTTTTAGGCAAAAACGGTTGGCTATGGCTCGGCGCGATAATTTCGTCTTCATTTTTCATGTTTTTACTGCTATTGGGATTCGTGACTCGTTACCAAATATATCCGGTGGAGCAGAGGAAAGAGAACTACCATTACAGCTACAAGATTCTTTGGGACATGTTTCTTGTATGTGTCAGTGTCTTCGTAGCAACTAGTGCCGTTTTTCTATGGCAGAAGAGGAAACTATCTGTTGATCAAAAGCAAATTAAGAATGTGGATTTTTATACACCGACGAAAATGTCACCTTCGTCTTGGTTAAGTCCGTCGGATAGAGAACTCGAGAGCCTCCCTCATCAGTCTCTTGTTCAATCCACTACAGTTCATTATGGCGCACGACCTGATCTTAAGAGTATACTCGATGATCGATGCAAAGAATCGGAAGTTGGAGTATTAGTTTCGGGGCCAAAAAGTTTACGAAATGGAGTTGCGAAAATCTGTGCCTCTGGTTCAGCTAAAAATCTCTCCTTTGAGGCTATGAGCTTCACCTGGTGATTTGCTCGTCTATCTCTTGTTTTTTTGTGCTTGCTTACGAAAATTCCCAAGTTTGTTTCCGTGTGTGTGTGTGTGTGTGTTTTTTTTTTCTTTCTTTCTCTTTTTCTACACAACCTTGTGCGTACATGTACTAATTGTGAAGGTGCAATAAAACATGAAGGTTCTTTTTAATTACCAATTGTATTTGATGATCAGTACTGATGCTTGCTTCATAAATGTGAAACTGCTTAACAACAAATTATTCATATATACATCCACGGCAGTAATCTCTGACACGTGTCAGAATTATTAATCTTTGAATTATATATTAATTCAACTGCAGAGATTATGTTGCACGTCGATAAAACTCTTATTACGGATTTTTCCAAGTGTCGAAACAGTTGAATACAATATTATACACACTCTGGCTAAAAGTTAAAGAGTTGGTCACATGCATGTTTGAACAAGATCAGCTGTTCCTATGTGGCCATGTAATACAAAAAATTTCATCTATTTAAGAATCTTCTAATCTAGGCAGTTATACCTTAACACAGTAAAAAAAAAAGAAAAAAAAAAGAAAGAAAGATGGATTTGATTAGAGTTAAGAGTATTCAACTTGCAATAAAGCTGTTGATTTTGTCAATCTTTTTGGGGTACATTATGATATGGATAATGATGCCAACAAATGTATTCTGGCTTCATTGGTCGCCTCGTATCCATGCTGAAACAGATTCGATGTTCTTTGGTCAACAAGGTTCGATATCTCAAACTATAATGTCGTTTCCAAAGAATTCATTCGGACATAAAAATAAATGTCAGTTTACCGATTACTAATCAGCAATTTCTTTATTATTAAGGTGCAAATATTCTCGTATATACTTCGCCGATTCTACTTATTGCCACTTTAGGATGTATATATCTCCATTTGGACCGGTACACTGGTGACAGTAACAACAGGTAACTCAAAATTCATGGCAGCTTGTAATATTTAAAAATTAAATGTTTTTTTAACATAGTAGCAATCATAATAACCCTACTTTCTTGACAGAACGACAAAGGACTCACGTTTCGCCACATGGGCTCGACCTGTTTTCGTGCGGGGACCGCTTGGCATCGTTTCTTGGACAGAGTTGTCATTCATACTAATGTTCATCGTACTCTTGATTTGGTCAATTTCAGCCTATGTGCATGGCATGTTCAAGAATATCACCAGACAGTCATCATCGAAGATAGGCGAGCTCGTGTAATAGGCTGAATTCTTTTTTTAATTTGTTTTCTTGAATTGTATAATATTTAAGTACAATTCATTTTTCGGATTATAAACGTGCAGGTGGGAAGTTAAGCTAGACAGTGTAGCTCTCATGCTAGGACTTGTTGGCAACATATGTTTGTCTTTCCTCTTCTTCCCTATAAATCGAGGCTCCTCAATCTTACGCCTCGTTGGAGTAACATCCGAATCCTCCGTTAAGTATCACATTTGGCTTGGCCACACTGTTTTAACCCTCTTCACTGCACATGGTGTATGTTACATCATTTATTGGGCCACAACACATCAAATCTCAGAGGTATAATCCATAAAAATCATTTTTTTTGCCACAAATTCTTGAATATTTAGTTATTTACCAATGATTTTTTAATAAAAAAAAAATTTAAAAAATAAATATTTATAGATGCTGAAATGGGATAGAGACGGAATTTCAAATGTGGCCGGTGAAGTAGCTTTGCTTTCTGGAATAGTCATGTGGATCACAAGCCACTCTCTTGTCAGAAGGAAGATATTCGAGCTTTTCTTCTACACGCATCATCTCTACATTGTTTTCGTTTTTTTCTTCATTTTGCATGTGGGCTTCTCGTATTCTTGCATTATGCTCCCTGGATTCTATCTCTTCATAATCGACCGTTTTTTGAGATTCCTACAATCTCAACAACGGGTTTTCTTGATCTCCGCTCGTGTTTTGCCTTGCCATGCCTTGGAGCTGAATTTCTCCAAAGATCCAAGTAAGTTGTTACAATTATTTGTTGGAATCAAGAACCTGATATTATACGTTTAATTAAAAACTGTCTCCTCTGTTTTCGGTAGCAGGACTAAGTTATAATCCATCGAGCATTGTATTCATCAAAGTGAAGAGCATATCGAAGCTACAATGGCATCCATTCACCGTAACCTCAAACAGTAAAATGGATCCACATCAGCTGAGCATCGTCATCAAAAGTGAAGGAACCTGGTCTCGGAATCTTTACGAGAATCTTTCATCTCCAACTCCAATCGAGCGTCTTGAAATATCTGTCGAAGGACCTTACTCGCCAACATCAACTTCATCATACTTAAGGTTCAAATCATCAAAAAAAAAAAAATCGAAAGAACTAATTTTTTTTTTTAATCGTACCGTTTTATGTTGCAGGCATGAAATGCTGGTAATGGTGAGTGGAGGGAGTGGCGTCACTCCTTTTATCTCCATCATTAGAGAACTCGTCTTCATAGCAAACACCGATAATGAAAAGAATATTCCAAGAATTATTCTTGTGGCTGCTTTCAAGAAATCGGAAGATCTCGCAATGCTGGACCTTCTCCTTCCGTTTTCCAGAACTTCTCACGATGTTTCTCGTGTGCAGATACAAATTCAGGCTTATGTTACTCGAGATAAAAATCCCACAACGGAAAAAGGCCACAAAACCATTTGGTTTAAACCAAGTGTTTCAGACAAGCCGATTTCCGTAGTTTTAGCAGGCTCAAGGAGTTGGCTTTGGCTTGGAGCTATTATCTCATCATCATTTATCGTTTTTCTTCTACTAATCGGCTTAATCAACCGATACTACATATACCCGATTGATCACAACACCTATTTGAAATATTCACAAGCAGCAAGATCGACAATTACTACTTCGGTTTTGTGTGCGTCTGTGGTTATTACAGCAACACTAGCTTTTCTTTGGAACAAAAACAAGAACAATAAAGACAAGAACCAGATTCAAAGTGCAGACAGCTCAAATCAGGTGCCCGAACCATGGCTTTACGAAGTTGATAGAGAACTAGGGAGCTTCCCAAATCAGTCTCTCAAGCGAGTTACTACGGTACATTACGGCGAAAGGCCTAATATGAAAAGTAAGTTTCTTCTATCTAAATCGCAATTTTACGAAAATATATATGAAATAATGTTTCAGCATTGGGCCAATTGAGCATGCGTAATTTAATGATGCAGAAATACTGTCCGAGTGTGAAGAATTAAACGTCGGCGTTTTAGTGAGCGGGCCGAAGAAGATGAGACAAGAAGTAGCTGCAATTTGTTGTTCATCCAAGAATCTTCATTATGAATCTTTTAGTTTTAACTGGTAATTTGACAACATTGTAACATGTCTTGCCAGCAGCATCTTGCAATTGCAGAATGAATATCATATATATATCCTTTCTTTTCATACTAGTGGATTTTATTTTGATAATAATCTCTTTTTTTGTAAAATAAGATTTTTCGATCAATTCTATCGACTTGATGCAAAATCAACACGAGGTCAATAATGTTCGTTATGGGTGGCAATTTGCTCAACTTGGGCATAGATCCTATCCAGACCTATGTGGATCGGATCCATAACCAAGTAATTAGATGCTTATCTATAAATAGTCAAGAATTAGTTATTTTATAAGTTGTTTCAGTAATTTTCTAAAAGTCGAGAAGGATCACAAAAAATCGTATACGCTTTTTGCTAAAAATAGCTAAATATTCATAATTATTTTTAACACTGAAATATATAGCATATTAGATATTTAGTCATAAACAATCCATAAATTGTTCATCTGAACATGGTTTCACTGGTTTTTGAACAGTCGAGCAAATTCACAAAAAACGTATACTACACAGCACACGTTTTTTGCTAAAAGTAGCTGAAACTTTCAACAAAAAAATTATGATTGCACACCCGTATATATGTGTGCGTCAAAAGTGTGTATTTAGGTGAAAAATGTGTAGGAGTGTGAAAAGAACTGCAAAACTAATGTTATTCCAACTCAAGGGTCAAAACTGGCAAATGCCAAAGATGTAACTGCTAATTTAATTGCATCATATGGGATATACAATAATAAAAAAAACCATCAAAAGGAACTAATACAAAAGCTGCCTGCTTCTTAAAATAAAACGAGGCATTGCCAAAACATTAACCTAATAAAAATAATCAGCAAAATTAACCTTACCTACTAATCAGAAAATGGGGAAAAGAAAAGGAAAAAAAAAAAGTTCAAACTGATACCTCCTACGAAAAGCCATCAACCACCTCAAGAGGGAGATAGATGATCACAAGCCATGGTCACTGCCTCTCTCTTTGTTGATGTCCCTTGTCAAAATCTACCTCTACAACAGAAACGAGCACCCGTCGCTAGTCAGCAGATATTAACACTCCCTTTTCATCTTTTTCATCGCCTTGCTTCTGAGGCAGCAAATCAGCAGCTCCAACGTTAGCATCTTCTTTATCCAAATTTTTCGTCTCGAAACCATCTATTTCTGCTGCCTTATTCCGAGACCGCCTTACATTATTATTTGCACCACCTTCTTCAGAATTATGCACTGGTCCCCCTCGATGCATCATCATCTCACCACCGTCATCACGTCTCCTACCATGATAGTTGGATTCCGGTTTAAACCCTCCTCTACCACCACCATTGTAAGAGAATCTTCCTGATCGTTCTGTTGGTCTAAAATGCTCGTCTCTCTTAAATCTTCCCGAAGGCCCAACACCATCAAACCTTTCATTTCGCCTGAAGTCTCTAAACGGTGATCTCCTCCGCCGCATATGGTTGTCTGGGAACGTGCGATCATTATTGTTATTTTCCCATCGATAGTTTCGCTGGGGAGAGGAGAAGCGGCCTCTTGACGGGGATGGGGACATATAGCCACCTTCTCCATATTCGGAGGATGCAAAATTGGGTTTCGAAAAAGGAACCCTAATTCTCTCCACCCTGAAATCAGGCGATCTGCTGCTGTTCCTTCTAGTACCCAAGATTCTCCCCCTATTGGAATGCCACGCCCTCGGTGAACGTGTTCTTGATCTCGAACGAGACCTTCTTCGTGGTAAAGTCATTTGACCGCCTCTTGGAGAAAAACTCTGTTCCCTTCTTGATAAATAGACACCAGCAGCATCATCGGGTAGGGGGGCAAAATCCTCCCCATAATCCCCCCTATTAGAACGTTGTGAATAATGACCCCCCCTGCCCCTGTAGTTGCTGCTCACTCCCCGTGTTGGCTGCTGCATTCTTCTGCCAACGCCAAAATACTCATCCCTCTCAACGGGTGATCTCTTGATGAAGGGCCTATGCAAGCCTTTCGACATATAATTACCATTTTGCCTTGCTGTTGGATGATCATGGAAGTCCAATCCACCAATCTTGTCAACGGCATCGCCAGTTTTACTTCTTGGCCTGGTTGGGTTATGACCATCGTTCCCCTGATAACTTGAGTTGTAGTGTTTTCTCGAACCAAACGAGGTCCATTGACGAACTTCATCTCTTTCGCCACGAGCAGCTGATCTGTATCTACCCTGATATTTTTCAGGGCTGATATCCCTTTCAGACCGTGAATATGAATGGTCACGTGATCTAAAGCATAACATAGACAAATGTTAATACAAGATATTAGATGGATGTGAAAACAAGATGACAAGCCACTGAGAAAATATTTGATACCTGAATTGCCTAACAAAGAAATCATTCCCATCAGTTACTTCTGTAGACGACAGTCCTTCTGTACGCGATTGAACTTTTGGCCTCGCTCCCTTGGAGGCATATTCATCTATTTGTGTCAATTTAACATTAAAGTTTCTTCGATCAGCCAACTGTCTCCTTTTCACGCCATCATAATTTTCCTCGACCATTTCCATGGACTGATCAACTGTAGTACCAGATCCCGCATTTGACACCTTTCCAGCTATCTCATTATTGTCCGAATCATCTTTGACAAAATGCCTCCTCAAAGTATGTCTAGAGCCACTTTTTGTTTTACCTTCTGCAAATCTTCCATTCCCATTAGAACCCTCAGAACCACCTTCAACGATAACTGACCCAGGGTAATCAGCAGCATCAGAACTGTCTCCATTTCTTCCATCAGATTCGTAGTCAACATATTCATTTTCAAACTCATTGTCCGCCCATGGGTACAAAAACGAACCCCTCAACTCTCCATCCTCGTATGGAGAATCATACCCTTCTGGGAACCTAGCCATCTCATCTCCAACAACAACGTGAGCACGGTCTGAATTGTGTTGGCCATCAATAGCGGAACCAATCCTTCCAACAGAGCTAATTGGGTCAGCACATAGTGCTCGAGCCCTACTACTCTTGCAAGAGTCTTCTACCTTGGCAACAAGTTCAGCAGGCCCTGAGAATCCCTGACAATCGGCCATCGCAGAACCAGAAATAGAAGTTCCGTCATTTTGAATATTTGAACCCGCAATAGGGAAAAGCTGACAATCTTGAATATATGTGCCTGCGGCAAGAAAATTAGCATATTAGGATGAACAAATAAAGCAATTTATCAATTCTTATACAAGTAACAGAGTTAAATAGCCACCTCTCATAATACCATGCGGTTCAGGAGTCTTTTGGACTTTGGTATCCTTTGGCTGGAGATCAATGGCAGATTCAGAAATATCACTGGATGGCAGATCATGTGCAATGACATCTTGCGCCATAATCTGAATTCTATCAGAAGCTGTAGTTATCCCGCATTCACTCATATTACTGGAACAATCTTCATCATGTGCTACGGTAACACTGTTGAGAACAGTGTTGATATTTCTCTCAGACGCTACACCAGAGGAACAAACTATCTTGGTGAAAGGAGAACCATCAAGAATATCATCTGCGACCACAACATGATTCAAATTTTCATCAGAATGCAAAACTTGATTTGAGTTCCTCTCATCAGCATCTTTCTCAGCAGCTTCATCATAACTCTCCATAGCAGCATGAGAATAAGCACTGTTGGGTGTTACTAGTAAATGCTCCTTGAGACTGGGCAGCTCACTACAGACCCTATCCAGTGAAAGTGTTGTTGATTTATTCTCTTTGATTTTCAGATTGGGTGAATCCTTCTGCCTCTCTTCAATATTCATTTCATCGTTGACATTCTTGAGGCATTTTCAGAATCGTCGTATGGTTCTTCCCAAGCATCCATCAGAGTGTTCAAATCCCAATGTTGTCTGCTCACCTTCGGCACAGTCTGATCTTTCGGGCTCACACAGAGACTTCGAGAATCAGCAGCAGAGTTGTTCAGAACTAGGGAGCAGTTGGGGTTACCTCCATACACAGTATTATTCCTCGAGGAATCCTCTGATTCATTACTCTCGAAACTGAGTTTGGACAGAGCATCAGAGTTTTTTGTCTTTACAGCCTCTTCCACAACAAGGTCCACTTTATTAACATTATCGGCATCATCAGCATCCATGCTAGCAGCTGCTGCAAGAAGTTCAATACCAGAAAAGTCCCCTAAACCTTCAGCAAATCTAACTGTTGCAGATCCATCAATTCCCCGTAATTGCCAGTTGGCAGATCTCTGACAAGACGAACAACTCGGATGTGGAAGCTGCAGGTGATTTTCACAAATAGGTGAAGAAGAAAATTGACGTGGGGAAGCAGAATCTGGGGAAACAGAATCCTGGCGACGTGAATTGGGGGTCCGGGAGTGAGGTACTGAAGATTGAATTAAATGCCTCCGTTTCTTGATTGGAACGCTCTCCGACTTACCAGAGGTTGATAACTGTCCAACAACCACATTGCCAAACTGTAATATTAACAGATAAGAATACTTAGCTATTGAGGTTCAATGAATAAATGATGATCGACAATAATCCACATATTACTACATACCTTGTCAGAGTCAGACCCAGAAAAATCTCCAACTCTTTTGGGACTGACGGATTTACCTACTTTTGAAACACTATTCAAGCTTCTAGCTATTGGCTTCTTGGAGCGCCTTCCTTTGGTCACAGTCTTCCAACTTAATTCAGAATTGGTTGAGTTCATAACTTCAAGGCCCACACTGCTCAGCATTTTTTGCAGATATGGGCTCAATACAAAGAATCCCCTACCAAAGATTTGTTGGAATTCTCTGTAGGTTGATTTCTTTTCTGATTGTACGCCAATTTATAATCCGCGGGCGTAAATCAGTTCAACAAGCAAGTCTGCCAGACACAACAATTCCTTCAGCAAATCAAAATAGTGCATACAGAAAACAGCTTAATTTAGCAAGCATACACTAAACTCAAAATTGATATCTACAGGGTGCTTTCTCATATATTGTTTCAACTAATTATGCCACACCAATCCTAGGTGAATAAGCAAACTCAACTTTCCTTACATATAAGAGACTACATGAGCTTCATAGGACTTCAAAACAAGCATTGACCCTAAATAGAAATAAAATTACATCAAACAATCCTAGTTTTTCATGATCGCAGTTTAACAAAGCAATATTTGCCACCACATCCACAAATTTCTTACCAAGGCAAAATAGGTCAGCATAGTAAACAGCAATCTCTTTGATAGTTGCACATCCACAAGTAGATTGCCTGAAACAAGAAAAATGAATAAGCAACAAGGCCAAGAAGATCAAATACAAGAACAAAATCTAAAGCCAACAACAGCAGTTTATCAAAAGAGAGCATAGTTGTTTCCTATATGCAAATACATGGAAGATTAAAAGTAGCATGCCTGACAAATTTGGTTAAAGGATGGCAAAAACAAGGGCATCTAGTTCCATCATAGCTGATGGCTCCGATCCTTCGTACAGTGAGTAGATGAAAGATCTAATGGGCTTATAGCACTAGAATCCTCAAATAATCTCCAGTGACCCAACTAGTAAACAAATGTAGATTTATCCCATCTTGAAGAAAGATTCAAATGAAGGATTTGGATCTAAGATCTCTCGCCTAATTTTGAAAAAACAAGATACTTCCCATGTTTTTTAAGCAAATATTTCAAAATTTGAGGCAATTTTCGCATCCATTAAATCATCAATCACAACTCTCATGTTAACAAAGAAAAGAAAATCGCAATGTTTTTTTTTCACTTTTATCCTGCTGCCTCGTCTCATATAGTCTTCACCACATAAATCAGAGAACAGTGTCCATAAAAAGCTTCTGAAAGAGGATATTTTCTTCATCGTCAATATACAGTAAGTCCCTACAACGAGATCTCGATCTGCTGCAGATGCCATGTACTGGATATGAATTTCACAAGAAAATATCAAATTATTCACAAGGAGAGAAGGGAGATGTGAAGAAAATCAATCTTCAAAGATCTGATGATGCACCAGATTTCCTCCAATCAAATAAACAGACTTGATTTGCTTCGCAAAAAAGTGTTTCCTCTAACATATCATATGATTCAGATCTTAAATCATGTATCATGAACTCAAATCCGGAAGAAGAAGAAAACCCTAGAAGGTTTTTTACGGGACCGCAGATCTTGATCTCGGGGAAGCAGATTTCCTTGTCAACGACGTTGATGACAACACAAAAACACAAACCACGCAGATTATCAGAAAAAATTAGGGTTTCATATACCTGTATCAATTGTTCAAAACCCCAAATCTCCTCGCCAAAATAAAAAAAACGCAGCGGGTTCTGATTAATCCTCCTTCGGCGGTTCCAAATCTCACAATAATTTTCTCGTAAAACACCTCTGAAGAAATCGTCAGGTTTCGCAGCCAAAATTTCCCTCCGATCCAACTCTTAACCACGGGATTATACAGAAAGCGCGCAGCCAAGCCGCGCCACGCCGACTTCGTATCGTTAATTAGATCTCGAACGTCCGTTACACCGGATCTTCAACCCTGGGAACGACTAACAGCCGTACGATGAAATCTCGGTGGCTTCTAGAATATTTCTTTGCCTTCTTCGTGAGAGAAGAGAGAGAGAAAAAGGAGGTGCGAAGATTATATAAGCTGTGGAGGAGTTGTTCTATCCCACTCACCGCCCTATTTATACTAGATAACATGACGGTAATGCCCTCGGTGATTTAATGTAATGACGAAAATACCCCGTGATGCCCTAGCTCTGTTCGGAAACGAATTCCGCTTTGTCGGGTAATTACGGTCAACACTCTGATTAGCGGCGTTGATGACTTCTTGACACGTCACCAATCAGATCCAGCCATTTACTTCTCTTCTCCACCAAGTAGGATCCAATATCCACTAGTATATTGATTAACTTAGGAATGTGTTAAATTTAAATTGACTTTTACACAATTTTAGATCCTCTATTATTTATTTTATTCTTTTGTAAATATTTATCTTCCATTAACTATTTTAATTTGATTTTTTATTAAATTAGAAAAGCTAATGTAGGCATAAAAATATATATCAACTATAAATATAATTTTCTAAATAAATAATGTAGGCAATTTTAATTTTAAGATCTTCTAAAATTTTCGGTTGATTTTTTTTTTTTTTTTTTGTATATACATCTATAATTAAAAGATTGTCTAATCAAATGAGACGATTTATTTTTTAGGGTAAATTATGGCATGTTGGCCATACCATGAGGTATGCTTAAATTACGAAAAAAATTCTCATGTTTTGATAATTACAATCACTTCATCAACTAAGTATTGTCTTACACGTTCAAATGCCAAATTAACAGTGTATAAACGGTATAGTAGAGGTAATTAATTCACTCTTCATCATTTTTCACGTATATTGCGATTCAAATGTTTGTTTGTGACGCATGTAAAGCTCTCAATTTTCAATTAAAAAGGTTTTTTCAAGAATCACTGTGAACTCGAAGACTACATTAAAATGATTCGTATTGATTTACTATTGACCGCATTAGTATTAATATTATTCGTTGTTTATACTTCAAACTACGAGATTTGTTTGTGGTCGAATAAATAATTAGTACATAAATAATAAATATTAAGTCATTTACAAGTTAATGTCACGTTCTTGTCCCCACCGTTTACAACTAAATGGTATAAAGGTCACTTTAAAAGCACACAAACCCAATATTCGTGAATTATTATATCCACTATAGTTATATTGCACGCGATGCCGCCAAATAGTAAGTTGTAGTGTTTTACAAGATAAAATAGCAAAATAATATAGTAAATACTAAAATATCCTTGTCTGTAATTGTTTTTAAATTAATTAATTAAGAGGAGTAAGGGGTAAAATTGTAAAACAAGATGCAATTAATTTTAATTTTTAAGGTGATTCATAATATTGTTTGGCTTATCAATTAGGACCACTTGATTAGAGTCTTGTTAGGTCTAAACCATCATATAAGGAATATGCCATATTTTGAGACGTAAAAGAATATTCTTATTTATATTTGAAAATTGAAAAGAAATTTATTCAGGCAAAAAAGGAAGTTGGAAAAATTGTAATGGTATCTATTAGGGGTGGATTCGGTACGGTTGCCAAACATTTGGCTCAATACCGTGTACCTATCGTACATTGCGGTATTGAAAAATTTCATACCGTTACCGTACCAAAAAGTTCGGTATACCAATATTCGGTATACCGTTATTTTCGGTACGGTACAATCGGTACGTGGTACTCTACCGTATTTGGTGATGTATCAGAGATTAAAAAACAAATGAGTTAAAAATATACATATACATCCCAATTGAAAATAGTTCTAGTTACTCTTGTATGAGTTGTATTTTATTTTCGAAGAATGTCCGGTGTATAATCGGAATAATTAACATAATTTGCTTCATTGAAACAAGAACATATGCCATAATAATGTAAATGTTGTTTAATGGAACAACTAGCTATTTGTTAGGAACTTGATTGTACTTAATAATTATTACATACAATAAATACTTTACCAATGCTATACATACATGTAGGTAGAAAAATAAAATATTCATACATCATATATAATAAAATTAGTTGCCTATAGGGAACATAAAAGACAATTTAGTAGAACATATATGTTCAATTGCAAAATTCAACTTGGTAGAAAAAAAAAACGATACACTACAACTAACTTAAGGGAAAAATAATTGTTGCCATTTATAAGATTCTAAGTAAACAAAATAGAATTATAAAAAATAATATCGAAAAAAACATATTAATCGGATTAAAATGTAAATTGCGGTACGGTACGGTACTACCGTGGTATTAGAAATACAATACCAATACCGTACCATATTGTAATGGTACGGTACTAATACCGTACCGTAGATAATGGTAACCGTTCTTTCGATAATCCTTGGTTGGTATACCATGGTATATGGTAATCGGTATTTTTTTTCCAGCCCTAGTATCTATACTTAAACCAAAATTACAGAAGAAAAAAAAATGAAGAATAATTTTTTATATATATATACACATTAAATAAATAAATAAATAAAAGAGAATATAGAAAAGGCAGAAACAGCATCTGCATTTTGCTTTTTATTCCATTATTCTTTTTTTCTTTTCCTTCTCAAAACGCGTTTTGCTATACATTTCTGTGGGCCCTACAAATTGTTGCAATAAAAAGAAGAAAAAAAAGTCAAAATGCGCGACACAATCTTCCAATCCCAAAATTGATTTTGGATTTGGCTTCTTGAAATTTTGTTCACTCTTTTTACTTCTTTGTTTGAGTGTATTTACATTTTCACCCCCATTCCTATATTAATCTCCCAAACTTAAGATGGCACGTGGAATTATTATGAGTAGTTCAATTATTCTATACTATATGATATCTTCCCCCTTCACTATGAGCACGTCTGTCGGCATTTCTTTATTCATTTTAAAAAAAAAAAAAACTTATAAAATTAATTATATATATTATATGATATGTGTGACATCTGAGCCTGCCACGCCTAGTGGAGTGATCATGTGGGCATTGAGTTGAATAATGTTGTGTGTTTGTGTATGAACGTGCATTAGTTTTGGTTTATTGAATTGTTAATGTATATATAGTTTGTTTTTGGATATTAAAGAATGTTGCAATCAATCTCAATAAGATATGTAACGGACGAAGCCCTAATTTGAGTGGTGTTGTTTGACTTTGATTTTAGATAATTGATTAATAATTGAGTTAAGTTGCACTTTATAACTTGACCTAATGGCTAATACATATATATAGGCATAGCTACTAGAATTTATCTTATTTTTAATTATGATATTTATCCTTTTATTCTAATTAAGTAATTATGATTAATAAAGCCCAATAAGACTCAAATCAACTTAATCAAGTTGGCCATGTTGTTGCCCGCCCGCATGAGTACAGTTAGGCAGTAAGTTGGTGCAAGGTTCGAGAATCGAGTACCGATAGCCGTAGTACTGTGTGATTTGGGCTCGATATGATTATTGGGCCGGATTGCAAAGTGTCACCAGCCCACATTTATGATTTATGCTATAATTAAATAAACAAACAAATAATAAATAAATATACCAATGAAATAAAAAAGAAAAAAAAAATACTGGTTTACCTTAAACCATCGTGCTCCATAGACCTCAATCAAAGAAGATAGGGTGGGGTACATTTCAATCTCTGCTTCCCTACAAAGAAGCAGCAATTCTCCACAATCAACAAATATATGCAAAACAATCAAGCAGTTGATATACATCCAAGTCCAAAATGAACGATAATGTACTCTACAAACGGCAAAAAACAAAAAAGCGAAAAAGAAGGCTTAATCGATACGAAAACTAATAAAATTACGACTGCATAACTTTATTTTGGGCAAGACAAGCAGGCGCCTTGAATGCATGACACTTCCACATCGACGCCTTCTCGATAGGAATCAAACTATTGCTAGAGTTCTCAACAGAGAACAACTGCTGTGTTTTTGTCTCCTCTTTAGGGCTGCTGCTTTGATCCTTCGAACTGCAAATGTTCAACGGCATTTTTTTCTGCTTAATTCTTTTCCTCCTTTTACCAAAACTATCCAAAGATTCCACCCTCACTTCCCCGTTTTCTGGAACTTCCCTGCTATCCAAGCCCAAATCTTCATCTCTGTCATGTTCCGATGAGTTCAAATCCACCATAAGCATGTCGATTCCCTTTCCTACACCATTGCCGTTTATAGCTGAATTGGCTATCTTCATCTTCTTATTCTTGCGATTCTTCGATGAATCAGCATCCGGCGATTTTCTCAAAGTTCTTGGGGAGCTATTGATGGCCTTGTGCAACTCGCGAGCCATTTTTTCGTCACTTCTGCAACTAGCCTTCCCCTTCCCTTTCCCCTTCTTCTTCTTGTTGTACAACGCTTGAACGGGGACATGCTTTTTCGTCTTGTTCTTCTTTTGCAATTTGTCGGATTCCTCAGAGAGAGTGGCAACAAGATCCAAGGCATTCTTGGCAGCAGCCACCGCCTTTGCAGCTTTTACAGCTTTCTGTTCGGCATTAGCCCTTGCAGCCTCTGCAACTTTTGCAGCTTTCACGGCAGCAATTCGAGAGGCTCCGACAATTTCATCGAGAGGGTTACTCAAATGAGACCTCAATAGATCATTAAGGCGAGCATCGTACTCGCTCTCAGTACTAGGAGAACTTTGCCTCTTCAGTCCAGCCAGAAGCCGCTTTCGTGGTGGCAAAAGGGCATTTGTGTCCAAGTTGTTAACATCACACGTATTCGTCTCCATTTTTCTTCTACATCTATTGGCAACAGAATCGTTAGCCAAACCTTCACAGCTCAATCAACAACAAGTATTCAATACAACAAGACAATTACAGCCCTAAAAGAATAATTACGAAGGGGGAAATTCGAGCTCGTATAAGTATAGAAAATCTGCAACTTCGAAGGAATGAAAAAGTATTAGGATTAAATTAACAACTATTATCTGCTGCATTAGGTTTGTGTATTAATCACAGATTAATTATATTCAAAATCTCAAGGTTTTGCAGCTGCCTGATTTTTTCATCTTTGACAGAGCTAAAAATTAGGGTTTCCAAAAGAGAAAAACATAAGTAGGTAAGAACAGAGGAATTCCGCCGGCCTTGTGCTTCTTCCAGAACCACAGATCTTATAAATTAGCGCCAAATCACAAGTTGAAAGGAATTCATTTTCTCCGATGACGATGATGATGATGATGATAGCAAAAAACAAAGACCAATAAACAAACTAAACACAGATCATCATAGCAAAAAGGGGAAGTGTAAATAACAGTATAGATTTACAAACCTGTAAATGGCGGAAAAATCAAAGGTTAAACATCAGATCATTCATCATCGTATCTCCGATGTTGAACCGTAACAGCATCCTGCTACAGAAATATTTGTTACAAAAACAATAAGATTTAAACACTGAAATTCATTCAGCTTCGTCTGCTCCAAATTCCATCCCTACCAACAAAAAACACCGACGGGAAAATGCGCCGCCGTGATTGGCCAACGAACGGTGAATTATGGCCTTAGGAATGAAAAAAAACCGAGCAGTGATAAACCGTTTGATGAATTTTAATTTTTTGGGTGAGAATTTAGGATTGTTAATCTAGATATTTAGATTGTGTTCATCTTAATTTTGAAAGGATTTTGTGCAGAAAGTTAGGCTTTTTGTAAGAAGAGATATGAGCTTTGGTGTGATTTCACCACGTAGTTTTTGCTGGTGACTTGGACGGAATTGCCTCGTAGATTTTTTGCCTGATGTGACGAAAATGCCCTCTTGTTGCCCTAGACATCAACATCTCCATCTTTATCTCCATAATATATATTTTTCTGTACACCTACTCCACTAAATATAGAAATAAAATGGAATATTTGATTTTCCCGGTTCATGGCCTAGCTGTTGGAGAAAGTGAAAATGTATCAAATAATCCAAGTTCGAATTTCCTTACCAACTAATGTACTCCGATTTTAATTCATAAAACATAATATCCATTTTCAATTCCAATTGAACAAGTATGGGGAAGGAAGTGCAAGGATGTGTTGCGGTAGCTTATCGCGATGGGTCGGCCCTTTTAGTATTGGGTCGAAAATTAACAATTTACAACTTATTGCCACGGATTCCGGGTCAGCAAAAATGGGTACTAACCACCGGATAAGAATATGATGACCTTTAACATCTCTCTTGCATATATGATGACATATAACGAATTACGAAAACTACACAAGCAAAAAGGAATCCTGCTAATATAACTAACTGAGTTTACGCAGAAATCATGAATATATAGAAACATTTAGCAGTCAAATTTAGGAAATTATGACCAAATTATCTTGGCTCAGCTACAACAAAATTACCATAATGCCCTAGATAGATCGATCAATCATAGGAGTTTCGGCCTCTTAGGTGTCTCAATCACCACCATCTGATCAGAAAAATTCTCATCCTCCCAGTTCATATATGGCGGCTTGGGTGATTTGGGAGGTGAGCAGCACGTACGAACCTCGGTTTTCTTGCATCTATCTTCAAAGGACTTCTCCAACATCTCTTCCATCTCCAATTGCTGAAATTACGACAACAAATAGTCTCCTCCTAAATCTCCCTCTACTCAGACGAATTCATATATAACTAATGCATTGCAAAAAAAAAAAAAAAAAGAATCCGAAAACGCTACCTTTCTTGAAGATGACAACCGAAGTGCCTTCTTATCGGAGAGCCGCATTGGCATATCTGATAGCAGACAATGCAAATTAATAAACTGCCCAGAAACATAATAATCAGATCAAATAAAACTTACCATTATTTAGTCCCACTGAATTCAAGAAATGGTCCATATCCAGAGCTTTCATCTGTGCCTTGATGCATTCTCGATGATTGTGCAGAAATCTCTCCTCAACTACAGAACTCGAAATATTTTCTTCTGCAACAGTGTCCAACTTCCGTACAACCCTTGGCTTAACAGAGTTTGTTAGATCAGTGAGTGCTTTTCTACCCCCAATCTTTCCTTTCTCGGTTACATTTGACAATTTTACTCTAGAATCTTTCTCAACGGGAATCACATTTGTGGGGTTGTCTTTCTTCTTAGAATGAATCATAGAAGGGTTTCTCGAGTTAGATATGTCATTAAGAGCTTTCCTTCCACCAAGTCCCCGTTTCTTGTCAGCTTTGCTTGGATTAGTCTTTCCCACAGGAGTTGCAGCAGCTATATAAGATATATAAACATCATAAAATGATTGAGATAACAATGAAGCTTAAAAGAAGCTATAGTGTTGAAGTTACCATTGTAGAGTAAATTTAAGTTCTGATCTTGGAGTAGGCGATGAGCTGGGGTTGCCATTTCAACTTGTTCCTTTCACAGATCGATAAAGTATGTCAAATTAGCAATAAACACAAACGTAGTCCAAGATGGCAAGAAACATGTAATAAATCACTGCCAGTAGTTTTGCCACATATTCGTAGGCTCAGTTTCAGGTTCAGAGCAGCCATTTTTTAAGGTAAGATAATGTTCTCAGAGCAGTAGTTTCTAGCCTGCATACACGTTCGGTTAACATTCATATACTCCATTTACATGGAACGAGAAAATCGTATAAAACGGGGTGTGTCACAAAATTTCAGCTACAACTTAACTTCTATCTTCAATAGTCGAATTATTGCAAGAATCGGTTAACGCACCATACCAATTAGGAAATAAAGTATATACCAAAAGTTACAACCAATACATACGATAAGATAGCTTTTGCACAATTAACCTTAAAATACGCCACCTTCATTCCTAATAAGAAATCAATTCCTGACTTGAACAACACACAACATATAGGTTTTGATTCGACGAGAAAAAAAAGAAAAGCATTACAACAGTATAAAGTAACAACAGAAGAAAAAAGAACCGGCACAAACTGAAACCATTCAAATAACACCACTTCCTGGAGAACACCGAAATTAAACCATCAATTCACATTGCAATCAACGGAGACGAATCACTTGTTTACCAGAGAAATCAAATCAAAAATTCATAACGATACCCAACAATTCAATGCATCAGCAAGTAAAAATTGGGGGATTCAAAAATTTGCCACATGTTAACAAATTGTGCATACGATCATCCACATTCTAACTTCAGTGCACCCATTTAAATTGCACACACCCTTCAAAATTCAGCAGATCAATTTAACCAAAAATTTGAATCAAAAACAAAATCAGCATTCAGGGGCGAATAGACACATTCACGAATTCATATACGTAAACAGAATCTCCAACAGATTTTATACACGTCGTAACCCTAATGTTCCTTGGAAATTATTTTAGAGAAAATACTCACAGAAAATTCTCAGAAATTTATTGCTGATTGCTTGATTAACTTCGCCTTCGTTCCGAGTAAATTTCCTGCTTATAATCTCGAATAATAGCCAAAAAAAAAAAAAAATCTTCTCTCTTTTTCTTGGAATTGAGTTCAAAATGCTGTGAAACTTTTTTTCGTATGTAAAAAGCCGATTGAGGAGGGCAACGGTCAAATTTGATACCTTCTACTAAAATACCCCCATAATCAGATGATATTTACGAACAAATACCACCATATGTTCATAAATGGGCCTATACTAATGAGACTACAATGGGCTGCTTTGATAATTGAACCCTCCTCTGTTGGACCAAAAGTAGGCCCTTATTATTCAAATTTCAAATTAATTTAGGCAGCTTTTTAATTTAATTGTGGATATCTACTAATTTTTATTTTATTAAATTATAATATTTAATTGTATTATTAATGTATATTATTTAGTTAATTGAACTTGATCAATTTATTAATTTCGATTAGTTCCATCAGACTTGTACCTCTAATTTGTACCTCGAGTGCCGAAACAGAGAATAATACGAAGGACGAAGAAAATAATTTTTCTTATAGAATTTGCAAATTTAATTTGTGTGGTGTGAGGAATGACACACATTAGACATGTCAATAAATATCCAACAAATGCTAGGCTGGTTTATGCATTAATAACTAGATTGATCATCGATCTTCGTCCATTCAATTTTTTTTCATACATGCAACATCAATTATTACATCTTCTACCCCCATTCCCACAATCATTATGATTATATGTGTTTTAGTTCCCCTTCTTTACTTTTATGTTGGCATGTGACGTCATCCTCCCTTTTTCAAATCATTCATTTCATACTTCTCTCTCTCTCTCTCTCTCTCTCTCTAGATATATCTCTCTCCACAATATTTATGACCATTTATTCGGCTAGTGATAAACGGACGTCACTGATTTTTTGGTGTAGCAAATCTTAGTTTTGTGTAATTAACATTTTAAGTTTTGATCGTAATTTAACACTTGTATTAAATGAACAAATGTACCATGCACCAAACTTTTGATCCAGTAATATATATGATTATCTTTTCATGTTAAGAGAGAGAGAGAGAGAGAGAGAGAGTACAATACAATTTCTTAGCTTTGCAGTTTGCATCATGAATGAAGGCAAGCACAAAAGTAATGGCAGCAATAGAATGCCATGCTCATACAATTAATTTTTTACCATCCATAGATCTTCGTAAATGCATTTCTTGTTTTTTTCCCGCATTTATTGTTCTTTACGTGTTTGCAGGGTTCGGGCTAGCCCGGCCCGGTATTATTTCCTGAAAAAATAAAGCTTATTAGCTCTATAGTATAAATTAAATGACTACCCTACCTTAGAGGATTGTGGTGTTTATTCACACTAAACCGTTCTGGTTTATACTATGCTACGTCGTGCGAAATAAAATGGTAGATCTTTGTCATTCACACACATACACATAAATTAGCGTGTGTAGATCAATGGCAAAAAATAAAATAAATAAAACACCAGTTGTGACATTCACCGAGTCTAGCATAGTAACAACCGGTCTGATAGACTTAAATTTCATCATAAGCTCGTATTACGGGTCCAATTTGCCTATTAATAATTGGTGGACTAGAGTAATTAACAATATTTGTTGGGTCCAAGTAGGTAGGTTTAACTTCACTTAGGCCTATAACATTAAATTTTATTGAATTTGAGTCCACCACATACATGCATAGACAAGAATTGAGTTAGTTGGAGATGCAAGATAAAAAGGTAAGATTGGTTGTTTAGGACCGAATATGAAACAAAAGGAAGTAATAGTATATAAAAATACTACAATAAGTAGATATAATTCAATTTTAGGCAGCAAGTTTGGTGACTAAAGTGCTGCAAAAATGGATATATATAATCAACTATTCCGCCACGCGCACGTGAACAAACACTACAGCTGTTTTTAATTTTTAAATAAATTCCAATAAGAATTCTGAATTTATACACTAGTAGAAGATTACAGTTGTGGAACACAGGACCCTTGTTAACTAATGGTGATAGTACACGTGTCCCACCAAACACAAACCACCACAACCAAACAGTAGAATAATCTTTTCTCGTGGGCCCCCCCAACCTTTGGAGTTTCGGATCAAAAGCAATCTTTACAAACCAACGACCAACAATTAACTATTATTAATTAATTAACAACATTAATAAAAATATATAAATAATATTGCGGAATTTCAAATATATTTACTGTGTAATAAAGTCAACTCAAAAGACGATATCCACCGAGAGTCAAATACATGTCAAATTAGAAGCAAATAGTGCAGCAAGCAACAATCCAACACCAAAGTGTATTGCAGTTCGAATATAGAATAATAAAAAAAAATAAAAAAATGGAAAGTGTGACAAACACGCGCCGTTTATGACTAGTTCTTCCTCACACCCATTTCCATTTTTTTTTTTGGGATGATGGAAACGTTAATACAAACGCTAATAATGTTTTTAACCAAACTGATTTAACAGTTTTGGGGCCTAAAAAGTTAACGGAATATGCGATTTCAACGCCAAGCAGAAGCGACGGTGAGGATTCGTCCCATCCAACCAAAGCAGATGCCGCCGGATTCCTCGTTGACACTGAATCCCGGGTTGCCACGTGTTCCTGAGTTGAGCTTGGACCGGAGCGACTCGACGGCGAGTTGACTCATCTTCCTTGGCTGAAACCCGGCCATGCTCATCCGGGCCCGCCACTTACCCAACACTTCGCATCTTTCCACGCGATCCCTACCCTCGCCCGCAACCGAGTTGCTTATTTTACGACTCAGCCCCTCCTCGATTCTGACTCGGTCGGGGTTCTCTCTTGACACGGTGGCGTCCAGCGAGTCAAACAACGCGCCGTAGTACTCGTACGCATCGCGGACGCGGGCGGTTAGAGGCGCTGTGTTCGTGTTCATTTCCTGCTCCACCACCGTCATCACCTCCGGCGACAGACTCTTCACGCGGCGGAGCAGCTCGTCTCTCAGATTCTCCGTCGTCACGCTCTCGTCCGGCAGCTTGTACAGCTTGAACGCAAAATTCACGCACAGTGCCACGTCGGATTGTATTTCCAGCTTCTCACGCGTCAAGTTGCCGATATTCAA